AATAGCCTTAATCCGAAGAATAATATTAGTTTCGTAGAAATAAAATTAATCTATTTCGATCCGGTAGAAGTTTAAACGGTTATAATAGCGATAGTTAAAGAGAGGAGTTCTCAAATTAAGCAATTATTTCATTAATAAATAGGAAGCCCTATACCTTCTGGGCGAGTTAGACACACACTCTTCAATTAACCAACTGCACTGTCACATCTGACAACTTTTCCCTTCTCTATGACTCTGACAGGAAGGAAATTAGCACTGTGAGGTAGTTCCCCCTTAGGGAAAATGTCCGCAAACGGTAGCTAGGTAGACTCAAACTAGTCCCTGGATAGACTAAACCCACTTTTATCGCTGAGTAAGCCCAGCCGCCCAACCAGCTGCCTAGCCTAGCTTAGCCCAGCCTAATATACTGTGCAATTGAGGCTATATAATCGATGCCCACGCATCGCTAAATCTACGTCGTCGTTGTTATTTTTTACGTAAAGGTATTCAGAGCTAGTAATTTAATTAATTGTCTACTATTAAAGGTATTAATACTATAATTAGTAGTAATACTATTATCTTCTATATTAGCCCTATTGCTATATATATTATACTTGCTATAATTACTGCCTAAAATGTACGTACTTATCCTAATTTTGATACCCGCTATATAAATACTGCTTAGAGTACTAGAGAGCCCCTATATATTCCTATGAATATATTAGAGGTATTAGAAGCGGTACTATAAAGATTAGAGTTCGATTATATTACCTTATTAGTATAACCTATCTTTATAAATTATTTTACTATTAATTAGAAGGGGGAAGGAAATTCTAGTTAGTTGGGACTAGGGTATTAGTATTAATTATTTAACGGGCGCTAGTATTCTATAATTAAATTAATTAGAGCCGCTATGAATTAGTAGATAATTATAAGACGGTTATATTTAATTACTTGGCAACTAGTATTAAATTTAGGGACAAAGAGATAGGGAGGGCGCTACAGTTTTCTATAAGGGAATTGGAGAATAAAAAGGCGAGGGTAAGGGAATTAGAATCGATTGCGGGAATATTAGAAAAAGTGTTAACGTTAATGTAAATCGTATTATAACTTTTATAATAGTATTATTCATATCCTTTTTCATAATTTAACTTATTTATTATTAAATCCTTCTTTTAGCCTGAAATTGTTTTTAGCAGGCTAGTACCTTCCCTCTTCTTTAGGTATTTCGCTATATTGCCTGGCGGGGCGGCTCGTTATGAGAGAGTATACGGTGATTATTATATTAGTTGCGGTTAATAAGTACGGTAGTAGTAGGTACGGTAGTAATAGGTTGAATAAAGCTTTAATTACTTTCGAAATTATATAGTTCAAGAACTTCCGAATTTAAAACGTTTCGTTCCGATATTCTACGTATATAATTAGTAAAGTTTAAATCGGGTATAATTATTTATCGTCGGTAGCTAAATAAAATAATAAGGTCTTAAATTATATATATACGCCGCTTAGTTTCGGTTAATCTAATATTATTATTTAATTTTAATTATTAATATATATCTATATTCTTTATAGTTAATACTAATAGTGGGACTATTTATAATAGTTTTAATATAAAGTATTTATAGGGCAAACTATATTAGGTTATAAATACTTTCTTATATTTAGCATTTAAATCTTAATGAGGGTCTCTTAATTAATTATTATAAGTATAGTAGTACTAGTACTATATAAGTTTAAAGGTATAGCGCTACCTATATACAAAAAAAAAGAAGAAATTAATTAACCGGACTTCTAATTGCATTTATAAGGGTAATAATAAAAAGTTAGTATTTTTACATACTTTTAATACTAAATTATTAAATATTCCCACCCTTTTATGTTTATATAAATACGATTGCTTCGCTATAATATATTGTAATTTAAATACCTCTCTTTGAAAGTAGCAAGTAGAACGTATATATTCGTATAGTTAATTTAAAGAGGAGAAACGGTTCTTAAGGAAGCGTTTAATAACTCTATATATAAATTCGATTCTATTAATTATCCTAATACTAAAGTTCCTATATTTTAACATGGTATAATTCCTAGATTCGTTAATCTAAGGGAAGTAGTATTTATAAAAGTAGGTTAAGAAAGTTAAAAAATATTAGTGAAAAAAATATATAATATATTGTAAAGAGGAAGGGAGTTAAAGATAATGGTTATTCAATATATACGAATCTATCGTTTAAACTTATGTACTATTAAATACTATACCTACTTAAAGTAATTATTATTATTAATATAAATTACTTATTTTGAAGTAGCTTGGAAGCCTTCGTATATATTTAAATAGAATTAACGAGTAAGGTTGAAGGCAAGTATATTACGATTACGTAGAATAACGACTTTAATTACTCATTTTTTAATTACCTAACAAATTCCTTACTTATTATTAAATTATTAAATAAAGTAGTTAATAGTAGCGGTATCGTTAGCTTTTTTTAAGTTGTCCTCTTTTAAGTTATTATTAATATATTCGTCTTCTTCGTTAATATTATTATCGCTAGCCTTATTATCGTTAGCCGCCGCGGAGCTTCAGTATAATAGGAAATTAGGATTATAATTATTTAAATCCCGAATAATTAGTAGGAGGTTTAATAGGTTAGTACTAGGGGTAGGATCATTACTACTATTACTGCTATTAAGGGAAGGCTATACTTATTTATTCTTAATATAGTAGTTTACGTTCTTTATAATATACTATATACACAGTTGGCATAGCACGTCTAGGTAGGTAGTAATAGCGGCTTTTTTAAACCTTTTATTAAAGTCAGTAATAAGTATTGCGGGGTTCGGAATCTCGTAATCCTCTTGGAGCTTCTTTAAATAGTTAAACTACTATTCAAAGTCTTTTTACCTTTTCCCGTTCGAAAGACCGAAAGTAATATTAAAATTATAATTAAATACATCGATACTAATAATATCGAGGAAAGGAAGGTTAAAGTAGTTAATTAATAGAGAAAAAAAAGGGGTCAATTAATTAGACCCTATAAAAGCGGTTAAGTTAGAAAATAATTAAATTAAAGAGTACTTGAATTAATAAGGGTAATAATACTTTATATATATTATTAATTAGTAAAATATAGGGGTTCTTCTTCTACATTTCTATATATTAGTTGAAAATCCAAAACATTCGCGCTATTTTCTATTCGTTAGGAAAGAGCGGGTTGTAATTGATAAAATATTCGATACTATATACGTTCTTATACTACTTTAAAAAGTCGAAGAGCATCTTCGTCAAAGAATAAGGACTATATTTTATACGGCGAATACGCTTCTAAATATTTAAAACCTCCTAGGCAGTAATAGGGACTCAAAGACTACGCAATTCTAATATTAAATTATTACCGTTAACGTATTAAATAGAAATAACGTTTTGTACTTTAATTTTAAAATCTAAAGTACCGTTTAAATAATAAACAATTTAATAAAACTTTATTCTAGCAATACTAAATAACCTTTTGATAATAATATTAATAGTCTCTTTATAATAGCGACGGATCTATTATCAATAAATAATATTATTAGCAAGGTTAGCAATATCAACGTCGTAATTATAGCTATTATTAATCTCTTTAGTAAACTACTAATTACCTTACCTTTTCCTCAATACGACCTTTGCTTAATAAAAACAATCGAATCAACGTAAAGTAGTATTTCGAATTCCTTACCCGGTATTACTCTTATAAACGCGACTATATATATAATAGTAATTATCATAGGGCTAGAGCCTAGGGGTTAAGCTTGGCTAATACCAAGCCGTATCCTACATTATCGATAGGGAGCTTGCCTTATCGATAGGGAGCTTGCTTTATCAATAAGGATGCGAGCCTTCTAGTGGGCTAGACCCGCATAACTGCCTGGCCTGTACGCTCTAAGCGACCTATACAAAACCTTCTTTTAACTATACCCTTCTAGTGCAATCTTCCTTTTCCTCTTTATTAAATATAGCATTTTAACCTTACACGACTGCTCGCTGTGCAATACTCTTGCAGACCGGTTATAATAGTTAATACGTATAATGAACTATTCTTCTCCCCTCTTCTTACTCTTCGTATTACCGTATAATTAAATTATAAAACTTTATTATACAGCGTATTCTTATAAAGTATTGAACGCAACGACTTGATTATTGTAACCTAACGAAATAAATAGCAGTCTCGCTCGTCGTCGAATTAGCAAAAGTAAAGGCGAAAAAAAAGGAATTCGTTATTTAATAATAGCGCGCTCGTTAAGGGACTATAGTAACCACGTTCTTACTTGCTCTTCGCGGGGATAGCGGATTAATAGCGATTAAATTTCGGTAATAAGGGTCGTACTCCTATTGGGAATAACTATTCGAAATGGACTTTTCGGATTTAAGGGCATTTTACTAGCGATTCTAATTAAATCCCGTTAGCGCTAATTATTTTGGTCGGCTAGGCTAGAAGTCTAATTTACTAAACGAATACGCAATGTACGGAGGGTAGGCGGGCGGTATATTAATAAATACTACGAGGTTGAGGATACTATACTAAATAATAATAAAGACGAGGGATAATCGCTATAAACGGTTACTCAATCCCAAGGTAAGATCTCGCGATAACTTTATTCAATTATATAAGACTAACTATCGCTAATAGACAGCGCGACAGTAGCGGCGGTTAGGCAACAATATACACGTTGCATACAGTATACTGGGCTGGGCTGGGCTGGGCTGAGCGGCTGGCTGGACGGCTGGGCTTACTTAGCGATAAAAGTAGGTTTAGTCTATCCAGGGACCAGTTTGAGTCTACCCAGCTACCGATTTCGGAAAATGTCCCGCTAGGTACGTACTGCGTCACCATTAGGCTAAAAGAGATGCATAACATCCAAACTCGATCGGGGTCAAGTCGGGGTTTCGGCTTGGCAATCTGGGGTAAAGTTGGGGGTAAAGTTGGGGGTCATGTCATCTATGGACATTTGCCCGCCTCGGTTTGCCCAATCCGGAGACTTGTCGATGACATCCTCCAACTTGGCAACACTTTGGAGGATAAACTATTCCCGATACTCGGCTACTGGCTAATCACGGCTCTTGTAAGTACTGCCTATTTTTGTAGTCGATCATTCTTGTGAGGGTAGGTGAGGCGACTTTCGTCAGTGACAGAAGCACCTTCCAAAGCATAACCAGACAAACCACAGCAACTTGGTCTACTCTACCAACCAGTTTCGAATTGTTTTCACTTACCACTCCTGCCTCTCTGTTTTTCCTCGTGAACACCATACCAAAATCAACACCAAGAAACAACAGCAACAATGGGCCGCCCACCCCTCTCCGAGAACCGGACCATGTCCATCCTCAACAAAGCCAAAGCTGGCGGCTACGCCGTGCCCGGCATGTGCTGCTACAACATCGAATCCATCATCGCGACCGTCAAGGCCGCCGAGGCCGCCAAATCTCCAGCCATGGTCCTCCTCTTTCCCTGGGCCATCCAGTACGCGGGCGACTCGCTCGTGAAAGCCGCCGCCGACGCCGCCCACAGCGCCAGCGTGCCCGTGTCGCTGCACCTGGACCACGCGCAGACGCCCGAGCTGGTGCGCCGCGCCGCCGACATCCCCGACGGCTTCGACAGCATCATGTGCGACATGAGCCACTACGAAAAAGAGGAAAACCTCAAGCTCACGGCCGAGCTGGTGCAGTACTGCCACGAGCGCGGCATCGCCGCGGAGGCGGAGCCCGGGCGCATCGAGGGCGGCGAGGACGGCGTGGCGGAGACGGCGGATTTGGAAGGGCTCTTGACGACCCCCGAGGAGGCTGAGGAGTTTGTCAATACGGGCATTGATATGTTGGCTCCGGCGTTTGGAAACGTGCATGGCGAGTATGGCCCTAGGGGCATCCAGTTGGAGTATGACCGTCTGCAGGCTATCAATGACCGGGTGGGTGAGAGGGTTAGGCTGGTGTTGCATGGTGCGGATCCGTTTGATGAGGAGATCTTTAGGAAGTGCATGGCTGGTGGTGTGACGAAGGTCAACATCAACAAGGGGATGAACAATCACTATGCGAGGGTTCAGGATGAGATGAAGGGGAAGCCGTTGACGAGCGTGATTGAGGCCGGGACCAAGGCGATGCAGGTGGCTATTGAGCAGTATATGCACTGGTTGGGAAGTGCTGGGAAGGCTTAACGGTGCTTGTAGATACTTACATGTTAGATGAAGCCGGAGCCAGGCTGCGTAAGCTTCGTGTCAATCCTGCACGCTCCATTGAAGACCAGTGATATCCCATCATCCCTAAAACCTCTCCTCAACAACAAAGGGTTAGGGTTGTACCTGCGCTCCAAACCCCTGAATGCCCTCAACCTTTCATCCCATTCTCCTCCAACTCACACCTGCACCTGCCTTCTGTCCGATAACCCTCCAACCCGCAGCCCGAGGCACATAAGTCACTTTTCTCGACCTGCTTCCAACAAGCCGGGCGGTTCGGAGCGTTGGTCAAATGGCGCAGCGGTTAACCGTTCACCACCCCAAAACTCCAAAGTCTCATAATTGTAAAAAGAGACTGAACCGTGAATGAACACCCACCTACCAACGTCAGCTCATAGTTATAAAAAAAGGGCGTCCCATAATTATAAAAAACGGGATTTAACAACGACGATCATGCGACATCGACAACGATAAAATAAAAAGGGGTACTAAGGTGGTAAACGGTCTACCGCACCGGACCGGCTGGCTTGTTATTTTTTTCTTCTTTTTGTCACTTTCCGCTCCATCATTTGAGGTTGACAAGTTCAGAATTGTGCTCGCATTTTCGTGCAGTATGCACATCGAACCGTGACTCCTGCTTGGACTTCTCTAAAAACTACGCTGAAAATGATGTACAGATGTTGAAAATGGCAGCAACAATCCACTCGCCCTTTCCCGTTTCCCAACAAGCAACTTCAACCCGCAAAGATACCCCGCCAACCCGAGTTCCGCTTTCATTGGTGATGAAAAAAACTCGAGCCTCATTTCACCACAAAATCAGAGAGCCGACAAGAGACCCTGGAGTCCAACCATGGCTCCCCAAGCGCCTGGATCGGGCGGAAGCTCCTTGTTGTCATCCACACCAACGCCGACGTAAGTAGCTCTTCCCAGTTTTGGCTTCAACTTCTTGGTTCCTTCCGCTCCCTTGACAGCCGCAGCGACGCTCTGCTCGAAGCTCTGCCCTCCTTCCATAGCCATGGCGAAGGGAATGAGCGTGTCCATCACCGTGCGATCACCAACCTTGGCCGGAGTATACTGACGCAAATGGCTGATAGCAGTTGACAACGCTTTCCCCCATAGAGCGGGAACTCCTACTTCCTTTGCGAGTCCGATGTTTTCCTGAAGCGCCGTCCGCAGCGCCACGAAGAAGATACCGAGAATACCGCCCAGTGTTCCGCCCATTTTACCCTCGACAATATCTTCCAGCTCGTTCAGGACCTCGACTACCGAGCCTTTGGCGGAAACCTGTTTGGTCTTGAGAGCATCTAACAGAGCGTTGGCTCCGGTCTGCAGAGTTAGACCGCAGTCACCGTCGCCCATGACGGTGTCCCACTTTGTGAGATCCGGCTCGGCGGCTGACACTGCGTTGCAGGCGCTCTTGATCATGCTCTCCAGCAACGCTGGGTCGATCTTCAGGTCCGTGGAGTCGTCGACTGTCCTCCTGATCTCTTTCGGAGGTGGGACGACTTGCTCGGACCGCTTACGTCGCTGATGATAACTTTGGTATCCAGCAACGGCTTCCCAGGCGGTGTCCGTTCGGGTATCGAAGAAGCCTTTGATCTGATCGACGGTGTAGGTGCTGTTGGCGGCGGCGGCGGTGATGTTGATAACTGAGACCGAGAACGCTGGAGCGTTGAGTGACGTCTCCAGACATCCAGAGTATACGCGAACCGGCTCGATGTTCCAGTTTTTCAGCAGTTGTTGGAGGATCTCATCTACGAGCCCGCCGAGCTCAAGATTTGACATGCCGCCAAAGTTGCTGACCAAAAGGACCGTCTCATCACCAGGGCTGAACTTGACGTAGCCTCTTTCGGGGTCTGTCTCGTCCAGGCAGTACTTGAGAATCTGCTGGACGAGTCCCTCGGCTGAAGGTGCTGGCGATAGCTTCCAGTAGCCTGGCTCGTTGTGTGGTCCAGTTCCCAGCTCAAGCTCGTCCTCTGCTAGGGCTCCGTGTTCGGTCCTCCCCGGGACGTGGCAGTGGTCGAGAGTAGCAGAAATGCTGACAATCGAGTTGGCAAATGCAGAACCGAAATCGTAAAGCTCGTCGAGAGTCGCCCCCTGAGCAGCTGCCGCACCGAGAACTTTAAGCACTCCAATTTGCCCGGCGAGTCCACGCCTTCCGACTAGAGAGCCGCCCTTCTTCCCGATCGAGACGTCGTCGCCGCAGATGAGCATCTTACACGGATTGCCCTTTGCCTTGGTCTTCTCGGCCGCGAGTCCAAAGTGAAGACAGTCTCCCGTGTAATTCGTAATTACCAGGAGAGTGCCCTTGTCGGATGGCACTGCCTCGACCGCGGCCAAAATTTGCTTGGTGCTTGGTGAAGCGAAGACATCTCCCATTACGGCTGCCGCAAGCAAGTTGGTTCCAACATAACCGGCCCAGGCAGGTTCATGTCCAGATCCTCCGCCACTGACAATGCTGACATTGGACCGAGGTGCTTCGGAGTCGTATACGACTTTGTTGGCTTCATCTAGGTTGAGTCGTGGGTTGGAAGCAACGATGCCACGGAGAGCCTTGGGGACAAGCCCGTCTAGTGATGGGAAGAGATGACGCGTCGACATGGTGTAGATGTTGGTGAAGCACAAGAAGAAGACACAAAGCAGATACAAAGAATAAAGTGTGCTTATGAAGATGTATATGAGTTCGCTTGCAGGATTGAAAGGTCCTCAGAGATATTGATCACTTACAAGTCTCTGGCCCAGCATGGGTCCTATCGTCCGATATGAGCCTGGAACACTCGTGTGATACTCTCCCCCTCCCCAACCCACCATACCGTTTGCATCATTCCCGGTCCAGGCTGTTCAATTGCCGTGCGTAATCGGCTTACCTCAAGATTTAGAAATATGCCAAAGAGGGGCAATCAACCATGGCTATGGTGAGTGGTGGTGGCAATATTGGAGCGGGAGTGACCCCCAATTCTTCCGGTTTACCCAGAACGGCATCACGTCCTGGCTAAATCCGAGTCCCCTCGTGTAACAGCTTGGCTTCACTTGACGAACTATTGCCGGTCATTAGTCACGATATACCAGCCTTGTGAAGAGAAGTTATAGGCGCGTGCATGCAAGGTTATTAAAAACAAAGAAGACGGTCTTCAGTAGTTTTGCAGGTTAAGTTGTTACTTTCACAGTAATATCAACAACAAAAAATGGCTTCAGAAACACAACAACCACGCTGGCGAATCGCCGTCGGCTGCGATGTCAGTAATCTTCTCAAGTTACTAACTCTGTCGCTTTCCTCCCTCCAGCTCCAGAGAAGAACCACCGCTAACACTCCCTCCCCAACCCTCACAGGACGCCGGCATCAACTACAAAAACAAAATCAAATCCGACTTCTCCTCCGACCCTCGCGTCGCTTCCGTCACGGACGTTGGCGTCGCCCACGACTCCAAAGACAAGTCCACCGCCTACCCACACATCGCCGCCGCAGCCGCCAAGCTGGTCGCCTCGGGCGAATGCGACCGCGCCCTGCTCATCTGCGGTACGGGACTGGGAGTAGCCATCGCGGCCAACAAGATTAAGGGCATCCGGGCGGTTACGGCACATGATAGTTTTTCCGTGGAGAGAGCCGTGTTGAGCAATAATGCCCAGGTGCTGTGTATGGGTGAACGGGTGGTCGGTCTGGAATTGGCGAGGAGGCTGGCGAAGGAGTGGTTGGGATATGTCTTTGATGAGAAGAGTGCTAGTGCGGAGAAGGTGAGGGCTATTCATGAGTATGAGGGGGAGGAGGGGGGTGTGGGAGGGGATGATGAGAAAGAGGCGGAGGGGGTGAAGGGGTGTTAATTGGACTGGACATTTTTCTTTTCTTTTTTGTTTGGGAAGCCTTTTCTCTCTCTGGTCATGGATTTGGGTAGGTGGGTATTTGATTACAGTTTGCAAGTTTGTTTGATAACACGAACGGTGGAATGGTTACAACTTACAACAAGACGAAAGCCAAGATGATGTTGTTTCGACTCTTGTCTTCCTCTGTTTCCGTCTGAATGCAATGTCAATCCGTTCTCCATTCTCCATCTCCACACGAGTCCAGACTCCAGAGTCCAGATCTGCCATGTTAAATCGTGGGGAAAACCTGGGGAAAGCCCCTGGCCCTGGCAGATTTAGAATCCTGTGTCATGTTCTGATCCGGATATCGTAACCCGACCCACCCCCAAACCAAATGGTGACCAAGAGGTGACCAAGAGGTGACCAAGAGGTGACCAAGAGGTGACCATGTGGGCTCGGGTGTCATTCACCCGAAGCTTAGAGGTGACGCTAGCACGTACGCCAAGAGTATCGTGACATCTGCAAAGCGACCACTGTGATATTACTGGTAATAATCGATATGGGGTTCAACGTGGCTTGATTGTGTATATATGTATAAGACTGGCTCTACAGACTCGAAGCTCTAGCATCTGGATAAATCCCGCATATCCCAGCCCAACTAGGCACGTGCACGCCCAGTAGATCCCCTAGCCTTTGATATACCTCCTTAAATTTGGTGTACAAATTACGCTAGATCTACCTAAATATACCCTAAATTACCCTAAAATCATCCTAAAACTAACTAAAAATAATATTATTCCTAAATTACATCCTCGTTACAGTAGCTTTTAAACTTTCACTCGTAAGAATCTTACTTTATTATATTTATTATTATATTTACCGATTCATTACCCAAATCTTCTTTTATAGAATCCTTTATACCCTTTAGGCGGCCTATAGTGATATTTCTGCTATTAAACTTTTGTAATTAAATTTGTAGCCGCTATAACTCTACGAATCCTAACTACTCTATAGATTTCAAATATATTACAAGAAGGAGGCTCTTTGTAAGGCTATCCGCAATCTGCTCCTTAGTAGGCATATAGACTACGTCTATTAACTTCCACTCTTATGCTTACTTTAACTAATATTTATATATATTAATATACTTAAATTTAGTTACGAGCCGAATTCTCTCCTTTATAATAAATTATATTATTTATTTATTATTGTAGCCTATAAGCGTAGCCTTTTTTTTTTCGAATCCTAAAGTAAATTCGTTAAAGAAATAGCGGGCGTAGATTACCTATTTAATTCTTTAATTAAAGGATAATAACTTAACCTCTATAAATAAAGTTATAATTATATTTTATTATTACCACGCTAATTGATAGTAGCGCCTAATGATTTAAGTACGAATATTTACAAACTCTTTTAATTAAAAGAATTATTTATAAATAAGGAGTTAATTATAATATAGAAATCTTAATAGATTTTACTACTTAATTAAAAAATATAATTTTAAATTATTAGAAAGTAAAAGAATATTCTATTTATAACCGTATAATACGTTAGACTAGGGTTTAAATTAAATCGAACGAATCTAGAGACTAGGAAGGCTATATTTACTCGCAATGTAATAGTAATATAGAAAATCGAACCGATTTTAATTTAATATATATAAATCTCGTACTGGGCTATACTATTTTAATAAAGTAAGAATTCTTCCTTAATTATAAATATAAAATATAATTTCTTTATATATTTAACCTTTTTTATAATGTTTTAAATATAATTGTATTATAATAACTAAATTAATTTCTTTTTTCGGTCTTAAATAATTTTAATACTTAAAAACTATTTTAATAACTCTCTACCTATTAATTAATACTTCCTCTCCATAGCGGCTACTACTTCCTTAATTATAGCGATCTTTTTATTCCTATATTTATAAATAATAATAATATTATTAATGTAGAAGAAAAAAAATATATTATTTTTAACTAGGATATTAAATTCTATAAGAAGAAGGTTTATACTTATAATTACGAAGGTTTTAATAAATTCTTACTACTAAAGGAGGGGAGATATCCGTAGACTATATAGCGCGTATAGTAATTAAAATATTTAACCTTTTTTAATATATTTAAAGAGAATCCTTATAAAGACTACCTTATCGAATACGGTATTAATAAAGGTATTCATTACGTTATACTAAATTAAATTAAAATTAAAGTAAGCGGCTATAGCTATTAGGATACGGAACGACCTAATAGCCAGAATCGCTACGTATGTTTTACATATGCCATCTTTAAATTGCTAATCCCTACGTATAACTAAACGTACTTTATATTTAAGAAACCAGCCATTTTAATCGAATTTGTAAATATATACCCATATCGAACCGAATATTTCGTTATCTCCTACTTCCTTAATAATAATTTATTTCTAAAGCTTCTTATCTTTATATTCGTCTAGGTATTCCTTCTCTATTGCTTTAAAGAATTCTCTAAAGGGGGAAAAATTAAAATTATTATAATATTTTAGAAGAGGTAGAAAATTAATTCGATAGAAGGTCTTTAATATACCTTTTTCTTTATAATAATTAATAATCTCCTTCATTATTTTTAATTTAAAATTATAATCAGGATCAATATCGATACTCCTTTCTCTTATTTCCTCTAAGAAGGTTTAATTTACGACTTTATTTCCTTAAAATCCTACCAATCGATTGCCCTTTATAAATAAAAACGACGCGGCTTAATAAAAATATTAATCTATAATTAGTTTTAAATTTTCGTTAGAATAAAAGAAATGAATTACTAAAAACGCGGCTAGGCTTTTAAAAAATATAAGAAAATAGTCCTCTTTTTTATCCTTTAAATTTCAAATTATATTCTATAAATCTAATGACAATTATAAGGGCGGCAATAGCAAAAGTTCTAAAAATCCTTATAGTATTTCTAGACCTATTTACAATTATATTTCTAATATTTACGAGATTTCTAAAGATTTAAACTATATTTATAATTCTAAAGACCCTAATTCCTCCTCTTCTCCTAATATATTCTCGGTTTCGATAAGAAAATTTTAAATAATAGGGCTAAGAATTCTATTATTTACAATAGGCATAGCTTCAACCTACAAGACGTTTACTTACACAATATCTATTTAATAAAAATCTTTTAATTATATAGCCAACTCTTTAAGGGAGATATTAAGGGTGTTATAAAGTTCTTTAACGTTACTACTAAGAAAGACCTTATCTTCATTAAATATAATATTTTGTATAATAATAATAGAATTAGTAGAAGGATTCTAAATCCTATAAATATTTATTAACTAATATCTAACCAAATAGCCGACCCAAGTATAGTCCTTAAGCTTTATCAACTTATTCTATTCTTTTATAGTTTCTATTATAAGAATAAAGGCCTTATAAGTATATACTTTAAAATATATAATAGTAGGGAAGGGGTCTAATAAAGGAACAATACTATCTCTAAATTAATAATACGTTTGGAATCAATTTTAAAGAAATTTCTAATAATATTCCGCCTTAGGGATTAAATTATATAAATATACAACTACTCTAATAATCTCTATCTACAGTTCGTAAGGAAGATTTACACCTAATTGTATTGCTATACCCTTACTTTTAATTACACCCCTTGAACGCTTTGCGCTGCTGTTTTAAACTTACATATAAAGCGCTAAAGGCTCGATACTAATTCCTTTTATAATAAATTAAATAGTAATCTTCTTATTACTAATTATTTTATTATTACATTCGACTACCCGAAATACAATTTAATATTAAGTTTATAACCTTATATAGAGGGATTCTAAATATATAATAATAAATTCGGCTTCTCTATTACCTAAATAATATACTTAAACGAATTTAGACTACCGGTCTATAACTACTATTAAATTTAAATACTTTTAGCTCTCTACTTTCACTTCCTTATAAAAAAAGAAATTAATAACTAATTATAACTTAAGGCCCTCTAAGTAATTACAAACTTCTCTACGCACTTAACGCTTCAATTTAGTCTTAGTATATAATTTGTAATATACTATATCCAGTCCTTTAAATCGTACGCCATACTTTTACTCTATTAATTTAACTAAAATCTCAGGTCCTAAGTAGCTAAATCGAAAATGTCAACGAAGGGGCTTACCCTTTTAAAATTTCCGCTTAATATAATTTATATATTATATAAAAAAAGATTTATTAATACTATTCTATAAAAGGATATATTCTAAAATAAATTACTTATATTTAAAAAGGATATAATAAATAAAAGAATCCGTAAAGCGGGAGTGCAAATAGTTATTCTTATAATCCTAATAGATTTATTCATCCTCGAATTATTTCAAGGAAACGAAGTTACAAGCCATACCTAGTACTAAAACGATATTAGGGAACTAGAGCTCTCTATCTCCGTCGTCGTCCTAGATTATAATTATAATAATACCATACCCCTCTATAAAAATCCGCTTATTTCCTGCCTATATATTATGGGGCGAGGTACTATTGGGGGTAGGGTAAGATATGCGTTGTTATGCAAAGGGGAGGAAAGGAAGGTGTGCGTAGAGGACTAGCTATATAGGCGGGAGCCCTAGTTAGACTAGTCCGTATACGCGTATATATACAATTGTATGTAACTGTTGTGTATATGGCTAGTGCGTATATAGCTCTAGGCTATAGCATTAGCTCTGGGCATAGTATATAAGGTAGATAGTGTAGTGTAAGAATGTTATAGGCTAGCTCTGTAATACTATATATAATTATTAGTATTTAAAAGGGTAAAATCTTCGAAGCGAGTAACCTTATTAAAAATATATATTATTGTACTTAAATCGAAGATTGCAAAATCTCTCAGTAAGTATACAACGCTACATTTCGCTATAAGTACTAAAAAACTACTCTTACCTACCTAGCGACTATAGAATTAATTATTTTAATCCTTATCATCCTACTACGTTCGCAAACAATTAATAACCTCTTCGAATATTTTATCCTTCTTTAAATTCGCGTACGTACGCTTTTTAATAATAAAATTTTTAATCCAATTTTTATAGGCTAACTATAACTTAGTATAATAATATTTATTCAAATTATAACCCGGCTATTTATAAAGCTTATATAAGAATCGATGTAATCGTTTACTTACTAGTAAGGACGAGGAGGAGGTACGCTTATTTTTATTAATATTCTTCTTAAATTTACCGTTTTTACTTATAACTTCTCTCCATTCCTCTACTTCCGAGCTAAAATTTTATTTATTATTAAAAGCGTTCTCTTTAATGGGTTTACTACCTAACGTAATTACGAATGTAATACCCTTAAATAAGGGGGCGCAACCCTTTCCTTAAATAATATTCGCTATTATTACTTCATGAAAATCCTTAGCCACAATACGGAAAAAGATTTTAAAATTAAAATTTCTCTTAATCTCTTTATTATACTAGAATTAGTAACTATTTACCTAAGTAGTGTAAAGATTCGACCTTATAATTATATAGAATTCTAGGAATTATAAGTTTGGCTTATCTACTCTAATAATTCCTCTAATAATATAGAGGGCTATAGCCGCCTCCTAATAAAAAATTTAATTATACTAATTATAGTTAATTCAATTAAGGGGCTTGAAAATATTAATAAATTTAATTCGGGCGAGCTTCTTTACCTTATAATTGTTATAAGCGGTAGATTTACTAAAATTATTATACTATTTATATAGATTAATACATTTAGTAAAATTAGTTTCCCAGTAATTATTTCTAACGGTTTTAAATATCTAGCGATTTAACGTAATCTTCTTCGTACCTAAATTAAAAAAAGTCTTAACTTCTACACGCTAATCTGATTTCTTAATTATATAATTATAGTAATCGCGCTTATAATAGAAGCTGTAAAGTTTAGCGGTAATAAATAGGGCAACCTCTCTATCCTTTTTAATTTTTTTAGTTTTTCTAGCAGGAACTTCCCCTTAATAATTAGCGATATTGGGTTTTATTAATTCGGTTAGCTAAGGAACGCGGTTATTTAGGTTGATATACTTCTAGAAACCTAGGTCCTAGGCTATAGAAATAAAGGTATTTTCCCAAGCCGGTTAGTCCTTAGGGCTATTGAGGGCAACGCTATTGATTTTAGTTGTAAATATTATTAGTAGTCGTTTAATCGGATATTGTTGTTGGCAATAGCTTCAACAGTCGAATTAATAAGACTCTTAATTATAATATTATTAGTAATAATCGATATAGGGTTCAACGTGGCTTGATTGTGTGTGTGTGTGTAAGATTGGCTCTGTAGACTCGAAGCTCTGGCATCTGGATAAATCCCGCATATCCCAGCCCAACTGGGCACGTGCACGCCCAGTGGATCCCCTGGCCTCTGACAACCACGAGCTAGACATTTTGTTTGTTGCGAAGTGGATCGTGGGGGTTGTACAGTTGCTGTCGATCCCCAGGATTTTTGTAATAATTAGACTTGACCGAGAAAGGGCATCCGCTCGGTTGGGGATGATGCAAACGACTTTGAAGAATGTCGGCGGACGACGGGGGAAAGGTGATGTCGCAATGAATTTACCCCGAAAGGAGATGGGTCAGAGACGGGTAACGGGTGCGCTTATCCGCGGGGTAAGAAAGGATCAGGTTAGCTTCTAAACAAACAGTGTTCCTTTCCTCGGATTGTCATCAACTTTTGCCAAGACAACAAACTGTGTTTCTTGTCAGTTATCGTCGGTATCGAGACCAGACCGAGATCGAAGCGGTAGCAAATAGTGTGCGGCGACGATTCTCTGCACCGAAAGAATCACAGACAAAACGAATTCAAAACCTCTCCATCAGCTTAGGACCCGTCAATCCTCTCTAACCATACCCAAGTCCTATCGCCAAACCTCCACACCAACAACCATCACAAACTTCAACAACAACACACCTTTACAGGAGAAGTCAAGCAAGAATCTGCGACCATGTCCTCCCCACCACCTTGCCGTCAGCGCCGGCGTCTAGTAGGCGTCTCAACAAAAATGTACTTCTCCCACGCCCGCACCACCAAATTCATCACCTCCTTCCTCGACCTCATGCAGCACCACACCTCCTCCACAACAACCGAGCAGTCCAACAGCAACCTGGCTGCTGCCGCCCTCGCCTCCAAAATCGACATCTTTATAATCCCCGACCACCTCTCTTTGCAGTCTGCCATCAACTGCACCGCCAACCACCCACCGAGTCAGTTTTCCCCAGCTGATGGTCCAAAAATCCTATTCGGCGCGCAAAACTGTCACTGGGAGGATCATGGTGCGTTCACAGGGGAGGTATCCCCCGCTGTTCTGGCAGAGATCGGGTGTAGCGTCGTCGAACTCAACCACGCCGAACGGCGCCGCTACTTTGGCGAAACCGATGCCACCACGGCAAAAAAAGCTCAAGCGGTCATAAGAAACGGGATGATCCCCATCCTCTGCGTCGGCGAGGGTTCTCCTGGTGAGGTACCGACACCTGGCAAAACAAGTCGAGAGGCGGCGGAGAAGGAGGTGGTCGGCCAGGTGGAGAGGTGTCTAGAGGGTGTTGACCCAACCAAAGAAGTTTGGTTAGCATATGAACCCGTTTGGGCTATTGGTGCGAAGGAACCGGCGGGAGTGGAACATGTGAGCGGGGTGGTGAGGGCTATACGAAGAAGTGCAGTGGTGAATGGGAGGGAGGAAAGGGGCGGGATGACGAGGATTTTGTATGGAGGGAGTGCGGGGCCGGGGTTGTTTGGACGACTGAAAGAGGAAGATGGAGTGGATGGGTTGTTTTTGGGGAGGTTTGGGCATGAGGAGGGACAATTTTGGAAGACGGTTCGTGAGGTTGCTGAGGTTGAGTGGGAGGGGGAGGTGAGGTGAGTTGTTGTTGGTTTGTGGCTGCACGAAGAGAGACAACTGGTGATGGGTGTGTTGTGATGGACATTGTGGATTGCAAAGGGGAGTAAACTGCTTGTGGTTGAAGATTGAAACATTTTCGGAGGTCGCCAACAAAAGTGTACGAGCAGCCCTCTTCACCAGGATGTTGAGCGTCTATAGTCTCTATAATCACGAGTCTATGATGAACCAATACCGCCCTCCAAACCTTCGTGATACAAAGTGAGAAAGAGGGTAGTGAGACAAGAAAAAAAGAGAAACATAATCATCAAGCCCAAGTGTGAGCCCAGAAGGTCTCGGCCTGTCGATAGCCGTCCACTAGTATACAGTCGAATGAGCGTAATAAACCTGAAAACATGCGGACAATGGAAAGTAGAAAACGAAAGGAAGGCATACCATGAAAATTTAAGAGTAAACTCCCAGTTATCCCCCAAAAAGAGAAATGATTTTTAAACACCAAACAGTATGTATAAAAGAAAGTGTTGTACCTTGCTCACACTCCGTGCCTCCACATCATCCCATCAAGAGGTACATCTGTTAAACCATGTTAGTGTTTCCGAGCCTGGTCTAGCTGTTGCATAGCGTCATGTAGCAGCACTACTTTTGCGGTGCTAGATTGGGTGGGTGTCAGTCAGCGGGCCGCTCTTGCAGGTCTCCCGTCTACAATTGAAAGCCTCATCCCTGACACTTCATTTGGGCGAGAACCTCTTCGGCCACTTTGATCATCGATGGGAGACGAACAAGAACAATTCAACCTCAACCTGGAATCAAGACAGTATAGAAACAACATACTAACAAGGACACAAAGATCCCAATCATTGAGCTGCGACATTATGTCGCCAATTGATTACAAGTTCTCCTCTTGCAGTTCGGGAGTGAGACGCTGGTGATAGCACGTCGTTGTTTGCATTCAACCTAATCCGGCGACAAGAACGAACCGTTTTGAGCAAGGCCGGGATTCCCCTCCATTGCGGGCAAACAACGACAACGATGACGATGATTAAAAAGAACGGAGTCAAAACAATGGCAGGTGATCCAGGAGCAGAATCTCCGGGGTAACGGGAACCTTCTTGGCCCCTCAGGCGCGCTCCTTCTTAGTCGTGACGTCAACTGCATCATTCTCCAAAGCTTGAGGTGAATCTGAAAGCAAACGCGCAGCAACGAAATGCGCAGCTGGGCTGTGCTTGTGCTGAATGGATGACGATGACGTTGGGTGACATGACAAACAAATAAATATTTACTCCAGTCACCTCCTCTTCAAGACTTGAACCAACCACCACAAGCCCAAGTCGTCACATCAAGACAGCAACATCCAACAGACCAACTCACACATCCCAATCCTCCACCATGACTCGCAACTTATGCATCAGCGCCATCGACGGCCAGACCGGCTTCCTCATCGCCGAGCTACTCCTCAAGGAGGGCAAGTTCGCCAAGCAAATCAACAGCATCACCGGCCTGGCTCTCAACCCGTCCAACCCCAAGTGCAAGGAGCTCGAGTCGCTCGGAGCCAAGATCGTCCCGCACCACCCGGGCCGCGAGCGCCAGATGGTCAAGACCCTCAAGGAGGTCGGCTGTGACACCATCTGCGTGATCCCTCCCGCCCACAAGGACAAGGTCGACATCACCATCGAGCTGTGCGAGGCCGCCAAGAAGGCCGGCGTCCAGAACGTGCTGCTCATCTCTGCTGCCGGCTGCGACTACGCCGAGAGGGACAAGCAGCCCCGTCTGCGCGAGTTCATTGACATTGAGAACATCGTCTTGAGCTCCAAAGGCGACCCTAGCGTCGAGCTGGGCCACTCGCCCTGCGTCATTCGCGCTGGTTTCTACGCCGAGAACCTGCTTCTGTACACTCAGCAAGCGCAGTTGGAGGGTACCCTCCCCTTGCCCATTGGCGAGAACCACAAGTTTGCTCCCGTTGCTCTGGGTGATATCGCCCACGTCGCTGCTCACGTCCTCGCTGGTAAGGGCAAGCATGGCTTCGATGATCGCCACCGCGGCCAGATGATGGTTGTTACTGGTCCCATGCTTTGCGCTGGAAAGGAGTTGGCTGAGGCTGCTAGCCAGGCTGTTGGTCAGAAGATGGAGTTTGAGAACATCTCTGAGTGCGTCTTTCCCTCTTGCTTGTGCCCTCAAAACACCTTGTGCTTGATTACTAACACTAACGAAAATCAAACACAGACGCGAGGCCAAGAGAGTCCTCCATGCCCAGGCCGACATCGACGACTCCGAGAAGGAGTATCTCCTCGAGTACTACAGCTTGGTCCGCGAGGGCAAGACCAACTACGTCGCCACCACGGCCTTCCACGACGTTACCGGCGAGCAGCCTACCCAGCCTTCCGAGTTCTTCCGCATGTACAGCCATGAGCTGCGCCCCAAGAAGAAGGTCAAGACTGATAACTCTGCTTAAACCCGATTTCTTCTGTCTTTGTCTTGACACCATTTTGATTTCGATTGTGTAATCGCTGGAGCATGGAGTTTGGGCATCAGGCTTGAAGGGACACAAAGAGGTTCTGGATCGGATCGACAAAACGGGACGGACTGTGATGAATCTGTTATGGGGATATGGCGGACTACACGTAGATGTAAACAGATGCCTGTTGAAATCTTGAGGTAGTCTAGTCAATTGCAGAGCAGTCATCACGAACAAAACTTGATGAACTCCGCTCAGAAATATGTTCCCGAGATCTGTATTAGTGATTGTGACAAAACCAGACTAACTTGTTTTCCTATCTTTTTTATCGTTATCAGATTAAAAAGGCCATACCCATGAAGCAACAGATAACAATCACACCCTTTCACTCACCTCCTCTAAATTTCATCCCCTCTCAGCAACCTTCCTAGGCCTCCCTCTCCCCCTACCCCTTCCTCTATAGCTCTCCTTCCTCGGTCTCCCTCTCCCTCTCCCTCTCCCCCTCGTCGGTTTCATCATTCGTCTATCATCATCACATGTCGTTGCATGCTCATGCTCATGCGAGGATTGTGCCTCCAATCCTTCCTCCCAACTAATCCTCTGCCACTCAGCAAAGTCCCTATTCCCACGGGCAGAAATCTCGACTACCAGGACATTATTATGATTGTTTGCACTCTTACTCTTGTCACTCTTGTCCTCCTTCCGCTTTTCTTCGTCTTTTGAGACCTCTGAGATTTGTTGAAAGAAAACTTCATCTTCTTCACTCTCTCCTTCCGAGGCAAAGGGGTCGAGGAGAGGTGATGATGATGGGATGGTGGCCTCGTCGGGTTCGGGTTGGTCGTCTAGTAGGGCAACACTTTTGGTGCTCCTTTCTGTGGAAAGGGGGTTGTCGTTTTGCAAGGTGGCGATTACGTCGTCGTTTAGCTCCGAGAGGGGACTGGTATCCCTCGGCATCTTTGAAGAAGTAACGTTGTTGGAGGTGTGCTGCTTCTCTGGAACGATATCATTATTGCCCTTCTCGGTCCTAGAGGTAGGAGGAGGGTCGTCACTATCCTCCAAAACGACGACTGCTTTTTGGTTGTTCAGATTGGGAAAAAGTTTGTTGTTGGCATCCGTGATGGTCCCGTTGGCCACGCTGGTCGACATCGTTGCTGCTTCTGTTGTTGTCGGTACTTCTTGCGCCGATTCTGGCTCCGGTGTTCCTCTCCCCGCCGCTGTTATAGCCGCCACCCCGTCCCTCAAAAGCTGAATTCGCTTTCTCTTCGCCCCTCTAGTAGTCACCGCGCTCGTCTCGGCGGTGGGCTCATCGGTGTAGTCATTATCGCTATCGTTATCATCGGTGGCTTCGGAACCGTTCCTAACTGGATCCCCGGGGTTTCGGCGAGTGCCGTGGTGGAGTACTCGTCTTATTTTCGCTGCTGTGTTATAGGAGTTGTTGATGCTGTTGCCAAAATGACTGGGTTCGTTAGGAAGGGTGTTGTTGTTGCTGTGGGGGTTGTAGGTGGAGGGTTTGTAATTGTACGTAGCCGGGGAGGTGTTGTGGAAATGGGATATCAGCTCGAGATGTGGACGGCCTGAACTGTTATGGTTGTGGGTGAATTCGTAGGTACGAACATAAGGTCGGTGAGGTGCGTTGCCGCCAACATGACCACCACCAGGCTGAATCGTCAGATGACCAGCCGGCCCAGCCCCAGCACCAGGAACCCCCACCAAACCCAAAGGCCCCGGCCTCTCCGGCACCGGCACCGGCGGTGGCATCGGAATCCGCCACTTGCTCATCAACTCCCTCTGCGTCCTCACGCCCTCATTCACCCCCGTCCCCAACCCCAGCCTCGCCTTCTCCAACCTCTGCTCGTCCACCTGCACCCCTCTCGCCCTCTGCCTCTCCAACCAAGCCAACTCCTGCCCAGGCCCTGCTGCAGGGACCGGTTCACTCAACTGACACAAAACCCTCTCAGCATTACAAACAACCACCAACTTCGCCACAACAACTTCCAAATGATAATCCCCCCCTTCCCTCCAATCCCCCGACCTCAGTAGTCCGGGGCTGACGGCGAAGTCAACTTTGAGCGAATCGGCGATGGCTTTGGCGTTGACGCTGGCGTCGTTGAGGCTGACGGAGTCTCGTTGGGAGGAGGTGGCCGCGTTGAAGGAGGCGAAGCCGATGGGGTTGAGTTCCATCATGGAAGGGCGGAAGAAGGATTGGGCGGGGTCTTTGAAGGTTATGGTGTAGTTGGCGAGGGAGAGGCGGAAGGTATTGTCGAGGGAGAGGGCGATGGTGAGCAGGGCTTCGAGATCGGTGAGGAGGCGGAGGGAGGGGTAGGTGTGGGGTGGGGGAGGGGGCTGTTGTTGATGGTGATAGTTAATGGGGTGTGGTTGTTGGCTGTCGGATGCCGATCCGGATCCAGATCGGACCATGGCGGTTGGGGTGGTGATGGGATCGAGGAGGGAGGCAAGGAAGTAAGTAAGGGCGGCGATGTCGGCGTGGAAGATGGGTCGGAGTTGTTTGAGGAACGCGAAGGAACGGGCTTTCCAGGAGTGGAGCGCGGCGACTGTCGATGCCCAGTTGACATCTTTGGGGAGGCTTGAGACGTGTGCTATTGTTGGCCATGGTTAGCACTTGATTTTAGAACGCCGGAGATGGGAGCCGAGAAAATACATACCTGAGGCTCTCTCGTAGGCTTCGCCAAAGTCCTGTCCCGTTTTTCCTGCCCATCCTTCAGCTCGGCTGCTGAACACGAACGTCCAGAGCACTTCCCAGATCAAGCCCTGCAACAGGGAAGAACAAAGCTGAGGGTTTACCAAGACAGCTGGCGGATCTGCGCATATTGTTTGGATGCCTGGAAGGAGTTTCTTCTTATAAAGCTCCTGCGCGGTGGCATGCGGAATGACGGCGAGGCAATGTGTCTGAACAAACTGCCGGACCCGGATGGCCAGGTCCTTCCAGCTCGCCTGAATCTCCGCGTCGGATTTGCGGACTGGCTCAAACGGATCCCTGGACTTGAGTTCCGATACCTCTTTTGAGAAACTGGTGATCGCACCGTCGAGTTCGGCTTGAAGATTGTTGCACCTTTCTTGAACCTTCTGCCTTTCGGCTTTCAACCGGTTGATAAGCTTCTGATGTTGAAACTCCTCCCTATGCAAGGCAGAAGACAAAGCCCCGAGCCCGCTCTTTAATTGGTCTTCTTTGGCTGCGTGTTCAATAGACAGCTGTCTGATCCTCTCTATGTACGCGTTTTCCTTGGCCTGGTATTCCGCGGCCAAATCTGCCCTCAGTTTGTTGATGTCAGGCGCGAGGTTGTTGCTCAAGCGCAGTTCTCGTAGTCGCGCTACATATTGGTCTTCCTTTTGTTCCAATTGCTTGGTCAGTTGGCGCAGCTGCTGTTGATACTGCTTTTCTTTCGCCTGAAACAAAGCGTTCAACCTGCCAATCTCTCTGTCTGACTCTGCCTCTTGAATCTTGTCATCCTTTGCTTGTTGCCCATTGGATGATTCCTCTCTAACTGGCGTGCAGTCGTGTGATGAAGACACAGATTGGCTGACGCCAGGTGCGAGACGGTTGTTCAAGCGCAATTCTCGTAGTTGTGCCACATATTGGTCTTCTTTTTTCTCCAGCTGTTTGGTTAGTTGGCGAACTTGCTGTTGATGCTGTTGTTCCCTCGCCTCAAGTGTGGCTTTTAGACTTAATTCGCGGATCTGGCTGGCCGTTCCCGTCTCCTGGTCCCTCTTGCCGTTCGCCTTTTGACCGGTTGATGACCCATCTTGTGCCAGTGCGTTATTGTTGCATGAACACCTTATCTGTTTTTTCAACTCCTCGACCTCACGCATCTTCTCCTCCAACATAAGTTTCTGCATCGTGTCGATCCTGGGTCACCCCTTTGATCTGTTGTTGCAATTTGGAAAGCTCATTGCGGAGTTCGAGGTTCTCACGCCGCAGCTGATTTGATACCTCAGACTCGTCGGTTCCTATCTCTGGCACAGACGATTTGCTCCTTGTGCGTGCTTTTCCCTTAAACAATTGGGCGATCCTGACTTGAGGTTGATTGTTCTCATCCTCCGAGTCGGAAGAACTGCTGGAATCGCTCAGGCTATCGGGTGAGCCCTCATCCTCGGGTTCAATCTTTATGTAAGGAATCGTGTGGTGCTCACTGGTATCCGAATACTCGCTTCCGGTATTTCCATCATCTGAGTCCCAGGGGCAGTGAGCATCGTATGGCGGCATTTTTGGATTTTGTCGTTGAGTGAGTGTCCCAAACAGACATTCAGTGTTTCGTGGGACTTGTGACACGCAAGGTATTCGAGTGATGGCCGAGTAGTGGAATCAAACTAGAAAATGACAAAGAAGCCCATCCTGACGCCAAACGCGGCGATAAGAAAGTGCGCTTTGGTGGGGGCCGGATGCGCGACCACGATACGACTTCCCGTATCGATATAAACAGGTCAAAGAACACGGTGGAAGACACCAACAGAGCAATTCCTGTATCAGATCCAGAAGCGCATTTGCGCCCCCGCTGAGTTCAGTTGCGCCTGGTCTTTCAATTTGAATGTTTACATCGATTCCAGGTGAAGAGACCGTTGAGCACGGAATGATTTACATATGCGTCATGTGAAATCTGATTGGACAGAACGCTCTGCCAGTGGGTCCCGTTTTCCGAACATCCACTTTTAGTTAGTCCATTCGTCCCCTCTTAATCAATATGAAAACCAGAGCTACTTCGACTTTCTTTAGTATCTTGGGGAGAGAAAAGTCGCATTTTCTTTTGGTTTCCAATGGAAAATGCGTTCCCAGGCTCCCAGCAAAGCTAAAAAGCAAATACAAGCAAACATTTTGCGGCCACTCGACATCGATCGCCAAATTCGTCTAGCAGTGTCGGCCGAGCTGTCCCAGACATCCCAATTCACATCGACTCCATCTTGACTTTACCACTCTCATAGAGATCGCTCAACTGTGCTGCCACAGCAAACATGTCGACATCGCTTTCCATATCACCATCATCCGAGGATTCTTCCTTGACACGAACAGTGGACTGACGAGCACCCACGCTAGTCTGATCATCCTCCTTGGACAGCGAGCTATCAGGTGTTTGATAAGTCTCATCGACTTCATCCTCGTCGTCTTCACCGAACTGAAGCTTGAAGATGTAATCGAGGTTACAGAGAACTTCCATCTTCACCGAAACTCTCTCCGAGAGGTAGTTTTTACCATCAGCGTTGCCGGACTTGATGAGGCCAGGTGAGAGCACCAAGTCCACAACCGGAAGGCTATCGGGTCGAGACTGGTCCATCCTGGGTCCAAAGTTGCCTTGCTCCATTGTATTGGGATCAAACGAGTATCCGAAGTAGTCTGGCTTTTTCGGGGGTGTCGTGGTATGATGGAAGCAACGGTAATGGGCTTTTGACTGTCTTAACTGAATGTCGAGCTTGGTAGCCGCAGCGATGATCGCATGAAAATCCTTCACAGCCTTTGCGCCATCAGATGCTTCGAGAGGCGTGGAGAAGAAAGGCGCGAAAAGTTCGACCATTTGGTGTGCCAACTTGGTGTGGTCGGGGCTCTTATGGACGCCTAGGCGGACAAGCATGCTCATGGATCTCGCCCTCCATTCATGGAACTCCGTCAGGGATGATTCCTTGTCCAGGTCGTTATGGTCCAAGACATACTCTGCATTAGATTGTCATCAAGCTTCAACACTCTGCAGTGTCCAGATGGCATAATTCAACTCACCTAGGATGCTGTCACTCGCAACGAAAAAGTCTTCCCCAATTTCCCCTGCCCAATGTGTTGCTTGAGAGTCAAAGATATTCCAGCTGATGAAATTCCAGAGAAAAGCCTGTAAAAGAGCAGGGCAGGTAAAGGCGCTTTGAACGGCAAGCTCGGGAGTCGCGCAGATCTTCTGCAAGTTCGAAATGGGTCCCGGCTTGAGCAACTGGAGCTCATGTGCTTCAAAGTACTTCTTGAAGTAAGTCTCAGCGAATTGGCATATCAAGAAGCCGACATTCTTCCAGCTCTGTTGGATCCCAGTATCCGAAACTTCGACAGGGTTGAAGTAGTTTTGCGAGCTTAGCTCGCTGAGTTCTCGAAGCAACTCAGCCTGCATTTCCTTGAACTGTTTCTTCAACCCAGCGGCATCAGAAACTAGTTGGTTGTTCTTGGTCTCGAGTGCTTGGATCAGGGTCTGATACTGTTTCTCGGCTTCACTGGACAGTACAGTCCCGTCTGACTTAGGCCTAGTCGACATGAAATTGGTAATGGACCATGAAGAACCTTGCTTAATGGACTTGGTTCGATCTTCCAACTCACGAATTTTTCTCTTCAGCGACATCGATTCTTTCGCTTTGTCGTCGAAAACTCCCCGATATTGTTCCATCGTGTTCGACATTCCTTCTATCTGCTCTTGTAGGGCTTGTTCCTTCCTCCTCAACCCTTTAATCAGTGATCTGAGATCTTCGCGTTCCTTGGCGGCCTGGATTGCATCCTGCTCACGCCGATACAGCTCCTCAAGAGCACCCTTGAGCGCGGCTTCTGTCTCGTTGAGTTTATCTTGGACGTTCATGTTGCCTTGGCGGTTGCGGTTGGATTGTTGTGCAGTCTCTTGGTTATTCAGCCAAGCTGAAAGCTGCAGCCGAGGGGATGCTACCCTTCTTGCGCCCGCGCGGCTGTCTCTGTGATTGCGCGATGTTGAACTGCGGGGTTGTCTGCCGATGGGTGAAGCGTTGATTGTGCTGGGTCGAGAACCACGCGGCGAGGAATGCTGCCCTGCACGGCGAACTTTTGGCTCACTTGAGGGCATTGTGAGCTCTTATCTCGTTCGTTGACCGGAAGAAAGAAGCACTGAAATGTTGGGGGGGGGGGAACACATATACTATCGCCAATTCTCTGCTTCAATCTGTATCAGGGTCAGTGATTATGGTATCGTTGATGTTTGGGGAGACATGATGACAAAGTGACACCCATGTCAACCAGCATAAACGTTGGTGACTTTCAGTTTGAGCTCGCTCGAGATACGGTACAGTTGTACCGGTAACCGATCTCGAGATTATTATGCTTACCGGAGGGTGTTTTGAAGTTTGCCTTAACGGGTTGACAAGATTGTCCTCGTGAGTTCTATTCGGATAAAAGGCTTCAATCGAAGCTTTGAGGCCAAAGTTCAGGTACGATGAAGGATGGATGATGTTCTTGTGGGAGAAGAGTCTCGAGATATAATACTCGTGAAGACTACCTCACAGGTAGTGGAGGAATGTCCTAGCACGTGAGCAGGCAAGTGGTGATGTAGATGGGCATACCTCTACTTGCTTATCAAGCGGAATCTTGCATCTGCATCTAGGTATTTGCCCTAAGCGCACCTGAGGACCTTGATAGACAGGCAAACAGCAGGTATATGTGCAGAGTTACGAGCGCTTGATTGGTTGGATTCTAAAGCTTCCAAGTACCACGTCCGCAACTTCCACCACTGCTCTAACCACAGGTACCTCTGTCCTCTAATCCCCTACCTCTCAGAGCTCTCACTGCTATCACCACCATCCGTTCTTTCCATGATGAACCCGGCTTTTTTCGGCAAGTCTTTTCCAGCTACCTAGATATTTGAAACTCGTACGAGGTGTATTGTTTAATTCTTTCCTCCGGTGACCCCTCGCTTCGTTATTCAATGCTAAAGATCCCTCCAACTACCTCCGTTGAACGAGCAGGGTGTAGTCTGTCCTAACCCTCAACTATTTTCGGTTTTTCTTTCAGCAAATTAAACTCCAGCAAATCAACACAGCAAGGCATTTGACCAGAAAATCAATATGAACTCGTGCCCGGTAAGCAGAAATGGCGTCAGATGTGAATTTCTGGTCCTGTTTTGTGCGGAATCTGACTTAGTCTGATCCCATTTGCAGGTCTCCTTCATGGTCAACCTTCGGAACCGGCGGTAGATTGACGGAGTCGGCATTTCCATCAAGATCCATGGCTTCCGGGCTTTCTTCAGCCTCCTCTACCTGAGGATGGACCATCACCGCATTGAGAACCTCCCCCTCCCCGGTCAATGGAAATCTTTCAGGGGAGTTGCGCTTCGACTTTGCGACATCACATGCGCCACCCTCTTGCTCTTCATGCTCAACTGTGGCTGACCCATGCTCGGCCACAATGATGGTTGACTCGTTCATCTGCTCTTTGTTCTCATGGTCCCCATTCTGAGCCAGTGACCTATCCGTGGACTGTGAATCGGGTCCCTCAGAATTGTTCGCGTATTCCGGGGCCGTGACCAGCGAAACGTCTGAATCCCCTTCATTGTCTTCGGGGTTTTGAGGTGTGACTGTTGGGTGACCCGATGTGGCGGATTCGCCGTCATTGTCAATGTCCTCATCGTCTTCCTCATCATCGACATCATTGAACCAGGCATCTAGGTCGCAAACAACTCGCATTTTGGCCAAAACCTTCTTGGATTGATAGTTTGTGCCATCAGCATTGCCACACTTGATCAAACCTGGCGATACCGCCATATCAACGATGGAAGGGCTGGCTTGTCCCGGTTGATTGCTGCTCGGCAAAAGGGAAATTTGATTCATGGTTGCGGTATCAAAATGATACCCAAAGGGCCGAGAGTGGTTCGACCGCACGCCGCCAGAGAAGATGACCGTGAAGTCGGCTTTCGACTTTTTGAACTGAATGTTGATGTCGACAGCTTTGTTGATGATCTCGGTAGCGTCTGTCAAAACCTCTTGGGGAAACCGACGCCTCGATGCCCTTGGTGAGATGAACTGCCGTAACTGGTCCATCATCTCCATGGCAATTGGGGTATCTTTCGACTTCTTGTCCATACCGAGGTCCACAAAGAAGCTCACAGATCGTGATCTCCATTCATGATAAGCTGTGTCAAATTCTGTCTTCTTGTTGCCGGGGAGTTTCTTGACGCATCCTGATAAAGTCTTTGTAAGTATTCTGATCGGACCTCAATGGCAGACGATACTTCGAGTTCTTTTTTTTCGGACGGATCAGCTTACCTGTGATTTTGCCGCAGATATTATCAAATTTCTTCCCGATTTCTCCTGCCCAAAGCTTCGACTCAGGGTCGAAAATTTCTTTCTTGATGAAACGCCACACCATGCTCTCCACAAGGTACGGGTATACGAATCCGGATTGGAGGACTGATCCTGGCTCAGCACATACTTCGCCAACGTGCGAGTACTGCTCGAAGTCTTCAGCCTTCTGGAGGTCTTCCAACCGAAGCATATCGGGAAAGTGGTTGCTAACAAACTGTTGAATCAAGAAGCCAAGCTGGCTCCAGTCCTTTCGAATCTCTGAATCGGCGTACTTGGTTGGGTTGAAGTAGTTCTTGGATCGCAGCTCGGAAAGTTCCTCAAGAAGCTCCGTCCGTGTCTCATCTAGCTCCCTCTCAAGTTCAGCTATCTCAGATTTGAGGCGGTTGTTGTCGGCTTCCAGGTTTCGGATGCGAGTTGCATCCGCAGTCTCTGGTGTGTTGAAGTATGTCTCTTTTTGCCCTTCTTCCTTTTCGTGCATTGCCCTTGAAAGTGAGGGACGGACAACAGACACTGGCAAGCTTCGGGTACGTAGAGCAGCTGTAAGCCCCTCGATTCTTTCATCGTGGGTCATTCCACCAGCTGAGCTGCCGGGGTGTGGAGCGCGTGATGGACCGCGGTCGCTATCCATCTTTGGATTGTCGTTCATAGGTAACGAGTGCTTAGGCTTGGTTGGTTAAGAGCACGAGGAAATGTTCGCCGGGCCAGAGCGCGTATTGAAGGTGGGGTGTTCGGTGATATCGGACTTCTGTCATAGTGTGAGCTTGTCATTACTTGGGTGCGAATTTGTTGAAGACGGGAATGAGATAGATCTCACTGATTGCTGATGCCTTAGTGACGTCCTTCGAAAGCCCCCGCTGAAGCAACTTTTGTTCGGTAGAAGAGAGGGTTCACCCAGCTGCGCTTGTGATGACAACAAAAGGATTCGTCAAGAGCAAAGTTCCTGAAGCTAGCTAGCACAATGGTGAGTAAATGTTGATGTTCTCCAAACACAAGGTACGAACCAGTATGGTGGGGTGGAGAGAAAAGCGTTCAAACCTTCTCTAAATAATATTTTGTATCAGGTAGTGACTGAAAGAAATTCATTAGGTTCGACGAAGTAGCCAGACAAGGCTGACAAGTAAGTGAGCCTTCACGAGACAGCCAGGAGTGACACAGAAATATCGAAGGAGGACTAAAGGCCAGCCGTTAAATAACAAATTCACTGACAAACTTGGATAGCAGAGAGAACGATTAGAAGCACCAGGCTCCACCGTCCAATCGCAGAAGGCTTTGTGAAGCATGGGACTTCACTGATTGCGGTCTCATCTTCTTATCTTTTGACTCGGAGTACTCCCTCCTTCGAAAAGGTACCTCGACATATAGGTACGTACCTACCTTACTTACCCAGATCACTTATGGGATTTGTATACTTCTACAGGTACTCGATTGGAGTACTACCCCTAAGTATTTCCCGCGTGCAGGAAAATAATGCCGAGTACATCCAGAAGTACCTAATAGTCGCAGGCAAGGTAAGGGTACCTCCACCTCGGAGAGATAGCCTTGGTATATGCCCGATTGCAGAGACGTTATTTCGTCGCTCCTTCCTTGACAAACAAGCAACGAGCAAGTTCTTGAAAACGGTGACAGAAATCTCAAAGCTTGGATCAATCTGAAACAGTCATACCTCTCGTCATCTCACCTCTTCTCGGCGATTAGATAGGACCACTGCCTCCATCTCACCTTTGTTTTGTTTGCCTGAGGACTTCCTCTCGAGTCCAGAATTTGTGAGATACCCCACACAAACTTCCTCTTCGATAGCAAGACTAGACTGAAAGTCTTCTTCAGTTTCTCCCCGATAACACATCCTCATAAACGACACATCCAGCTTCCGTCAAACTATATCACGACTTGTTTTCTCACTATACATCTTGCGACGCGTTTTTCATCATACATCTCACGACGCGTTCTCTCGCCATATATCTCACGGCTACCTAGTAATAAAGGCAGATATCACCCTGTTGTTCTTCCCTAAATTTGTCACGAAGCCAGTATACTCTCTCCCTGATTACCAGGTAAGCTGCTGCGCCGTTAAAGTTGTGCTAATCCTCCATAACTTTGCCATCACCCCGCCCTCACCTTATCCTTTCTACATCACGGGTCCGCCACCCTCGGCACTCCGACTCATGAGTGTTCCTTTGTCCAGTCATCATATCTAAACACAGATCTTGAGTATTTGTGGTCGGAATCACCGAGAAATTTACTAATAATCACCTCCATTCCTTCCAGGTGCCAAATTATCTCGGTTTGGAAGTGTTTATACAGATCTACTCGCTATAACTACGCTGCGATCAAGATGCCTTCAACTCCGCGGAGATCTCCCCGCAAACTGGCCAGTTCTCAAGGAACTGTCATCGTCGGGATTGACTTCGGAACAACCTTTTCCGGTGTTGCTTTCACCTGGTCCAACCAAGTTGATAAAATCGAGACCATAACCAGCTGGGACGCGGATTCAAGTGACAACACAGACGAGTGCAAGACACCGACCGCTATGTCCTACGATCCCGGAAATGAGGTGACCTGGGGCTATGGTATTGAGCCGGAGAAGGAACAGCTTAAATGGGTTAAGCTTCTGCTCCTCAACGACGAGGATATCCCTGAAGAAGTCAGAACTTCAGACAAGATCAAGAAGGCTCGTGAGTACCTCCAAAAGCACAACAAGACAGCAGAAGAAGCGGTCACGACGTTTTTGCGCCACCTTTGGGAGCACTCGATCGATTGTATCACCAAATCAATTAGCAGAGTCATGGTCAACTATGCCCAGTTTCATATCGTAATCACGCTCCCGGCCATTTGGCCGAGCTACGCACGCGAGAAAATGAAACTTGCGGCTGAGCAAGCTGGTATGCTGGACAAAAGGATGGGGGTCGAGACACAACTCACTTTCATCTCTGAGCCTGAGGCAGCTGCCATAGCCACTCTCGCGGACATGGAAGGACGTTTTGACGTGAAGGTAGGTCAACTTCCCACTAAGAGTGCCCGTCAACAATCTTCCCGGTAGCTCCCAACTAGATCGCGAAGAGACGACTTCAGGCAATGCTAATTCGAATATTTGAGCAGGATGAAGACACATTCGTCGTGGCCGATTGCGGCGGTGGAACCGTGGATCTGATATCGTATAAATTGATTCAAGCCGAACCCATGATCGTCAAGGCGTGTGTTAAAGGAAGCGGTAGGCATCCCCAGTCCTTCATTGCGTATCACGCAAGCATTCCCGGATACTGATACAGTGGCAGGTGGATTGTGCGGCGCTGTTTTCCTTGACGAAGCCTTCAAGGATGTCCTCAAGAGCAAGTTTGGTAAGAAATGGGAGAAGATGGAGGAGTCAAATCGGCGCGACATGATCCGCAATTCAATGGAGCCTGGCATCAAGCGGAACTTCAAGATGGGCTCCGACAAATCCTACAACATTCGCATCCCATTTGAATGCTTGTTGGCCAAAGAGCGACGCGTGACTGGAGCACAAGGCCTTCCCACTGTCACAATTGCCCCTGAAGACGTTAAGACAGCGTTTGATCCCGTCATTGAAAAGATCAACAATCTCATTGATGGTCAAATTAACGCCGTCAAAGAGAAGGAGAGGGTCAGCCCAAAGGTAAGACGAAGACAAGCAAGTTCTCAATTGCCATTCTTCTCTTTACTGACTGATAGGATAATACAGTACGTCATCTTGGTCGGTGGCTTCGGTCGTTGCAATTATCTATACGACAGAGTGGACGAGAGATTCGGCATGGAGGTTGAGGTCCTGCAGGCAAAGGGAGCAAAACCGTAAGAGTTCTTCTCCTTATGATCACTTAGCACAGGAACGCTGACTGGATTTCCACTCAAAGCTGGACAGCTATCTGCCGCGGAGCCGTCATCCATGCCGCGACCCAATCTGGAATTGGGAAGCTTTCTGTTCAAGTCAAGACCAGAGTTGCACGGGCGAGCTATGGCATCTGTTGGAACGAGCCTTGGGACTCCCGGCGCCACGACCCTGAGGACAAGTATTGGTGCGACATCGAGCAGAAATACTACGCACGGAACCAAATGGCATGGCTTCTCGAAGAGGTAGGTACCATTCAGAAAAATGATCTACAATCACTGTAGTGACAAAAAGCTTACCAAGGACAGGGCGATGATATTTCGGCCCAAGAGCCCACGAGCCGTTCGATCAAGCAAAACTTTGATCGCAATGGCCCCATGAGGACGCCCGAGGACGAGGAGATTTTCCAAACGAACATCTTCCCCCCTCCGACCAGATGGGATCCCGAGGTCATCAAAGAGCTATGCTCTATCAAATGGGAGACAGTCATCGACCCTTACACATTGCCGAAGTTCACCAACAGAATCGGAAGAGTCTACGGTGAACTTCTCTACCGTTGCGAAATGACCTGCTCAGGAGAGTCAGTCGGCTTTGCGATCTATCGTGATGGGAAGAAGGAAGGCTCCAAGAGCGTGAAGGTCGACTACAACACTCGTTGATGATCTCTCCGCCATCGTTTGCTCTACGATATTGCTTCAAATGTTGCTTCAATTTTTCCGAACATCATGGAATATCACATTCCATCATCTACCGCACGTTGTGTGCCCAACTTGGCACCACAATGAGCCTATCTTCCGGGTTATGAGCACTTGAATCTCATAAAGCCCAATGTATACTAGAGCATTGAGCCAAACTGGCATCCAAGCAGATAGAAAACAGAATGGAATCTTCGAATGACCAACCCCAGTGATTTGTGAAATTCCAAACATCCAAAACTTTTTACGATACTCACGCCCCAACAGCCGGCAAAACCCAAGTCACCACCGAGTTCCTATAAACCAACCCGCTCCAAACCTCCCCGCTCTTCGCCTCAACCGTCACATAAACCTCGTTCCCAAACTTATTCTCAATCACCACCGCCCTGCTCCCATCATCCGCATTCGTCGCCGCCACGCTCTCCAGCCCGCTCCCATCCCCATATGTCCAACTACCCGTTCCACTCATCACCACGGCGCCCTTCCTCATGAACTTCGAAAACTGCGCCATCATATAATAATCCCCTCTCAAATTATACGTCCCCGCCGCCGTATCCACCGTCACCAGCCCCGTGCACTTATCACACGCATCGCTTCCCGTCAAGTGCGGCCCATCGTTGGTATCCGTCCCCAGGACCCACGCCGTCACCCCGCTCGCCCAGTTCTGCAGCGGTCCCATCGTGAAGCTCGCAGCCCAGTGCCACGGCGTCGGCTGCCTTGCCGACGTCCAGCACTCGGTCATGTACTGCTCCACGCCCGGATGGGCGTTGTGGAAAGTGGTCAAAACGGACCAGTCCAGCGAGCTGGCGTAGCAGTGCCATGCCACCGCCGGCACATACCCCCCGGCCCGAGAGAGGACGGTGGACGGGTACGAGGGTTGGTCGGTGTTATGGTCGTATGCCCAGATTTTGGTATCCAGGCCTGCGCTCTGCAGTGCTGGGCCGATGTTATTCTGGATGAGATCCCCGGCTTCGTCGGCGTAGATGTACATGGTGGGCATCTGCGCGCGGGAGTTCAAAGGTTCGTTTTGGATGGTGATGGCGTCGATTTTGGCACCCTTGGCTTGGTACGCTTGGAGGTATTTGACGAAGTACTGGGCAAACTGGGAGACGTAGGCGTGGTCGAGGTTGTTGTTTACTGTGGTGCCTTGGATCACGCGGTTGAGCTTCATCCAGCCTGGTGGACTCCAGGGGGAGCCGAGGATGGTGAGAGAGGGCTGGAGACGTCTCATCTCGGCGAGGAGCGAGGCCATGGCGGAGCCGCGGTCGCCGAGGTTGAAGTTGGAAAGGGAGAGGTCGTTTTGGCCGTTGGTGGTGGAGTCGTCGTAGGAGTAGACTGGGTCGGCGGAGAGGTCGGAGGAGGCGATGGTGTGTCGCATCATGGCGAAGTTGGCGCCGGCGGAGGTCATCAGGGTGTTGAGGAGGGCAGTGCGTTGGGCGGAGGGGAGGGCGTTGAAGACGGACACGGTGGAGTCGGTGACGGCGGCGCCGAAGCCTTTGATGGTTTGCTTCCGGCCGGAGGGGGTGTCGTCTATGGTGAGCTTCCATGTTGAGTTGGACCCCGGGGTGCCAGTGCCCCGGACCGGAGCGCTGTAGGAGGAGAGTTTGTATTTGCCATCTGCTGATGAGGCATAGGCTTGGGGTTGGATCGCCGCAGCGACTAGTCCTGGGGTAACGAGGAGGGCAACTGCTGGGAAATGCATCTTGGGCAATGAGTTGAAGCGATGAAGAGAGCTTGTCACTCAATGCTGTCAGTGAAAGCCAAGAAGGCGAAACTTGCCCCTTTTGTATGTTTACTTTCAACCCCGGATTGACGTAACATCCGGACATAAGTAATGGTCGGCCACATCGACTACCCCCTTAAATGCGTTCTTCATCAAGGCTAATTGGTGGAAGCATTCGTAGGTAGATGATTACTACGAACCAAAGCCAAATATTGAATGTTCAATCATACACTATATGTGTTGTATCGGGGATGTGACGGTAGTGGCGGGGGCTAAGTTGCGAGGAAGGATCCACGATTAATGACACCTGCCGTGTTTAAGAGGAAATGTCGTTGCCTAGAAAACTTTCGAAGATCATTGGTTCGAGTAAGGACTCGTGCATCTTTGCATAATCAAATCTGAGACCTTCCCGCTCGCTTTAGTCCAGCTAGTCCAGATCCATACAGAGCGCCGTGTTACCATGCGGGGGAAATGTTCTGATGTCACGTTTCGGAAGACAGTTTGAAGGGAATAGTACTCTGCAACGCACTAGACCTGCGCAGAATTGACTAGTGTAATGAGATATTGATAACAGGAAATGAATTCATGCGCGGGTTCTCGCCGAGAGTGTTGAGTTGGAGGAAGAATGTGCAAGACACAACCAACTGCACGGATCAGCGAACCTTATTCTGTTGCCTTTGAGAACCTTGTGAGATACTCAATGCCAAATATTTGCCTAGACCGACAGAAACCATGATTGGGGAATGGGATCTCACTCGGGTTCCTGATGTTAATGCCAGTGGGCATTGTGAGTGTCAGGTGTGAGGTGTGAGTGAGCCCGCACCGGTAGTACCATCAGCCTCATGGCTGTATCGCGGTACTTGATCATGCGAGGGTATCTTGGGAATAAGGGGGATTTTCCGGTACCCAATTGTTTGCCAACCAGACCGCCGGCAATGAGTTGCTCCACAAACGGTACTGGTCCCGTGCCCCCTTCATGGTTGTAGCTGCCATCAGGAAAGACAAAGGAAGAACCACCCAGCAGCCAACCACCACCAGATTCGGTATATAGCTCAGAATGGCGATCTCCGTACTACTCAGATGGCCGATTTGGGACGAGCTGGACATATCGTTCGCTATGAGAAGGACATGCGACATAGTCCATTCACAGTGGCCCATGAGCGAGAAAACAAAAAGACAATGCGTCCGGCAAACTTATACCGGCGGTACATCTTTCTGGGAGCTCAAAGGCGACACTGGCCAGGGGGGATGCATAAAGAAGGGCACCGGAAGAGAAAGCCAACGCCATCGTAGAACATCCGCAAACGGCCATCAAGGGAGGCATTGTTTGTTGGGCGATGCAAATGTAAATAAACCCCATAGAAGTGCAACACCGCAAAGTGAAATGGTGTTCCAAGGGAACTTTTCCAGCTTCGTCAGTTCCAACTTCCTCCAAGGTAGAAAGACAGAAGCTCAAGCTCCATCATTTTATACTACCACCACTTCGGCTAGAAAGAGCATTTTGAAACCTTCTTGAAAGCCCCAAGAACCATCAATCACATTCGCGATCCCCTGTCACAACACTACTCGTTACAATCCATTGAACTTCTTTACTTTTGAATCGACAGTCAAAAACACCGCGAAAATGCCACGAGCAGCAGGAGCAGCGCGACAAAAAGCCCTCGCCGACAAGAAAGCCGCAAAAGAAGCCGAAGCAGCAGCCAAAGCCGAAGCGAAAGCGCAAAAGAAGGCAGAAGCACAAGCTAAAAAGGCAGCGAAAGAGGCCGAGGAGGATGCGGACGACGAAGAGGACGATGAAGAGGACGACCAACCACCTGTGACCCCCAAGGGCAAGGGAAAGGGCAAGGGCAAAAAGGGTTCGCCTAAGGGGAAGACGCCCAAGGGAAAGAAGGCAGCTGTGCCCAAGAAGGGAAAGGCTGCTGATAAGAAGGGAAATGCTGCTGCTAAGAAGGGAAATGCTGCTGCGGATGACGAAGAGGATGACGAAGACGAAGAGGGTGACGACAATGATGAGCAACCGCCTGTTACACCCAAGGGGAAGGGCAAAAAGGGTTCGCCTAAGGGGAAGGGGAGGGCTGCTGCTCCTGAGAAAGCTGCTCCTGAGAAAGCTCCTCCTAAGGCAGCAGCGAAGAAAAAGGCGGCTGCCACAAAAAAGAACGCTGCTCCCAAGACTGCAAAACCGGTAACCAACGAGAGAGCAGCGGCAAAGTCAGTAGCAGGCATAAAGAGAGCTGCGTCGGAGATGGAAGAAGATGAAGACGAAGACAACAACGCTGACGAGGATGAAGACGACCCACAACCACCAGCAAAAAAGGCCAAAACGCAGCCTGCCAACGCTATAACCAAGACCGCAGCCAACCCCAACCCCCGAAAGCAGCTTGCCGGACAAGATACATTTCTCATTCCGCGAAAATCAGTACCTTTGGCGAGAGGGCCGAGAAGGCCAACAACGTCATCAGAGGTGGCGCGGGCGGAAGAAGCAGCGGCAGGGGCAAGCGCAGATAGAAATCCAAGTAGTCAGGCGGCATATGATGAGGCAGGCAGATTGGCTAGAGAGTGGAACGAGAAGCAGAAGAAGAAGGAGAATGAGAAGAATAAGAGGTGGAAGCTGCCGCCTGTTAGGGTTGCGGTGAGGAATGGGACGGGGAGGGTACAGGAGAGGGAGGTGGAGTTTGATGATGATGAGCGGCGTCCGGGTCAGGGTCGGGGTCGCGGGCGGGGTGAAGATGAGGAGCGGGAGGTGGATGAGTATGAGGGGCCGGAGGGGGTTGAAGAGAGAGAGATATTTAACAGATATCGCGCAGCCTCAGCAGCAGCAGTACCAGCACCAGCACCAGCAGCAGTACCAGCACCAGCACCAGCACCAGCACCAGCACCAGCACCACCACCAGCACCAGCAGCAGCCGCAGCAGCCGCAGAAGAAGGTGGTGGCGGTGACCCCGACGAAGACCCCTCAGATCCCTCAGATCCCTCAGACCCCTCAGACCCCTCAGAGGCCTCAGAATCCTCGGACTCATCATCCCCAAGCATAACCTCCGAGCGCCTATACCGCCACCTCCCCGAGATCCAAGACGAGCGACTCAGATCCCGCCTCGCCCAACTTCGGGAGTCCTGCCGCATCAGGCTCCAACGTACCGCAGCCGACGGGTTAGAATACACCCAGGGCATCTTCACGCGGGCATCGGGGCGTGACTACGGCGACCCCGTCACCACGGAGGATCTCGCGCGGGACTTTGCCCATCTCAAGTTTCTGGTTCAGAAACTCGTCGGCAAGATTCCCGCGGATCGTATGGATGAGCTGGAGGTGATGGTACCCAGCGTCAGGGAGGAGTTCAGGGAAATGACGCGGCATGTGAACGCGTATTGGCGACCGGATCGTGAGACGTTGGGGAGGTGGTTGCTGGAGGCGTTGGTGTGGAGGAGGCTGCATAAGCTGATGTTTGATCGGACACGGTCGGAGTATTTCGCTTTTGGACATGGGAAGGAGATGTTGATGGAGTTTTGGGTTACTACTTGTAAGTTTTGTTCTTCATTTTGGGTGAGATTGTTCAGTGTCGGAACCGTCTGCTAACCTGTGACTTGACGCGATTAGTGACAGCATGTGTAGAGGAAGACTTTCCAGAAGCCGTATCAGGACTGTGCGAACTCCGGGCTCGTTTGGCGACGTTCTTGAAAGAAGTGTACGAGGAAGAAAGCCCGTCTCGGGTGGCGCGTGCTTTCGAAGAGGTCTTTTGCCATGGTATCCTCGATTTCTTGAGGGAAAAGGATCAAAATGACAACCAGCGTACAGGCAGATATTTCCACGAAGAGAGGGCAGAGCGGGAGAGGGAAATGCAGGAGCTGGCCGTGCAGATCATCGGCCACGCCAGCGACCTCAACTCGAGGATGTTGCGATCATCGGGGAATTGGGCGCTCATATACACGGATCCTCGGCATGAGGAGGATACGTATGGGTACTCCTTCTTGCCCGACAAGATGCACTTGAGAGACCTTGAGGACGAGTATGCGGTAAGGGAGAATCCGACAGGAGATCTGGGGGCCCTTCAACAAGATGAGATGGGTAAAGAGGTTCTTCTTGCCATCACTCCGGGGCTGTGGGACTTCACTGAATGGGCGCATATGGACCCCCATTATGCGGTCCCGCATGTGAGGTCGGAGGTGTCGACGTTAAAACATATCAGAGCCATGGCGAAGACCGCGAAGAAGGCGAAACCGAAAGATAAAAGGGGGCTGCGGAGGGCAACGATGTTCAACCGGTCTAACAGTTAAACAGGTTCCAATGTTGGGGGACGTTACCTACCGTTATATAGACTTGTGCGAATTTGGGGTTATGTATTCTGCAAAACCTTACATGAGAGTGACGAGATTGATAGACGCAGAAGCGAGGCAATGCGAAGTTCATCAGGTGCCAGGAACCCGAGGTCTGAGCAACAGAAGGCCCTGCGATATGCAGTGACCGTCATCCCAAGTGACGCACAGATGGTCGCCTAGGCGATAAAGCGCGAAGCCGTTTACCGCAAACGCGCTCTTGCTGGGGTTTGCTCTTTCTGTGTGCCAACTCCATAAACATCAAGGCCGATCTGGACATATGAGATAATCATACTCCTTGTTCCAGCTTCAGTAATTGACCTGGAAGTTAATGTCAAAGTCAGTATGGCTCTCCCGTCAGTGGTAGCTCGACCTTTCTTGTGTCGACCTTCCAACCTCCAGAAGAGTTGGGACGGCTTCCGCTCTCTTCGCCCATATGGTTACCAATTCAACTCCAGCCAGCGGTCCTCACTCGGCCCTCTCCAACACGCCGGCATTTCTCAGAAACGTTGGCGAGCAACACGCAGTCCGGCACAATTCTCCCGATATACCACCCAGCTATTCACCTCCCACGCGCCCGAACGAGTCGCGCGGTCAATCACCCAATGGCACCCACCCACCGACAAAGACATGTGGGAACAGCCCGTCTTGATCATGGGCGCAGGCCACATCGGCCGTCGGGTAGCTCTAGTATGGGCATCTGCGCTCCGTCCGGTGACGGTATACGACATCTCCAAAGACGCGCTCCGCTCCTCGATCGAGTACATCACCGACAACCTAGCCAAGTACTGCCTCAGCCACGGGACCCATCCCGGCCCCGTGCACTTCACCACCGACCTCCGAGAGGCCACCACAGCAGGCAAGCGCGTCGGTCTGGACGGTCTGAAGTTGGATTTCAGCGCGGCGCACGCTGAATCTGAATCCAAATCAAGGAAGAAGGGACCGTGGATGGTAATCGAATGTCTCCCCGAAAACCTCTCCCTCAAGATCCGCGCCCTGGCCGAGATCGAGCGCCTTCTCCCGGAGAACTGCATCATCGCCTCCAACAGCAGCAGCCTGATGACTTCGGAGATGGCGCCGCACCTGCAACACCCCGGTCGCCTGCTCAACACGCACTACTACATCCCGCCGCGCAACGTCATGGTGGAGGTGATGTCTTCCTCGCACACGTACGAAGGGATTTTCCCGTTCCTAACGCAGGAAATGAAGAACATGGGGTTGACGCCCATGGTGGTGCCTCCCGGCGTGCAGTCGCAAGGGTTCATGTTCAACCGCATCTGGGCGGCGTGCAAGCGCGAGACGCTGGCGGTGTTGCAGGAAGGGGTCGGGCAGCCGGCGGAGATTGATGCCCTGTTTCGGGACTTCTTTCATGCTGAGAAGGGGCCGTGTGAGCGCATGGATGAGGTTGGGTTAGATATTGTGGCTAATGCTGAGAGCCATTATATCCAGCAAAGGCCCCACATTGCCGAGTCTGGCGAGAAGCCGCTGGAGTGGCTGAAGAAGACGTATGTTGACCGTGGTGATTTGGGCGAGAAGAGTGGTGATGGCTTGTATACGTGGGAGGAGCGGGAGGCGCTTAAGGCGAAGCACAAACGGGAGAAGTTCCCTGAGGTGGAGGAGGCGCTTGGGGCTTGATGGCAATCGTGTATGTGTTTATTGTGTTATTTACGCCAAATGAGGTTGAAATATTGTTGTGATTTGGTGTCGTCGGTTGTTGTTCGAAAGTGAGTTGGAAGTGGAAAAGATGCATTGAAATCAGTCACGTCTAGCGTGCACTAACAACCATTCACCTAAATCAAACCTGACACTGTTAAGGTAGCGGTTTGTTAGCCACTGTGCGCCCCACTTTCTCCACTCTTTTCTGTCCCCCACCAAAGTCTTCGTTCTTAGGGTATTTAGCTGGAGGATTGGCATTCCTCCGGGTTTCCTTTTCTTCCACCAGACCAATCCAACTGTCAATTTTCTCCAATTGGTTCCATCCTTGATCTCACCACCCTGAAAGGCAAACGCTTCAATCCTCTCGTCTGCACAAAATTCACCTACCCTTCACATCACAGCAATACCAAGTCCTGTCGTGTCCATCAGTCTACTGCCCAATTCAATTGATAACCTATCGAGAGGTGATGCGAAGTGGAAGTCTACCACAATCCAAGCCAAAACGCTCACCCGTTGTGCATGGAGAGACACGGATAAACATCGACGGCCACATCAACACCAGACATTTTGGACATGTATCGATATTCGATTAACACTCTGTTAATGCCCAGCATGTGAACTCCCTCCCGCATGCCCATCCCCAACACTCTGGTGCCCCCCAGCACTCCCCGCATCATGATGTTCCAGATCCAACAACTTCCCCGTATGACCACCACCATGATCCATCGGCGCCGGCGCACTTCCGCTATTCCCCCCCAACGGATCCGGCGCGGCGCTAACCCTCACATAATTCTCATTCCGATTATTCTCCTCCGACTGCCTCACAGCATTGTACTTCCTAAACGCGACCTGGACCAACAGCCCGACCTCTTTGCGGTTCCTGCCAATGACGCCCACGGCCAGCAGCGCCTCGGTCTGCTCGATCCAGTCCTGCAGTTTCCTGAACTCGGCCTGGTCGTGCCGCAGCCGCTCGGGCAGGCCCTGACCCTTGATGAGCGCTAGGACGCCGGCGATGACGGTGTTGATGGCGCCTAGGACGGTGATGAGGATAGCGTGTTTACCTGCTGAGGGGCCACTGTTATGGCGTTAAGGGATCTTGTTAGTTGCATATCTCCATCCGCTGAGTTGACGGTAACCGTAGGTAGGTACCCATGGGGATGAAAGTTGTTGATGGCAAAAAAAACTCACAAAGCAGTCAAAGTAGCCCCAATCAAGATCTGCGCCAGATGACTGGCATAAAGCAAAAAGTCGATAAGTGCATGTTTCACCCGCTTTTCTCGCTGCGCCTTCATCGTCGCCGCGTACATGCCCACCGCCCGCTTGCGGCCTTCCTCCAGGCTTCGCGGGTCCGACTCCCCGGCCAGCCCGCTGTTGATACCGATTGCCCGCCGGAAGATCACCAGGTTCTCATCGTTGGTCCCACGTATGGGAAGACCGGCTGGATCGCCCCATGATAGGTTGGTGTCGGCTTTGAGAATTCCGCGTTCGGCTGCCGTAAAGGACCGGACGGCTGCTGCTTGGACTGGTGTCATTGTTGGGGTGACGGCGGGCGCTTTGGATGTTGAGCCTGTGTCGGTGCTGGTTTTAATGGGTGGTAGTGGTGGTGATGAGGGCATTTTTCCGTCGTCTTCTTCTTCTGATATGGTCCAGCGTCTTGCTAAGTCTGGGGTTGATTTCGATGGGTAGCCAAAGTCCATGGTAGAGATCTTTGAGCTAGTGCTTGGACTGCTGCGACTTCGACTTGGCTGCTGCCGTGAACTATGTCTGGGTTGGACAGGTGATGATATAGTGTCGAAGCCGACGGTGCCTTTAGCATCTTGAAGAAGCGGTGACTGTTCATCGGCCTCTCCGGTGTCGATATCCTCACGCTCACCGGCGCTCGTGCTGCCTGATGACCGAGATCCCGGCATATTGCACTGGGGCGCAGACGTCTTTTTCTCCAAGGAGAGTGACTGGTGATTTTCGGTTGCACTGCACCAGTCAGCATACCCAGATTCAGATCCTCCTCCTACTTTGTCTCCTTTTGTGTGCCTGTGGGGGTCAGTTCAGTGGTGAAGATGACACGGTTGTGCGTCTGAGGAGGCAGCCATCAACCGTGGTCTGCTGGTCTTTTGCCGAGAAAGGTCACAAAGCATCGAAGGCCAAGTGAGCAGCATTCACCTTCCTGTTTCCAACGGGATATTAATATGAAGGCTTCTGACGGATCGGGGTACCAGTCATCTTCCTCGACATCTTGTGCTTCCCAAGTGCGGAAATATTGAAACTATGTACTCCCCGAGGTCTCAGCCTCATCTGTTCTCTACTGGTTGAACGTAAAAGCCTTTACCATGCTCGAGCGCCATCAGATGGTCTGTAGAACCAGGAGCTCTTGAGGTTTCAGTCTCGGAGATGAAGATGAAGGATTGATTCAGCACTTTCTGATGCAAGCGTTATGCTCTCTGCAACATGGAAATGGCGATCCGACAGCGTGAAGGTATCACCAAGCCCATGAAAGAAGCAGCAAATCCGGATTTCCGAATGTCATATTCCACCTTGTTGTATGTTTCACCAGCCTTATGAAAGCCGTGGGGAACTACCCCGCCAGTTTATTCATTATAGCTAAAATGCTCGCGTGGAACAGTGTCCGGCTGGACATTGAAATGGAGCCGCGAACTGAAAGATAATGCCTGAGCAAGAAGGTGGGATCATAGGGCGGTTGGTTGCGAACAATGATGTGCATAGCAATATATAGGAGATCTGGATCCGAGTCTTGTCTGTTGTCAGCTTACCCGCCTCGGTCTAGCATCGCCTTCGAAAACGGCTGTGCGACTGCCTCGAGATATTAATTGTGGCACGCGGTTCAAGAACGGTATGGTCATGTTTCCAAGCCTCAGCCGTTGCTCTGATCCGAGGACCGAGCAGATCACAGCCTCGATCAAATGCAGTGTTTTGTCTACGCCTTCACTGGGGTCGAAGAGCCGATCAACCACATTCACGTCTGTGCCGTTACCAGCAAGCCGCCCCCAATGTCACCTTGGCGTGGCTTTGTTTCGTTCCGTTCACCGAAATCCGGTTGACGTTCTCGCGGTCTGCTATCGATGTCCTGCCGCGGAGACGGGTTTGTTGAAAAAATATTCAGTTCTGCCTCAGAATGTCGTGGAGGTTTTATCGAAGAGCGAGTGTCGACAACCATTGTTAGTAGTATTCTTGTCCTTCAGGGTCGACACATGTACTTCTTACCTGAGAAAGAAAAAGAGTGGTGAAGCTTCGTCCTCAACAGAGTAATCGGAATCGAATTGTACAGGTCTGCCTCCCGAAGAAGACAGACGCCGCACGCTGCGTATTGCACTCAAGTGGTTCTACCCACAAGCTTCGTAATGGCTCTCCCAGAGGGCGACTACACCGTCAGCTCGCCGAAGCTCGCCTAGGATAGCCGTCTGCTTTTCTGATGCCAATTACACACACGGTATCGCGCGAGGCCGTTGCCGGCAGCAGCTCCTCAATCTAACCAAACTCAGGCCACCGAAGTGAGCCGAGCCTGACGCGATCAGAGGGGTGACTGAAAGTGAAGCGGTTTCTCCGAATTTCTCATATGCCATGATGAAAGGAATGCCGAAGCAGAACTCTCCGTTGGTAGCATAGAAACGCAGCGTTGAAGAGGACGAAGCTTCACGGGGGAGGAAAAAGGAAAGAAGGAAAGTTGGAAGTTGTGACTCGGGTCCTTTTATGGAGGGGTGACTGATGCTGAGGCTCCACCAGGAATCCGTGAGTGGGTCCGGGTAAGACCCACTTGATTTTGCAAACGGCGGCTCCGCAATTCGGAGTTCATGCTGCCGCGGCCCCGCAGTCCGGCACGGCCCTTGGTCTCCACTGTGCTCGCCTACCCCGCCTTCGCCCGCTTCCGTACTGGGAGGGGGGGGATCTTTCGATCTGTCCGCGAACGGTCCTATAACAATTCGGAATTTGGTGACCTGTACTTAGATCCCTCGACTTTCTTAATGTCTAAATGCACTAACATTTTAACTTTGAGATATTTCGTACCTGATTGACCGTTAATTTAAAGTCTTTTGACAATCCGAATACTTCAAATGTTTGGGAATTCGGACGTTTCGTCGGGCGGGATAGTCAATTGATGGTAAATTGGCAGTCGTAACCAGTTTGACATCGGGGGTTCTCGAAGTGTCTAAGTACAGATCGTAAGACCCCCCTCCTCCCAGTACGGTTATGCCCCGCAATGGGACCTGTATTGCAACCTCAACTTCAACATACACTCTGCAATCCGTCCACAAAATATGTTTATCCGATGATAATGCGCATGTCTCTACGACTATGTTCGCGACAAAACCTCAGCCGTTACTCCTCCGAAAGAAAGACACGAGGGCCCAAAAATGGCACGCGCCCGAATCCGGACATTGGACGACGTTCAACATGCAAGACACAACCTGAAGATTGTGTGGTAGAAGACTTCTGGTCTTAGGTCAGCCGCTCTCCTTCGTCATCCAGTCGGTTGCCGGCCCGAGACGCCAAGAATATCGTGCTCGAGAATACGAAGAGAAGGCGTTATCGTTCCCGACGATCGGCAAACACGTGTTGAGGATAAGAAGGCTTCCCGAGGGATGATAAGGAAGGAAGAGCAAACACGCGGGGACGGCTGTCACAGCTCAGCTGTGTCCGGATTTAACACGAGCAATCCCGTTACGAAAGAAAACGGACAGCCAAAATACCAGAGCCAGAGGGGAGAGGTCGCGAGGCCGAGTTGGTGATGGAGACGACTGGGAAACAACAAGAGCCTACGAACTTTGCCACGCCCTCGTCCGAGGCCGTCCGTTGTTGGCCAACTCGAGCACCGTTGGTGATGGCTTCACCAAAGCTGAATATCAAAACAATGAACACCAAGAACCATGGAATCAAACATCTGGTTTTAGCGGGCCTCTAGGCGCAATGCCTCCCGGATCAACATCATGGCGGGCTTACATCCCAGAACTCCATCACCAACAGGCAATTTTTAGCACGCCGTAGCATCGACGGGACCCTTCCAGGCCTCGAATGCCGGAAGCTTCACCATGTTTACTGCTGCATGCACTTCGGGAACGTAACGCTTTAGCGCCTGTTACATCCCACGCAACCCACGATGATCACCCGAAAACCCAATGCAAACTCTGAGCGAATAGCAGTCGAATGCTTTGCAGCCAATATCGACGGCTGCGCCTCCCCTGGCCCTCCATCCGATTGGGGCGGACGTTTCAACAGCAACAACACCACGTTTCTTTCGTGAACGATAAACCCAACGACGACAAGCCATCACCGGAAAGTGTTCATGGGTGGTAGAGGTAGTATCACGGGCAACCTGCAGGCATATACTGACCTACCTATCCCTAGTAAGCACAACATGAAGAAAGCGTGAAGGATACTGTTCAGCCCGAGTCCGGTATAGAGTGTCGGCTTGGCACTTTGATTTGTGTTACTTCCAAGGGCAGCATGCGAATCGATAATACGCCCATACTCACCTTGTTGATTGGAGGCGCAGTTATTCTATACTCAGTAGGCATTGAAGGTGGGATCCATGGTCACCTTGTATTGTAAACCGGGACCCCAGAGCTTTGGTTCCCAATGATCGGCCGGCCCCCCAGGGCTGGAGTCAACCTTGGATACGGGTTTGGTGCTTCGGTATGCCGATGAGATTGTTGTCTAAGTCTGGGGTGAGGTAGTGTCTCTGTGCTACCTGCCTTACATGCCACCAACCGGTTGAACAGTAGGTATTGTTTTGAATACATAATGGAGAGGGATCTCCATCCTGGATGCCTTTAGCTGATCGCCTATTCGTGCTATTACTACCTGAAAGTCTCTCTCCCCTCCCGTCTGGATGTTGTCACAAATAGACACACCTCCACTCGAGCAATAATACTCCATCACCCTCTTCTCTCAAACATCAAACAATATCCCAAAGATGTCACCAATACCAATACCCCATTCCCTCCAATTCATCCGCCTTCACCCACGGGACTTCATCTCCCCCAGCCCCTCTCCCCAATCCTCCTCCTCCTCCTCCTCCAAAGGATCCTCCAGCTTCACATCCAACCCTTCTCTCCCCTGGATAATCATCGGCATAGTCGTTGGCCTCACCGTCCTCGCCACCTCAACCACAGTCCTCATCATCTACTACAACCGATGCCAACGCCAGAAAACAAATCCAAACCCGAACCACCAGCCTCAGTTAATAACACCAACAACGACACAACTCCAACAACAAAACCAATCCTCCCCCTTAACTCTCAACTTCCTCCGACGGAAATCAGCACCGGCCACCCAATTCGAACAAGAAGAACTCCAGCGCGCCAGCATGATCCGCAAATCCTACGCCAGCCGATCGTGGAATTCGCTGTCGCTAGATAGCCAGATGTCTATTTCTATGAGTAGTCAGCTATCACCTACCAGGACGTTTGGTACATATGGGAGTAGTAGTCGGGTTAACACTTTGGAGAGGGTCAACACCACCAATATGAACATGACGAACACGAACACAAACAACACGTACAATGAGGAGGACATGGACCTAGAAATGGAAACGCCTACGACACCTACAGAGTTGAGGGGGACGACAGCGACGGCGGAGGATGATGGAACAGAGGGAGGAGGCAGCAGACTGAAGGATGATTGGAAGGCTTGGGAGGCTAGAGTCAAGTTGGAGAGGTCGGTGTCAGGGGAGTTGCATCCTGCTGTTTGTGCTGGTGCTGGTACTGAGAGTGGGGCCGAGACTGAGGAGGTTGCTGTTGTTCCAAGGACGGTTGTGGCGAGGACGACGACGAGGGGTGGAGTGCCGATTCCACCGAGGAGGCATCCGGGCAGGGTTGCGAGTTCAATGAATATGATTTAAGGGGAGCTATTGATGGATATTAGTCTTGAAAAGAGAATATCGTGGGTTCTTCTTAACTGGGGATAATGGCGTGTTGGTTTTCGTCAATAAAAAAAGGAAAGGGGCGTTCTGGTTCTGGATAAGGTCACGGGTCAGTGGGAGGCGTTGAGGTCTTATCTCGGCTTGCTTTTTTATCCAAGTTAGGTTTGATTGACTCGAGGACAATCACAAAGTGATCTTCGAGAGGTTATTTTCCAATACTTGTTCATGCGAAAATCTGTCCTCATTCGCTATGCTGTTTGTCTATCATTGCTCCCAACAATTCGCTCGTTGCACCTCACGACCTGTTTCCCAACCTCCAAACTCATATCCAGATATCTGCTTGTCCCCCCCCCCCCCCCCCCCCCCACGCAAATAATCTTCCTGTTACTGACAAGAGTCCCGCGACCCCACTTCGCTCTTCCTCCACTTGCGCCCTCTTCCATGTTCTACCTTTTCCTCTTCTTCATCTCCTTGGTCACTGAACCTCACCCTCTTCTTACTCTTGTTATTCCCCCCCTCTGTCTGCTTCACCGGCAAGTCACTCCTCCCAAAACCATTGGTACTTCCAGAATTTGCCCCCTTCGCCTCATGCGGCGGCATAACATCCCCCATCTCAATATCCCCATCACCTCCTCTCTCCACTTCACCGTGATCAGCGTGACTCCCATTTGTATCCGACGCCACATCCTCCATCTCAACATCTCCATCATATCCTTTCTCAAGCTGAACATGACCATCTTCCCCGCCGGCGCCGCCATATCTAGTACGTCCAGCACCCGCACCCGCACCAGAACTCACAAACGAGGCACCCAAAATCCTCTCCCCTCCCTCCTTTCTGAATCTCCTTATTTCCCGTTCGTCCACCGTACTCCCCTCACGTACTTTATGTTTGAAGCTCGGGTAAGAGCGGAACAATTTCCGAGGCACATCCTCAGAGGTAGAAGAATCTGATGAATTTGAAGAAGGAGGAGGAGGTCGGGGTGGGGATGGCGTTGGTGTTGCTGACGACATCCTTTTTGCTTTTTCTTGTTCCTCCTCGGGGGCAGTATTTCTTCGGCGTCTCCGTTCTTCTTCTTTGCTGGCTGGTGCCGGAAGAGTAGAGGGTCTTGGGTGTTTATGGTTTGGCTTATAACCAGGATAGAGATAGGAGGAATCTATGTGAATGTTATAGACTGCCGAGTCAATGTCGGAGTCGTAGACAAAACTGTCTTGTGCCCTGTTGTTACTGACTGTCTTCGAGGAGCCCGAGGCGACAGCCATAGCGGAACCTGAGGTGGATGGAGGAGTGTGAGGGAGAAGGAGGTTTTCGCCAGAGTTGCTCATAGCGGCGTCGGGCGTGAGGGCACTGGTGTTTAACTGGAGTTTGCTTTCCCTCTTCTCGAGATCTATTTGAACGCGAGAGGTCGAGATGTCCAAAGGAATGAAGCTAGGTAGACAGACGGACGGAACGGAGCCCGGTAGCTAGAGGTACCGGAATGAGTTGACCACGGTGCCCGGCGGATTGAGGTAAAGAGGAAATTCGAGGGAGGCTATTGTAACCTTTCTGATGGCGATTGATCTCTCGGGAGAGGAATTCTTGATCGATTGTTGTCTTGAATGAGTGCGTCTCTTCGGGTAAACCAAGGTATCTGGAATCCGGTGAAGTCTTATTTTTTTGCAAAGGAGGCCCTGCGTTGTGAGGCTCAATGATTTTGTGTATAAAAAAAAGGGTTAAAGAGTGTGGCGGGAGGAAGGCGGCTTGCCCGTGCTGTTCTCGTCTTGAATGAGTGCGTTTCTTCGGGTAAACCAAGGTATCTGCATGTGCGATGAAAGCTGCATGTACTTTTGCCGAATCCTGTCTGCACAGACGGTCGGCTAGCAGAACTGTCGGGGGTGCCTAAATCTCAAGACGGGAGGTGAAGAGATACCAGCTGGTGAGTAACGCTCTGCTTGGAAGCGAGTGTAAGGAATATGGGGAAAATAAGGTATGTATGTTGTTTTGTTAAAGCCGGGGGTGGTAGATCTGGAAATGTAAATGTCGAAGGAAGTTGTCTTAGAACATGCTTCCTTGGTCGTACTTGCAGGGATACATAGGCAAGTATCCCAACAAACCTTATCGCCCACTTTGCGGTTGGTCTTGCCATTTCCTACATCAATCATCTTTTTCGGGAAAACTACGGAGTAGCAGATGAATCACGACGGGGTCGACGCGGAGTCGAAACGCGGGTCAACCGGCGTTGCCCTGAGCAAAATGTAATTCACATTTCTGGGATGGGAAAGGCAAGAACACAATTCAGTCGCTATTATTCCTTTCGGACTACTAATCTACCTCACTCAAGTAGGTCGAGTCGTCCCCAACACAGTTCCTCTACCACTCTTCCTGCCCGACCACCACGCACCTTAGTAACACCACCGATGATAAAACTCCGTCACCCTCTCATCTTCCTTCCGCTCCTGCCCCCACTCTTGGCTCTCCTCCCCTCCATTCTCCTTCTTTCGCTCGTGAGCACGCACATAATCCTCCCTCGTTCCCACCTCACTCTGCTTCTCTTCCACCTTCTGACTCCCACTTCCACTCCCACTTCCACTCCCACTCCCACTTCCACTCCCACTCCCACTTCCACTCCCACTCCCACTTCCACTCCCACTTCCACTTCCACTTCCACTCCCACTTCCACTTCCTCCCTCCTGCCTCTTCCCTGCTTCCGCTCCCCCTTTCACATCATAGTCTTCTTGCCAAGCCATGCAGTAGCAGGACTTGGAGGAGCTCATGGTGCGTGATATAGGATCGGTGGGGCTTGGCTTCTTCCTCGAGGATAGCGTTTTCTGGATAACGAATGACAGGAGAAGCTAGAAACCTGGGTGGTGGTTGCTGTGACTGTGAGGAGGTGGGTGAGTGGCAGGAGGAGTGATTCTTCAGGGGGTGCTCGGAAGGGTTGGTTTTTATAGACTTCGTTCCTGCCCTAGTCTAGAACTGATTTCGGAATGATTGACCGGAAGTTTTATGGTGGGTTGACTGTATCACCAGATTCAGACAAGATCCGGATAGAAACGTCAATGAGACACTCGTTTGGTTCCATAGTCAATGGCGTGGAAAGCCAAGAAGGCTCACCTCGGTGTTCTGATGAGAGAAACCAACGAAGGGGGAAAGGCGTGGTGGTGATTGTCTCCGAGCGAGCATCTCCGAGGCCTGGATCTCGGTCCCTGCCGGTTAACGTTCGAGTTTGTTAGAGGAAATAAGAAGGCAATTGACCCAGGTCATACAAAGACTATTGATCGTTGACGTCTTGTCCTACTCGGTAGGAAGAAGAAACCCAACATCGAGGACAGTCAATGCCAAGAGGTAGGAGAGGGCAAACTCGAGGTTTATAGCTGACAAAGACGCTTGGCTTCTAGAACGCTATGGGTATCCAAGTATATGTACAGACATCATATGCCACCCATTGCTAGATCGATTCCCATAATGCTAGGCAGTTTGGTTTTCTCTGACCAATATCAAACCTGCATTACCAGATGAATGCCTTCTGATGTTTACCCAAACAACCAGTCCAAGACCCATTCGAACCGATTCCTATCAAAATGTCAGCATTGTCTTCTGTCCTCTGTATTTAGCAAAAGGTTGATGTTTGGCTCACCTAGACGGGGTGGGCACATAGTTTGCCTGATACTCCTCCACCTCATCAAGGTTCTTGTACAAGTCAATCTCCTCGGCCTTGTGGAATTTGGTCTTCTTGACGATCTTCCACACCACAAAGAGCACAGGACAAACACCGATCATGGTGTACCTAAAACCCCCACCACCAGATCTGTCAGCCGACTTGTAATCTCAAATCACCAACCGAGAGAGAGCAAACCACTTACGAGAACAAAAACGTAGGAACGTTCCAATGCCCCGGCAAAAACACCGTATACCCTCCAACAAACGTCATAACACAGCAGCCACAAAGCCCATACCACCCCGCATACGGCTGGAACAAGCCCTTATACGGCAACGTGTCCCTGCTGATTCCCTGCGCCTTGAGCGCCGCGTACCATCTCAGATACGCGGTGCAAGTAACGCTATAGTTGATCAACTGGCTCGCCGTCACCAAGCTAACAAACCACGAGAGCACCACGGCCGCATTATTGCTAACCTGCAGAAAAGCCAACAAGCCGATGCACAGCACGATCATGACGCAGTAGATGGGCACTCCGGACCGGGAGCACTTGAGCAGCGCCTTGGGCGCCTTGCCCTCGAGCGCCAGGCCGTAGAGCGAGCGAGAGGCGCAGTAGACGTAGCTGTTGCCGGCGGAGAAGGCGGCCGTGAGCACCATGGCGTTGACTATGTCGGGGAGCACGCGGATGCGGAGCCGGTTCATGGCGACGACGTAGGGTGAGGCGGCGGCGCCAGGCGCGCCGGAGGAAAAGGCGAGTGCCATCTCGGCGTCGTTGTGAGGGACCAGGATGCCGACGGCGAGGGAGCCGAGGACGAAGAAAGCTGTGAGACGGTAGAAGACGGCGTTGAAGGCGCGGGGCATGACGACGCGGGGGTTTTCTGCTTCGCCGGCGGCCTGTGGGGTGTTAGTTTCTGTGGTGTTCTTTACTTCAATCATGTAAAGGGGTACGTACCATGGCAACGTAATCCGGACCAGCAATGGTAAAGCTCGCCTGAATCAAGCATTGAAGGAAACCCAACCAGCGACCAAGTGATCCAGTGTAATACAACTCGGTAAAGGCGCCAGGTTCTTTCCAATACCTGAACCCAAACCGGTCTCCCAGTGGATTTCCGCCCACCATCACGACGAAGGTGAAGATGAGCAATCCCACGATGAGAAGAAACTTGCCCAGCGCCGCCCAGAACTCGGTTTCACCATACCACTTCACAGCCAACAGGTTGACCAATCCGTAGATCACAAGGGTGATGGCAATAATGCCGCCAACCGGTACAGCATCGCTCCAGTAGTGAATAATAATGTTGCAAGCGGTGATTTCGAAGGGCACCAGGGCTGCTTCGAAGATGAAGAAGTTCCAGCCAGCAGCGAATCCAAAGGCCTCGTCAACGTAACGGCCAGCAAAGCGGATGAAGGGCGAGGAGATGGGCAGGTAGGTGACCATTTCGGCCATGCACATGGTGATGGCGAGGATGAAGGTACACCAGATGGTGAAAGCCAGGAACAAGCTGGCAGGTCCTCCGTTTAGGAGACCCTTGCCGATCTGGACGTAGAAGGCCGTACCAATGGTACCTCCAATGCCTGTTTTTTTGTGATTCGTGTTAGTCAGGTCAGTCGATGAAGACAAGGGGGGATAGACTCTAACCGATCAGCTGGATATGGCGCGACTTGAGCTTCCGATGGGTTTTGTCGCCATGGCCACTGCTGGACAAGGATGCGAGCACCTCACGGTGAATGTCGCTTCCAGAACCAGCGCCCTTCTCAGCATCGGCTGTCTTGAAGGTGTTTGGGGGCCGTCCCTCGATATTAGATCCGGTTGATAACATCGTTGCTTCTGGGCAAGATGTCCAGGGGCGAATGGGTCACAGTATATAGACTCCGATATTCGTTTTGTGTACTCTCAGTCACTTTGTATGGTGGGTGGAAAGATTTGCTTGAGAAGTAGAGAGAAGAACTCGACAACGAATATCATTTGGGGTAAGATTCGTAAGAGTCGAAGTTTGGTTGACAGGAGAATGATGTAATCCAGAGCAAGTGGCTTTGCCTGCTCTGGCAGTTCTTATTCCAAGTGGTTGTGGACGAGGAGGTGGTTCGTTGAAGGACTTGAAGCTACAGATATTCCAGGGAGAGAGAAATGGGAGAGCCCTTGAGGTATAAAAAAGTCGTCGACAGAATAAAGTTGGTGGCAGGTGGTGGTTGATAAAGTCATGCGTTCTTGTGACATGTGCTTCCTTGGCAAGGGTACAGCAAGTCATACAACAGGCCGCATTCAGAGGCAGACCCTGCAGAACGGCGTCGTCCGTATCCCAGCCAGCCACTGGTGGCGACGAGAACAGTGTAGCTCAAAGTCTTTGTTGATACCACCCTGTGAATGTTTCGAGCCTTCGAATGATCAGAGGATGGAAGAAAGCTTCATTGGCGATCGTCTCACTCGTCTCACTCTTTTGCTCTCGGCCGGTTTGTGGCTGTCTGTAGCTGCTATGTAGCTGCAGTTTTTGTAGGCGTATGTAGCAGCAGCATTGCAGACCTCAGCTCTCTTTGACAGCGGTAACTGACTGCCTCACAGCGTTCCAGCTTACATGTGAAAAACACTGTCCCATCCCCTGGTCTTTGCGTGCTTTGCGTCCTTGGCCGGGCTGTACGGCATGTTGGAGCCATCCGCCCTTAGGGCCGGGGAAGAGTCCTCGAACGGCATGTGTTTACCGAGTATGCCCGACCCCGGGCCGGGGCCATGACCGGACTGTCTGCGGAAGGGTGGCCGTAGGGAGAGGTTTGTCGGTCAATATCTGAAGCCAAGTCGGTGGATGGTGGACATCCGAGGTTGCATCGTTCGGACTCACGGCCTGTCTCATTGTCCAATGAGCATCCTTATTTAACATGAGCGTTTTTAGGGGCAACCCAGAAATTCGGGCCTTGTTTTGTGGATCGAGCCAATGCTTGAGTGGACTTGGCCCTGGGGAGCTCTAGGAGCCTGGGGAAGGTTGGGGAAAGGCGTGGGATGAAGCTGTGCGACCGTTGCCTTGTGCAACGCTGTGGCTCAAGCCTCAGCTGTTCGAGATGTTTGAGATCTCTATCTCCAGCTGACTGAACCCGATTAATGTAATCTCCAAATGAACGAGAGGATTACGTCCAGTTACAGTCAAAGTCCGGTGGATTGTGGTTTCGACATATCTGCCGGGGACGGGGGATCGGTAGGACGTCGAAGTGGGTGCAACCAGACCGGACTGACTCAGCATCATCAGTGGCTGCGGCTGGAACTCTTTCTCAACTTCGCTGTAGAAGCCATGATCGACGTTGTAAAAGGCGGGGGGGTTTCGGTTTCAGTTTCGTCTGGCTTTACATCCAATCATACTGATATCCAAGGACGATTGGCGTTGTTGAAGTCTTTGTTGTCATCGAAAATAAACAATGGTGGTCTGAAGCGAGGGGTGCACGGGCCCAAGCTTCCGTCCATCCTAGCACAGTGTCTTGAATGACGAAAAGTAGTTGACACACTGTACACCCCAGGCTGCCGCAGGCCCGCAGCCCAAACGGTTCACGGCGGGGACGCGACAGCGACACTGGAACTACAGAAGCTGCCACCAGCAACCGAATCAATCATGACCAATTGAAGCTTTTCGTCCTCTCAATAACACATTGACCAACATCTCGATAGCGAGCGAGGGCAACGCCGACTTCCAGGCTTATACAACTTCCACTACAGGTTGACGACAGCCATAACAACCAGCCGATCTCTTCCTCATTTACCCCGCCGTCAATCAGTTATCACCAAACACAACCGGGAGTCGCAACGAGTTCACGACCAAAAAGTCCGAAACCATGGCCGTCGCTACGGTCAACCCGTTGATGTCGACCCAAAAGTCAGACAGCAGCCTACAAGTAGCTCTACACCCACTGCCCATCCTCGAGATTTCCGACTACATCACACGCAGCTACCTGCGCGGCTACAAGGGCGCCATCGTGGGTGCCCTCATCGGCCAGCAAAATGGCCGTCAGATCACCATCGAGCACAGCTTCTCTGTCAAGACGGAACACACTGGCCAAAATTACAAGGTTGATTCGGAATGGTTCACGGCTCGTCTGGAACAAAGTCAGTTGCCCTATAATAACACTTGTGCGCAGCTCCAAGCAGTACCACTGACACACAGATTCTCCCTCTACAGTGAAAGCCGTCCACAAGGATCGTGCCCTCGACTTTGTCGGATGGTACACCCTAGTGCCCAAGAGCGGTCCTACCGACGCCCATCTCCCAATACACAACTACTTTTACTCACAAAACGAGTCCGCCGTGCTTCTTGGCTTTCACATCCAAGAAATCCTGAACCCCGTGGCTGGCGACCCCCTACCTTTGACGATATACGAGAGCAACCTGGAGGTGGTCGATGGCGCCGAGACCAGTACTACGGAAGCAGAAGGCGACGACAAGGAGATGAAGGATGTCGCAGCCGAGCCCTCAAGATCAATCAAGTTCCGGGAACTTCCTTACACCACAGAAACGGGTGAAGCCGAGATGATCGCCCTGGAATTCGTGCGGGAAGGTGGCAGCGCAAACGTTACCTCTGCCACAACAGCCACCGAGGATGAGGGCTCCGACAAGCCTCTCATGAAGAAGGTTGTCGACACAGTCAAGGGCAGCAAACGACGCGCCGTGAGCTCAGAGGATACAGCCGAAGCACCCACAACGAGTAGCGCCGCCAAAGGAGCCGCAACAAACAACAGAGACGCCAACCTCACCAAGCCCGAACTAGATTACATGTCGGCTCTCCAAGCCAAATACAATGCCGTCCAGATGATGAAGAAGCGACTCGACACCGTCATCTCCTACCTCCAACGCCTACCCCCCGATTACCTTCCCAGCCAACAAACCGAATCTGCGGCGGAGGGCACCCAGCCCCAATACACCGTTCCATCGAACAAGATCCTTCGCCAGATCCAAGCGCTGGTGACCAACGTCCAGCTAGCCATGTCCAACTCGACGACTTCAGGAGGGCAAGGACAACGAGAGAAGGAGACGGATCTCGGCGCGCTAGAAAAGGAGCTGCTCAAGGAAACAAACGACGTCAGGCTCGTCGAGCTGATTGCCGACTTGATGAGCAGCGTGAAGGACATGAAGGAGGTGGGAAAGAAGTTCCATGTGGTCGAAACGGCTAAGAATAACAAGCGGCGCGAACAGGAACCACACGGACCAGGAGGGTTTAATCCCAACCACCCGGGCGGGATGATGAGAGAGCACGCCGGCTCGGTTGGCGAGGGGTCTGGTTCTGGTTCGGGTCCTGGTGATTTGGCTAGGTTCAATCTTTTGTCGGGCTAGAAGGCTGAATACGAAGACTTCGATGTTTATTGAGTAATCGTTGGCTTTGCGACTCGAATTTCACCCTCACTTGCTACCTTGCTTGTGGCTCGGGAAGCTGGCTAGCTTTTATTGGGTTGGCGTCGATAGCCAAGCTATGGCACATCGCCTGTGCTACAATGTCTAGGAAAGTTGCGGGCATTAATTACTGGCTGGGATAGGCTTACAATGGTATATCGCGCCCGTATGCAGGAGGGAGCGAGTTTCGATCCCTTATTGACACTGGTGTGGATAACCGATAGATGCTGCTGCTGGAGTATTATTATGATGCATGACGACGATGACAAAAACAATAGATGAGGGAAAGCTACTTATTAGGGGAGGGGGCTGGGCCACGCTCGGCTCAAAGAAGAAAGAAGCCGTTCGGTAGCACTTAGTTAGGAGACTCCGATAATGAAAGTTACATACATACATAACCATAAGCCAGTCAGCTGCCATGAGTGCTTCTGGTTATCCAACAGGTCAAGCTGCCCCCAGAAATCCTGTTATTCGTTCATACCATTGCGGCCTGAGTTAATTAACTCTTCGCTTCTATCTTTCTTGTGTCTACTTATTGAAGCCGTCAGATTCACTTTCCTTCTGCCAGATTTTTTTCAGTACCTAGGTAGGGTAGGTAGCTGGATTCTGGTTTGTTTCCGCGGGACTTTAACGTACCTTACTTGGGCTTTTCAAAGCCGACCAATGTGACGTTTGAGGTTTAAGATAGTGAGGGGGTTGAAAGATGAATCTACACAGTATAGGCGGAAATCGAAAGAAGATACTACTACTAGCAACCATTTTATGGAACATGGGAATGAGACGGGAAAAATAAGGAAGAAGAAGAAGAATGGATGGTGGAAGGTGAGGGCAGCAGATGATGGAGAAACGACAAGGTGAAGAAAGCAAAGAAACAACCATTCACAAGTGTAAGGCATGCGAAGGAACATGAGAGAAATGAATGATGATACAATACAGATGCTTGGAAGCTAGACCGTCAAAGAGTAATACCTCTAGGGTGGTGTTTGAACTCGAATATTGATGCCGTCTAGTTTATGATCTTTGTTGTTGTTTTGCACAATGTAACAGAAGGGTTCTTTCCACACCCAAACGATGTTATCGTCATATACCTCACTTCACCTCACCTCACCTTCCCATCCGTGAATTGCTCATGCTGTCATCACCATCATCGTCATCATCATTCACTACATGTCCTAACTGAAAATACTCTCCCCCGCCTGTCGTGTCTTCCCCTAAAACTTGCCAATCGCCTGACATATCATTTACACCCGCATTAGAAAATACTGATAACCTTCACCACCTTCACTATATCATCCTCTCCCCGACCCCAACAATAACCTCTGATAACCCACCGATCCAGCCCTCTTCCTCCTCTCCCGTCCATTCTCACCCCCTCCGCTGACTACCGCAGCTTTCCCGCCCTTCAAGCTCCCACCTGCACTACTCCCGCTTCGACTCATATACCCTCCGCTCCTAGCGTTATTCTCTTGTTGATATCCCAGCAGTCCCCCCGAAGCGTCCCTACCAAGTCTGCTAGCAGTCCGCCCCGGGGTGACTTGCGCGATTCAAAAGGTGCTCGTGGCCAACCGACTCGCCGCGTTCCTGGCATCCACTCTATCCTCATCGTCCTCCTCCGGCAGACCCACCAAGCTGCCTGCGGCACCCCTCGCGCCGCCGCTGCCCGGTCTCTCCGGGTCCTCGCCACCAGCTTCCTCCCCTTCCACGCCGCCGGCACCAACACCCAGAACGCTACCGGCCATGAAGCTACCGGATATGCTCCTGGCGCCGCTGACTGAGCCGGCCTCGCCGAGTCTCGCGCGCGGGACGCCGCTCCACGCGTCGCCCTTGGGTCCCTGACTGGCCGCCAGACTGGCGCGGCGGACGGTGGGGTGCGACTCGCGGCCGAGGCGGGACAGACCGCCGCTGGAGTCGATGGCGCGGATGTCGGGCCGGACGCTCTCGAGCAGGGCCAGGGTGCGGCGCTCAGCCTCGATCTGGCGGAGCACGTACTCGCGGATGGACAGGCGCATGTCGGCGGCGGTGCGGGCGAACCACTTGCGGCGCTCGTGCACCAGGTTCTGGGTGACGCGGGTGGTCTTGTGCTGGAGGGTCGATTCGGCGTCCTGGGCGTCGCGAAGGGCGGCGATAGCCTCGTCGACGCGCTCGCGGCGCACGTTGGACGAGGATTTGAGCCGGTCGGCGGCGTGGAGCTTACTACGGGTGACCTCCTGGGCTTGGAGAAGCTCGCGCATGAGGATCTGCCGGTTGGTGAGGGTTTCCTTGACGATGAAGGCGTCGCTGGAGTGGTACTGGAAGGGGTCACCGATGGTGGTGGCCTCGGCGGTGGCTTGGGCGGCGTGTAGGTCACCGACGGTCTGGAGGACTTTGCCGAGCTTGCGGTAGGCGTTCGAGAGACCGGCATGAGGCTCTTGGATGTGCATGTTCGAGAGCTTGATGCCGTAGTCAGCTTCGACAAGGCCGAGACCTGGAACAGGGACAAAGGTTAGTAACTACAGTAGAAATCTTTCCCTAAGGCGGTGGAAGAAGCTCATACCTCTGCGGGTCTTGACCAGTTTATCAACCTTATGTCCAGCATCCATGGCACCTAGGTAGAACAACTTGACAATAGGGCGAGCCTCCTGCAACTCGGGGGTATCATCGGGTGGAGGAGCAAACTGCTTCAGGATCTTGCGGCGCACACCAGTCGCAGGCTGCTTCTTCTTGACCATAGGGCTGTAACCAAAGTCACTCTCGGTAAAGAGGACCATTTCGTCATCCCTCATCAAAACCTCGTTGCTGCAGACATAGTTGAACCAGCGCTGCATCAGCGCCTTGACACGAGCCTCGTCCTCGTCGGTTCCGGCACCGGCAGAGGTGAGCGCTGGCGGCACAGCAGGTACAATGGCCTCGGGGTTCGCGGATATGAGGTGCTCAGCGAGCTTGATGAACTCGGAGTGTAGGCGCCGAACATCACGGTACTGCGTGGTACGGAAACTGGGTAGATTCGTCTGTCACTCAAGTTAGCGCGGATCAAGCGCATTGGCTGTAGGCAAACAGAGGTCATACGTGAACATCAAATCTCAGAATAGGGTCCTTGCGGCCGGTACGTTCGAGTCCAGTAATCTTAGCCTGTAACTTGAATTGCGGTTGCGGTCTCCGGAATTGTTGCTGTACTCGCTGGTCTGGTGAGTATTGCTGTTGCTGGGGTGGCGGCTGCTGCTGGTATTGCTGATATTGTTGCTGTTGCTGTTGCTGCTGCTGCTGCTGATGGGGCGGGTACTGGGGGTGTTGTTGTTCTGGCGATTGCTGATGCTGTCCGTACTCGTTTTGCGGCTCTTGGTGCGACTCTGTCTGAGACTGCGGAATGGCCTCGCCTTGGCTGTCATCGGTCGAGTGTGAAGTCTGGTTCTCCTGCTGGGGTTGGCCTGAGGGAACATCGTCGGAGAACAAGGCGCCAGATTGGGACTCGGGCGCGTCAGTGGTATCATGTCGATGGAATCCATTGTCTCCGGCGCCAAAGCCACCCTCGTCATTGAGGCCATTATTCGGAGTCGGGGGCACATAGTCGTCGGGGATGATGGTAGAGGCGAAGGTCGAACGGGTTGGCCGGGGCGATGAGCTAGGGGAGTTGCCCCAAGGAGAGCTGCCGGCGGCGTGCTCGGTGTCGTTTATCGATGCGCTATAGTCCATGATGTCTCTCGCTTTCTTAATGTTGTTCGATTTGGTTCGAGGGGATCACGGCCGGGACGGGCGATGTCGTGAAAGGCGAGGTGGTCGAGAGGAAGAAGAGGGCCAGGAGGGGGATGGTCGACGGCGTGGGCGGTCGGGATGACGTTGCTTTTGGTGAGGCCGCATACAGGCACGAAAGACCGGGGCACTCCTTATTACTGGACCGCTGCGCCAAAGCTGAAAGTGAACAGGCAACTTCCACTTGGTATAAGGTCTGTCTGCCTTTGTGTAGGATATCTATAAGACTTGTTTTTGGAGAATTCGAGTCCTAACTTTAGATCACTCGAGATGGTCTAGCCATGGAAGATGAATGAAAATGTTCTCAACAATGTCGTTCTGGTGTTTGGCTTCAAGTTGGATTCAGCTGATGATTGGCATCCCCATCGTCTCCATCGTCCGCACCAGAAGGAAGTGGGGTTTTGCTGGGATCTGCATGTTCGGCGAGAGGTTCTAGCCCACAGCTGGCGGGCAGCTCTTGACAGCTCAAGCTTAAAGCTCAGACAGCTGGCAGTGAGCTCTAAGCTTGAAGCTTCTGAGGGCAGTTCCCCACCACCAACCCTCTCAATGCTGAGCTTGGGTTGCGTATCTCATGGTTTCTTGACTCTTATTTGACCACGATGCCTTAACCGGCGATTGACATCTTCAGCTTTGTGTATTAAGCTGCCTCTTGAGAAATGAAAACTTTGCCCTAGAAAGTGGTTTCGTTGTGGAAGCTCGACCGAGTGGGTTCCTTTGCTTTCCCTTGTACATACCGATTGGTCACTTCCCTTCATTGTTTATTTACACCAAAACTTCAACCCATTCAGCCTGGGTTGTTAGTGTCATGCTTCTAACAGCCCCCCTTCGCGGATGCCGTTATGGGCACCGCGCTTTTCTTCCTTTAAGCCTACCCACGGTGGTAAAGGCGACTTCTCCTCTCGCTCTCACTAGTTTCCCACAGTTTAAGAGGTTCTACGCCGACCCTGCTCACGATGCAAAGGTCGAGGCAATCCGCAACATTGGCATTATTGCCCATGTTGATGCCGTAAGTCGCCATGATGATATCACACATTTGATAGAGCGCTATGCGTTCTGACAAATTCTAGGGCAAAACCACGACAACTGAGCGAATGCTCTATTACAGTGGCTTGTCCAGGCATCTAGGAAGTAAGCCACCTCGTGCTCAATGATGGTTCTCGAATGAGCAAATCACTTACACTCCTTACAGATGTCCAAGATGGCAACACCATGACCGACTTCCTTCCTATGGAGCGGGAGCGTGGTATCACTATTCAATCCGCAGCCGTTACCTTTCTCTGGCCTCCACAGCAGAGCTTGGCTCCCGGCCAACAACCAAAGAGCATCAACCTGATCGATACGCCAGGTCATCAGGACTTCCGCTACGAGGTCGACCGTTGCTTGCCGATTCTTGACGGTGCTGTCTGCATTCTTGACGCTGTCAAGGGAGTTGAGACTCATACCGAGCGGGTCTGGGAGTCTGCTCAACTGTCAAAGATCCCGAGACTTATCTTTGTCAACAAGCTCGACCGTGACGGAGCCTCCTTCAAGAGATCATGTCTCGAGGTGGCTTCTAGGCTCAGAACCTATCCCCTGATCTGCCAGATTCCGTGGTGGAACAAGGATGAATTTGTGGGTGTCATCGACATCATCAACCTCGTCGGCATGAAGTTCTCTAGCACTGGCCAAATGTCACTTGTGAGTGAGGAGACTATTGGCAAGGAAAACCCAACTCTTCGCGCCGAGATGGACAAGGCCCGTCTTAGCCTTATTGAGACACTGTCTGAATATGACGATGCCGTCATGGAGGAGTTCCTCGAGCTCGAAAAGGACGTGCCTACTGCCTCCATCAAGAGAGCCATTCGAAAGCTGATTATGGATGGAGAAGCAAAGTTCTCCCCCATCTTTGCCGGCGCTTCTCTCAAGAACATTGGTGTACAGCCATTGCTCGATGGTGTCATTGACTACCTACCCAGCCCTCTCGATAGACCGGAAGTTGAGGTCATTCAGGGCAAGAAGGCAATGCCGCTATCAAAGCTTCTCACTCTGCAAGACAAGAAGAAGAAGAATCACGGCAACCATGCTCACTCTCAGTCACCCATCACAACCATCGGTCACGTCTTCAAGGTCGTTGACGACCCCCGCCGTGGTATGATGAGTTTCGTTCGGGTTTATCATGGCGCTCTCAACCGCAGCAATCACCTGTACAACAGCAACATGAATACCTTTGAGAAAGCTCAGGCCCTCCTTCACGTCTCTGCCAAAGATTATCAAGACATCCAGCTCCTCGGTACCGGCCAAATCGGCGCTCTAACCGGCTTGAAACAAGCTCGCACCGGCGACACCCTACTCACCTTCCCCGGCAGTCACAACCCCAAAGCTCCGGAGCAGTTCAGAGCCGTCCACATCAAGACCCTCGACACTCCTCCCGCCGTGGCCTTCATCTCCATCGAGCCCTACACCAAGACCGCCAGCGAGAAGATCGAAGAAGCCCTCAGCAAGCTCTCGCGCGAAGACCCCAGCATCCGCTGGAGCAAAGACGAAAAGACCGACCAGCTCATCCTCTCCGGCATGGGTCTCCTGCATCTCGAGATCGCCCAACACCGTCTCCTGACGCACTACAAAATCGACCGCGACACCGCCATCTGGGGCGACATCGAAGTCGAGTATTCCGAGTGCTTACTCTCCCCGGTCGCACCGCACCGCGCCGTCTTCGACCGTCCCATGCGCGGCGAGAACGGCAAAGCAGCCTGCACCGCCACCCTCGTCCCCGTCGAAGACCACCACCGGCACGAATCCCTCCTCGAGTCCTGCGTCGAGCGCGACGGCAACATCATCCACATCGTGATCCCCCTTCCCGAAGGGACCGAGGACCACGAATCCCTCCCCTTCGACGCCGAGCTCGTCCGCCAGCAGCTTCTCAACGGCGTCATCGCCGGCCTTTCGCGGGGCCCGCGCCGCAACTGTCCCGTGCGCAAAACCCACGTCACCATCACCTTTGATCCGGAGACGGACTTCTTCGGGGCTACCCAGACCACGGGCGGACACATCACCAACGCGGCGCTGCAGGCCGTGCGCGCCTGCCTGAAGGAGGCGCACGCCAACTCGGCCATCGGCATCCTCGAGCCTTTTACCAACGTGACTATCCACTGCCCCGAGGAGGCCTCGCACGCGATCCAGCACGATCTCGTCTCGGCGCGCGGCGGCGCGGTGCTCGAGGTGCGGAGACCCGAGGAGAGTGATGCGGACGCGGCGTTTGTCAGCGAGGGAGGTGGTATTGATCTGAGCAAGATGTACGTGCCGCCCGATCCGTACGAGAGCGTGCAGAGCTTGAGAGACCCCAAGAAGAGCGTGGTGCGGATGCTGGAGATTGTGGGCAAGGCGCCGCTGAAGGATATGATGAAGTATGATAGCCAGCTAAGGAGCATGACGGGCGGTAGGCACTCGTTGCAGTTGGATCCGGGCGAGTTTGAGCTGGTGACGGGGCCGAGGGAGAAGATGATTGGTTGAATGGTGGGGAGGAGGTAGGGTAGATAGATGCTGAATATATATGTATGATATTGATTGATGTTCATGGTATAGGTATGCCGCTCTAGTGTGGTTCTACCCTCGATGGTGTGATTCCTGTTCTTTTTTTTTCTTTTTTTACAAACATACACGAACAATATCGTGAGGATGATGAACCTATCTCCCTAACTCGAAATCAGAACTTCACCCTCCATACGTCAAAGACATTTATCACCCGGCCTCCTTGTCCTATTTCATATGACTCCTGAAAACCCTAGCGCATACGTTAAGGTTGCTTAGACCTGCAAGATTCTACAGGAGCTGGGTTCTGGTTTCCACGAGCTTATACGGTATTCATAACGTATGTGCTACTGCCATACCATGAAGACATACCTCTACACTTCCCGCAAAGCTTTCTCACTCTGTCTGCCGCTGTGTACTTGTAAGTGTCTCATGGAAGTGGGGGCGAGGCACGGGTAGCTCTGGACCGAATGTTTCGAGTAATGCATACAGACAAGCAGCATGGATTGGTCCCCATCCAGAGAAAGGCCACTTCCCGGTCTCGACCATCAGGGAGATAGATACATACCGTACTGGAACAGTACGTATATGATGAGGACACGAACTTGGCTGCTGCAAACATGTCATGATCCGATAGGCAGAGGAAAGCAAGTCTGGTTGAACGGTGGTGTACGGTGGTGTCTCCGAGGCGGTTGCTTCCTGTTCCTAAGTGAAGTGGCATCATGATAAGAGACGGGAATGAGGTGACGCAACATGAACTCGTTACATGCCGCGTCAAGTGGGCGCAATGGATGGACGACTATATTTGGCCAGAACCATGGAAAATGGCCGTGTCCTGATAGGAACCACGGCAGCATTTCATGCTTGTCCGAGGCTGGGAAGAGATGATACCAAACATGGAGCTGGAGATGGAGATGCCGCACTCTCTCATGGCGGCTCACCCAGGACGGGAAGCAGACCTCTACACCATCACGTAGGCACTAACCGTCGTCGAAACGGGAGAGACAAGTGATAACCTATACCTAGGCAGATGAAGTAGGGGCTCTGATACGGTGGTACCTGACAGCTTGAATTAATACATACGTTAATCCGGAGGGGTCAGGGGTTGAGCCCGTGTACAGTAGCATGCTCACCATCCATGCTGCAGGGAAGCCGAGAGATGTCGAGGAACTGGACGAATCACGATGGTGTTTCAAAGGCCGTTTTGCGTCAACCTCTGCGGGTGATATTGAAGTTGCCGACACGTGGGTCGAGCTTGGGCGAACTGTTTCTTTGAAGTGGAGGTAGATTGAGAGCATGTGAAGTGATGGAACCCTCGCCGCTGTCGGATGTCGAGATAGCCGGAAGCATGACGCTGTCCGAGGATGCTATCCGTGGGTGTCACGACTTCTCGGGGAGTCGATGGCTGGTTCCGTCGGCTTGTGCTTCACTCCAGGGCAGAGGCGTTATCTCTCACAGGACAGCGGAATTGGCCTCGTTTAGCAGCGGTGCATGATTGCATCTGACTGCCGTCCAACAGTTGCCGAAAAAGGAGGCGTTATTCGGGCGCCTCACCCGCCGCATTAGGGCCACAGAGAGTAGCATCTCGCAATCTGCCATTGTCTGTGCGAACGTCGCTGCTGATATGGTGACATGACGGGCCCCCAAGAACAAATGTGAAGATGTGTTCTTTCGAATAATACTTCCTCGTCGGTATGTTGAACAACGAACTACATCAGTGCATCACTCGGGCGGTGAATTTCAAGGGCAAGGGGAAATTTTCGTGTTCTTTGGAAGTGAGAAGGAGCAACTGTCTGGGATTGAAAGATGCGAGAGACCTCACCAAGGAAAGAAGAGGTTCACGACTGTGGGGTCACATTTGGAGTTTACTGGACGTTGATTGGTCGGCTTCTGCACCTCTCCGAGAAGCAGCCGTCCCTCCTTCTTCCTTTTCCTCTTTCCATCAACTTCACTCAATGACAATTCGACTTCCCATGTTCGTTCAAGTTGTGCTACCCTTCCATCCCGTGCCCTCTTCTTCTCTTCCCATTGTCCATGCTCCACGATCCTCGATCGCGATGACAAGACCACGGCCAATTGCCAAATCGCACACCATCCTCCACGCGCGTCAATCATGGATCAACGGATAGATTCCGGATCCTCCACGACACTGCGGCATCTCGTATATCATTTTTCATCAACCGCACTGTTGGCCGTACCGCACTCTGTAGGTGATATATGCGCTATCACATCATGGCTTTCCTTTGTGTCTCGGCCACTGCCTTGACAGCGCAATACCTTACCCTTTATGGGCCCAGTGGCTCTCCAAGTTGCACCGAATTATATGCAGAGTTACCACATTCAGAACGACATACCATACTCCCGCAACATGTGGAATCCAATGCACTCTCGATGTTGCTGTCTACTGCCTACGTATGTTGACACACAGTGTATCCAGAAATGCCGTCTTTTATCGCCCGACTCCCCGTCTGTCTCCTTTCCATGTTTGGGAGTGTCCTGTCTGAGTCCAAGAATACGCCGAGTTGACGTTGCGGTCGAGACTGGCCCCCCTGCGTCGGTTGCTTCGCTCAGGCATGTCCACTGCTACCAATGGACCCCTATACGGCCGAGCTGGGTGTAGGTGGAACAACACTCCAACATGCCGCCGTTTCCTTGCCATATTAGCTTGGCTCAACGGCTTCAGTTGCTTGCCATCCCGAGGAGATTTGTCAGTGCTCTTCTCTTACGGCTATGGTATCTTCTGCTGCTACCTGACACATATACCCGCAACATGGGTCATAGCACAGTCAAACCCTCCATATTGGCCGCGGTAGCCATCCCGTCCGGCCCGTACAGGCATGCTTGCACAACCATGTGTATAACGCCTTGTACCTAGCCAAGTATCCTCTCTCGGCATGTCAAAGTTTCGGATATTGCTTGTGCTACTACATACACATGTACTTTGAGTCCATGATCTTCGGTTCCGGATGGGCTGTTACCTCAACGTTGCCCTTTGGACGTCAACTAGCATAGACGATAGCTTCCCGCGCAAAGCTGTGCAGCTGCTAGTCTCCTTGCATGCCTTTCCCGAAATTAGGGCGTGTTGGACTGCTTTCGAGCGCATGTCTTTTTGACCTTTTCTCAGACATCGAGAGATAACCGTCAGATCTCTTACTGGTGAGCTTGTTCGAGTCTGTGCTAAGGAACTATTGTTGTTCGGACGCCTGTCCATGCCATCCTACTCTGTGGCTGTCACGAATCCATGCTTTCTGGACCCTGGATGGAGTCCATCCTAATACAACCATGGAAATAGTTTACTGAGGCACGTCACTGGAGAGGAACATATCATATGCTGCGATGGTCCAAGGGGATTAATATACCTAGGGGTGGGGGTTGTTCGTGAGTTCCGGCCTTCTCTCTTGATCATCATCAAAGTTGCCATCATCAAACTCCTGTTACATTCTTCCAGACCGTGCCTTTGTTTTTTTCTTCGACTCTCTCGAACCTTGCCAGATATCTTCCCTCCACTTTGCCCCCTCCAGTCAACAGGGGTAGCATCATTCCGCCTCAACAAGGGCCTAGCCATCTATCTCCGAGTCCTCGATTTCCCTTTTGGTCTCCTCCCCGGCCGGTTGCCACAACCAAAGACATTAGAAAGGTCCAAGCAATTCTTTCCATCCTTCAACCGAGCTCCTCGTATATCCCAGTCCCACGGTCACTTGGACACCTACTTCTCCGAGTCTCTCGAACTACACACCGGTCTATTTCTTGAGCCTCATCGAGCCAAGCCATACAATCACACCTCTTCATCCCACTCCCATCCCACGTTCTCCTTGTCATCTCACCCAATATGGCTCCCTCTGCAGCATGTGAGCACGCACCGATGCACCTACCCGTCCTGTCCAAGGCTTCATCCATCAATGCGTCTGTCTTGCATGGCCCTCGGGACCTGCGATTGGTAAGTTTTTAATCCCCTCGTTCCTGGATGTAGATGGGGGCGTTACACAAGAAAGGGAGGTAGCAACCCTGGTATTTGTAACCATCACCTTACAACGCTCATTCGGTTCTCTTGTGACACAAAGATCTGACACACGGGCATTGTGAATGCAGGAAAGACGAACCATCGAGGAACCTGGGCTTGGTGAGCTTCAGATTGCCGTCAAGACGACAGGTATTTGCGGCTCCGATGTCTCATACTACAAGAAGTTTGCGAATGGCGACCTTTGCGCCTGTATGCCTCTCTCACTTGGTCATGAGTCCTCGGGTGTTGTCGTTGCCATAGGGCCCCAGGTCTCGGGCTTTAGCATTGGTGACAGGGTAGCGCTTGAAGTTGGTGTGGCCTGCGGTCAATGCACCATCTGCCGCAAAGGTCGTTATAATCTTTGCAAAAGGATGAGATTCAGGAGCAGTGCCAAATCAGTTCCTCACTACCAAGGTACCCTCCAGGAGAGGATCAACCACCCTGCTATCTGGTGTCACAAGTAAGCTCATACAGGAATTATGGGTATCACCACAATGCTAACAACTTTGTAGGCTCCCTGATAATATTTCCTTTGATGCAGCAGCTCTTCTTGAACCTCTTTCTGTTGGTATACATGCTGTCAACCGAGCAAGTCCCGCTCCCGGCTCTACGGCTTTGGTACTCGGAGCCGGTACGGTCGGGCTACTCACCGCAGCCATGGCACGTCAGGCAGGTTGCACACAGGTGACCATCACTGATGTCGACCAAGGCCGCGTTGACTACGCCATCTCCAAAGGCTTCGCAACCCACGGCTACGTCGTTCCCCGACCGCTCCACACCTCTTCCAGTAGCTCCTCAATATTCACCAACAGCAACAGCAGCTCCGGCTCATCCACCCCATTAGATGGCATCGCCACACCATCCAGCACCCTTCCTTTCCGCAGTTCGCTCGACTCCGCCAAAGCTCTTGCCGCCAACATGCTAGCCCTGACCCAAAACCCCATCCTCGACAGCGATGACGAAGACATCGGCGTCGACGCCACCTTTGAGTGCACCGGCAAGGAAGTGTGCATGCACACGGCTTTGTACGCAACCCGGCCAGGAGGTAAAGTCATCATGGTCGGCATGGGCACACCCATCCAAACGCTGCCGTTGTCAGTTGCCCATTTGCGGGAGATTGACATACTCGGTATCTTCCGATATGCCAACACGTATGCTACCGGTATCCGGATGTTGTGTAACCAGGGAAAATCCGGTGCCGGGTTCACTCTCCCGAGCTTGGACGACATGGTCACTCACCGGTTTAAGGGACTAGAGAACGCCAAGGGAGCGTTTGAACTGGCTAGTCGGACGATGGATCACGATGGGAATCTGGTGCTTAAGGTTGTTATTGAGGCTTAGGCGTGGTGTCTATGTCTTCCCATGTACACCTGGTTTTGTTTTGCCCGATAGATGGTCCTGGCTTTGGATACGTATGGCTAAATGGGCTTACGAAGAGATGTAATACCCTGGTGTGTTTGCCATTTTCTTCAGTTTTGTTCTTGTTATATGATGTCTTTTTAATATTCCTTATATCCGTCTCTGATGCCAGATACACCTCGTTCAGCGAGCGATAAGTGTACACTACCTACAACAATGTCATATGTCACAAATTGATATCCCATTTCAGAAGAGCTTACTCCCCTCGGCACCCATATTGACTTCACGCACCTCTTTTTACTTCCACGGACCACATCTCAGAAGGTGACGAGGCTACAGTTTTCCAACATCACAAAAAAAAAAAAAAAAAAAAAAAAAGAAGAAGAAGAAAACCGGGAGGGAGGGAAGGGAGAAACCCCAAAGAGCACCAACACTTCATTTTGCTTTTTTTTTTGTTTCTTAATTTGATTGTGGTCTTGACCTCGAACCAATCCTGCTATGGAAAAATAGCCTCAAATCTGATGTGAGTGTCTGTTTTGACTCGGTGATTTCCCATCTGGTCGGTATAACTTTTATTTTATTTTAATTTTTTTTTAATTTTTTTTTTATTTTTTTTGAAAATTCACTGCGAAGAAAGAGAGAGAAGACAGTCAGTCACAACTTATTCTTGTTCCTCAAAGATGGTTCATCTTGGTCCAAAGATTCATGAAGTTGTAACTGACAGATAATAGCGCATCAAGTCATTCCTACACTCAAGCACCTTGATAGTCGCCAAGACTTCCCGAGAATTGAGCCGACTATAACTTTTTGACAAACGGACCATCGAAACGAAAGACGAAAATAAAAAAAAACTCAAATATATCATCAGAAAGAGTACTATCTTAATAGTCTCAAGCACGCTAATATTGAATCTACAATCAGTTTTCTTTTATCTCCTCATTTGGTGGAAATATGGGCAAATGAAGTCTTGTTCTTTTCGTTTCAAAGGTCCGTTTGCCAAAAAGTTGTGGTCAGCTCAATTCTCGGGAAGTCTTGGCAACTGTCAAGGTGCTTGAGTGTGGGAACAACCCGAGCGAGGTAGGTAAGCAAAGACAATGGGAATCAAGCCCATCGCATATGAATTTATATTTATTTATTTTTGATTCTGGTTCCTAACGCATAGCGGGCAAAAAACCAACCGAACAGCAAGAGAAAACATTGGAACATTTCAGACATAAGTGTCCAAACACTAGACTACCTATCCTAACAACCTCACGGAGGGGAGAACATGGAAGCCACAGAAGACTGCTCAGAGAGTACAAGCAAAAAGGCATGATCGAACGCATTGCTCCAAACACCCGACCCAAGCACCTCAAACACCCAAACTTTCGCGCCGCAGGTACCTTGGTACCTACCTATCTATGTCCTAGAGTAGATTCTCGAACCAAACTGCACAAAAAGACAGCAAGCACAAAGTTTAAACATTACAAATACTGTGTATGTACAGCCGTACAGAAAACGTAAACGCCATGTGTTTTTCTTGTTAGTAGCAAGCACATCCATCCCTCCTCCACCCCCTTCTTTCTTTCAAAACACATCGACTCATTCAATTCCTCTCCGGCGTCTCCACAACCCCCTCCTTCTGTCCAGAGAAAATCACACTAGGCAACGAAGCAGGCGTAGACGGCGCCGGAGAAGACTGCTGCAATTGCTCCGTCTTCTGAGGCGAAAAGGGAATGGCTGAGGTGGCAGTAAACACAGGTACGTCCGTCCTGTTCATAGCAGGTCCGGGACTGGTCGGTGTCTGCGCGTGATGTGCTGTCGGCTTGGCAGTGGGTGGTTGGTACTGAATGAAGTTCTCCATGGGCGTGGAAGGTTGCTGATTCTGATGCTGCTGCTGCTGCTGCTGCTGCTGCTGCTCTTGATGACTTATTGATGGATTACGAGCAGGCTGGAAAGGCCGTGAAGGCAAAGGGAAGGAGGTCCGACCGGGCATGGGCGTGGAGGTGAGGGCTGGTGTTTCGAGGTCTTCCATGTCGATGTCCCCGTCCCCGTCTTGGTGGGGATGGTGCTGTCCAAACAGCTCTGGATACCTCTCCGTGGCATCCATATCTTCAGAGGAGGAGATGGAATTCCGGCCTTGTGAATTAGGGGTGTAGAACTGAGTGGAGGTGTTGCTTTCGGTGGGCGATTGGACCGTGGCAACAGGTGTTTGCGTAGGCTGTTGTTGATGAGGCTTGTTCTCATCTAGGTTGGATGTTACGACGGATATCGCTTCCTCATTGGCGGCGAGGTTCTCTTTCGCGACACGCTCCCGCTCGCGGGCCTCTTTCTGGGCTTGTGTGATAAGAGTGATCTTAACCTTCTTCATCCCGCCGGTCAAGTTATCCACGCCGTCGCCATGGCTGCTATTCGAAGGCTGAGTGTCCGCCGAGTGGGATGCTGGAGTTGGTGATACTAGGGATGCGTTGGAGCTCCTTGCAGATTCGATGGTTGAAGTTGAAGTCTTCCTCTGTGTCCTGGGTGCTTGCAGAGCATACTTGTTCTTTGCTGGCCCCCGCGCTTTCTTGACCACAAGAGGGTTCCCCTGCGCTCTGACGCTCATTGAGGACTCAGGCCTGATGCTCATGGATGTTTCCGGTCTTCCATCGTCTCCCGCATTCATGGCTGAGTATCTGTGGCTCGGAGGAGACGCGTCAAGGCTGTCTGGGACGATGGTCGAAGCAGCACTAAGGCGTCGACTACGTGCAGCACGAGCACCCCCTCGGGGCATACCGGTCTCTCCTGCGGACACAGCGTTCACCCGGTCTTCGTCGGTGTCCTCCTCCTTGATAGGCACTGCTTGCTTGGCTTTACGCTCCCTCAAGGCCATCCTTGTAGAAGGCCGATCCGATGCAGCATCGGACGCCGAGGTATTCGCTTGGGCCAACTGACGCTCCCGGCGAGCCTTGGTGGCCTCGGCATTGAGATCTGTATGAGTACAGCTATCCGTTTGGCGGTCGCGCGGAATAAGAAGCTTGCTCAATTCGCAGGCTGCAATAGCCCACGGAACCTCTGGAGCAGGGGGTGTCGCTATTCTCGACGGTATTGGTGATAACGGCCTGTTGGCCGCCATGAGTGCGTGCTGATGGAGTCCGGACATACTTCTCCGTGGCGCTACAGACCGTGCTGTAGAGGCATGTGTAGGTGAACAGTAGGTAGGAGTCGCAACGTTCCGAGGGGGCTTTGGTGGTTCAGGTGGAGGAGTCAACAGTGTGGTCTCCAAACGTTCAAGCTCGGAAGCAGACCACCATGAAGGGTTGTACTGATCATGAACTTGACCATTTCCACTAGCACTGACTCCAGCAAGACCACAAACGTGACTCATGATGCCAGAGCAAAGCGCACGATCACTGTATCCTCCCTCCAGCACGCTGATGATTCGGCCCTCTACGGCCGTGCCCACTTCTGCTGCAATGCGTACTACATCTCGAGTTAATCGAGCATAGAAGTCTGTAGGAACGTTCACATCGTGTCTCTGCATTCCGGCACCCTCCCATTCGCTGGCATCGAAACCAGCAGAGAGGAAGATGGCTGCCTTTGCGTTTTGACCTGCTGCTCGCAAACGCTCCGCCTGTGCAACTAGATAGCTGCGCGCCTTATCAAGCAAGATGGTATACTTGGTCTCGTAGAGCGCCCAGAACTCGTCTTCTGTCTTCCAGGGCTGTAGGTGAACATTCCACACGTTCTGGCCATGAGCGTTGTCGATGCAGATGCTCGCGTTCATAACCTTTTCGTCGTCGCCGGTCTCGCAAGGATACGAGTTGATATCGTGAAGACTAAAGTACCCGATCGAAGTCTTCTTCCACATGGCTGCGTTCTTTGCAGCCTTTACGCCCCTTGAGTTGTGCTGCCAAGCAATTTGCTGAGAGCCATCGCCATGGTGGAGGTCGAAGTCGATAATCGCGGCATGGGTCAAGCCATGGCTCAGGATTGCATGCATAATGCCAACATGAACGTTATTGACCCAACAAAAACCAGAGGGGTATGAGGCGGAGCAGTGATGGCCAGGCGGGCGAATAGCTACAAAAGCTCTTTTCGGACCCTCCGGTTTGAACACGGCATCGACTGCCTCACAGACGCCGCCGAGAGCTCCTTCGATAGCCTCCAGTGATTCTGCACCGAGATAGAGGTCGCCTTCATGGAACTTGGGAGGTTCCTCCGCATTGGGTCCACGATCCATATCCGGGCGTTGGAGTTCTTTTCCATTCGTCGCCAGCTTCGCTTCCGCGGTATCGCACATAATCTTGAGCTCCTCCATCCATTTCGTGCCATGTACGTTGGTTACTGTCGGAGATGTGATAGGCAATCGTCGAGTCGTCTTTTGTATCAGAAAAGGTACCGAAGGGAGATTCCTGGGATCCTGATCCGGATGAATCGGGAACGAACCGTCTTGGTGTCGCTCGCCCAGACGTACATAGGCCGCCGACACTCCCAAGACGCTGGCCTTGATCCTCTCGGGTCGTTCGACAATAGTGCTCAAGTTTGCCTTGGATGTCCGCGGTCGAGAATAGCGATGTCCATAGCATGCATCGTTCAGAATAACAATGGTCTCAGCCGACAGCTTCGGTTCATCTCCGTGATGAATCTCGAGTTCGGCCTTGAAGTGGTCACTGGCGATGGACTGCGGGGTCGGCGGGACTTTGAACTCGGACGTCTCGGGGGACATGTCGTTTAGGGGTGACTTCTTTGCGGAGGACGGGTTGAGGCTGACTGAGCTGGAGCGACGCTGGAGTAATGGACCATGGCCATGGCTGTTGTGGGCGACCTGGATCGAGTTCATGGAGGCTTTTCGGCGGAGTGCTGGAGTTGAGGAGCGAGACGGAGGCCCGCCGGAGGATACGTTCCGCATGGCGCTACCGGGGCGCGATGGCGTCCCGTTTGGCGATACAGCAGTCGAAGACGAGAACTGAGGACGAAGCGGGCTGATTGCGGGTGGCGGGTGGTTTGCAGAGCGAGGACTCTTCCTAGGCGAAGGAGATTGTGAAGTGCCGGAGGACGGGGACGCGGTAGCAATGGAGAGGTGATTCAGGGACTGTGTTAAATCGCCGTCCGCATTATTCTTATTAAGTTGTCCTTTGCTCGCCGTTCGTGATAGTCGTCTTTGTTGCAGTGTCGATGCTGTGGTTGGAGTTGTATGTGCATCTGAACCAGCACCTGCTGGCACACCGGAAGCTCTCCTGGGATTCGTGGCGGAAGACCGGGAGGATGCCACGGACGCGGAAGACGATGGCCTGTTGTGGAACGTGGCGGAGGAGGATGAAGCCATTGTCACTGTGTGTCACGGTACGGTCGGCGTTATCGGGAGGGGTTGATGTCTGGGTGAAGAAGTTCAGATGAAAGCTGCTTCCTGCAATGCACAAGCACCTGCCTCACGGATACTGTGATTCAGTTTTGATAATGGGAACAATCAACAACTGACACAAGGGGTAAACGATATTAAAGAATTATGAATTGGTGGTCACAATGATGGAACCCGACGTCAAGGGAGAACTCTGTAGAATGTCAACAAAAACAGGAACTTGTTGCTATTGCAGAGTGAGATCTTGGAGATGGCAGAAAAAAAGGAGACAAAGATACAAGACAGTAATTCAATGATAGCCCGCGGCAATGGAGGACTCAGAGACACAATGATATCAAATCATTTGTCCCGGAGACATCGGTGGTCCAGAGCTTCGGGTTCTCCAGAGCAACTTTGATGAACTGGAGCGAGCGTAATCTCCCATCTCATCTCGGCCTTGTGCCTCGCTTCTCCTTGTTGGTCTGGGCGTTAAGTTGGGTGTAAGTGGCGCGTCACGCGTCGGACGTCATAGGGGAGCGGAAGGGGTCAATTTAAGATGATAAAGTGCTTGCAGCTCAGCTCCAGCTCAGCTCCTGAGCTAAGCTCGCTCCTTGCTCTAACAGCACGTGATGAACAGATAAGATAAGGACAGTGAGCTTGTTGTGGGGGCTGTTGATGCCTGCCGGTGGACCATTAGTGCACGTGCCGCTCCCCGCGCCCCGGAGTGACCAAAACCGCAACTCGTGCCCCTGCTTGGCGCTTTTGCTTTTTCAACATTTCCATATGCCGCTTGCCGCGCGCTTGTTGTTCAAGTGTGGATGTCCTCCTGCTTTTGAACCTAAAACCAGACCTCACACTTGCCTTGCAATGGATATTCTTTCTCTGCTGGATCTGCCAAGATGGTCCATCTGTTCCATGGTTCAGCATTCAGCAATTTGTTTCCCTATTTTCCCAAATCGCACAAGCTCTGTCCCTTCGCAATCCATTCCGAAACGGGATGGGACCTTCAACAAAGACACCGCAACCGTCCGGGAGCTTGAGCAATCAACAAGACAATGGAGCCACGGCAGCATGCAGCATCTATTCATCCTTGTTTGCCTTACCGACCATCATTCACATAAGCTTACTGACAATGGCAGACGACAGCCGGAATGCCTTCAGGCTCACCCAGATACCTTTAAGCGAACATACATTCCTTATGGGTTTCTACTAATTCAGTGGTGTTCTTTGTTGTCCAATTTGTACATGTCCCCAGTTTAGGCCAAGTCGGCCAGCCTTCCGAACAGTCAACACGAGTGTGACGGTCTGATTCAGCCCCAGTTCCGCTGTGGTGCATACGAGCTGCCACTTGGGCAACATTGCATGACGGCCAGCATGTCAGCCAAGGCGTTCTTCCCCTTTTAGAGACCTTCGCGAGCTTACAACTATCTCACACACCACTTTCACGATTGACGAGATGCGGACTATGTATGTGTGGTGTTTTAGTGATGGCGAAAGTTGTCTTCATTTGCGCAATCACAGCTCTCTACAGAATTGTCGTCTTCGTTTCAGAGCTGGTTATTTTTTTCTCCATGGGAGCATGGATGAGCTTTCTCTTCAGTGAATCTGGATTCATCGACTCAGCCCCAGGTTTTATTTGTCTCGATCCCTGCTTAACGGCACACACTCCCGCATTAGCTTAGCGCCACATCAAATAGTCTAGCCATCTGGCTGGCCGATCCCAGGGTCCTGGGTCCCGATCAGGTCTGGTCCCGGTGTCAGCATGGCTCAGTCGGCATGTTGGTCTGGTGCCTGGAAGTGGTCCAGTCCTGTCGTTGCAATCAGTCCCGTGTAAGCGCTAGAGGAATGATATCGAAAGCTATATCACCGCCATGACCCCTTCGTCTTTCTTCTCTGTTGTGTCTTCTCGGTTCCTGTCGTGTTAGCCTGTTGTGTACATACCTATCCCAGGATCCTCTCCCCGCGGTGACACTACCCCAAGCCAAAAGAAACGATCCCGAACAATGGCTCCCAAGTACCTTTCGCCTCTCCTCCTGGCCGGTAGTGCCACGGCCACGGCCTTCCAGTTCCACGGCCATCTCAACGCCCTCGCGGCGAACAACGCGGTCAACGCGGTCGCGACAACGGATGCCGGGTACAAAGCATGTACCGCCGTCAGCTCCGTGGTAATGTCCTGTTCCGCGGCGGGATCCGTCGCCGACAACGTCCCCGAGGCGTCCCAGGCGGCCTGTGTCTGCTGCCAGGGTCAGAATGAGCTGGACTCGCAGTACTCGAGCTGCGCCGCATATATCAACACTGCGCTTCAAAACCCATCCTTGGGTTCAAGTATGGTTTATTCCGTCCTCATATGTTACTTCCCATACTAACATATGTCACAGTATACGACGCCGTCTACACCATCTGCGCCGATTACAAGTGCGGAGCCGCAGCCGTGCCATCAACAACGCAGCCGCCAGCCACCGCGGCCACCACCTCCTTCGCCACCATCACCTCGGCCCCCGCGGTGCCCGCGGCCTGCTCCTCCGTGGTCTCCATCGCCAGCCGCTGCAGTGGCGGCAACGAGGACGAGATCCTCTCCTGCCTGTGCCACGACACCTCAGGCAAGACCAACACTCAAGTTCAGAACTGGGCTAGCAGCTGTCTCCCTTGGGCCAAATCGAACTCCCCGGAGGATGTTACTGGTACGTACCTAACCAACCAATTCGCAAACCCCAGTACGGAATGGCTACGGTGACTAACAATTTCATCAGTGGTCGAAGCCCTCGAATCCATCTGCACCGCCATCGCCGGCTCCTCCCTCTCCGCCAAGGCCACCAAGAGCTCCAGCGGCGACGATAACTTGACCGTGACCAACCGCCCCGCTTTCGGTCTGCCTACCGGCACTGCGGGCAGCAATGATGATGTGTCGACTGCGACGCAGACGAGGATCGTGGAGACGGAGGCGCCGGCCGTTACGTCGAGCAGGTCCGTTACGTCGAACAGGTCGAGCGCGGCGGGAGTTATGGTTCAGCAACCGCTGGGAGGAGTGGCTGCGTGGGTTGTTAATGGGTTGCTTGCGGTTGCTGGGTATTTGGTCATTTAAGGGGAAGAGGGGTTTGGTTGGTTTGGTGGTTAGGGGGGCTAAGATTTGGCCAAAGCGCTATGTGAATAATGATAATGAGTTTTTTGGAAAGGTTGAAGGAGTTGGGTGAACCACATGGTGGTTGAGAGAATTATGGAAGTTCTTGTTGGGCTTCTCTTCGAGGGGATTTGGCGTTGGAGTCGGTTGGATCATGATATCAAAGATAAATATTACTCAATGCGGTATTGGCTCAAACAACTTGGACCAGATAAATGACAAGGGGACAGACATGTGGTGTTACTCCTTGCTCTGCGCAATAGACCTCAATATATCTTCTGATCTGAGATTCAATCCGTGCGGGTATCGAGAAGCAAATGTCGACGCGCGTTGATGATCTGCTTTGGTCGGAATCGTCACATTTTTGGGCAACAAACAGTCAAGCTAAAACCCTCCCTCGTTCGAAAATAAGTGAAAAAGAAAGAGAAAATTCCAAAGAACGCGTCCACACTATTTTCAACCCCAACCAAAGGTATAAAAAAAAGGGCAAAAAGCTCAGTTGCCCAGGAGGCTTGGGGGAACGAACCACCACACTCCAGCTGCGGACCTACGAAAACTGTACCACGGGTACCGCGTACAACCGGCAATGTTTTCATGAACGGGGAACCGCTCGGCCATTTGGCCAATTGGACCGCTCTGGAATTAGGGGCCTGGTGCCGGACCTTATATGGTTGTGTTGGCTAGGTAGAGGGGCAGGCAGAGCTGGGGGATGGATGGGATGAAAGGCGCACTTGGACTTGGTTGTCCGTACCATACCGTACGGGCCATATGGGTGATATCACGAGGGAGATTCGCAAAAAAAAAAAAAAAAAAAAGAGAGACAATCACGGCAACGAACACTCCTTTTCTACATGCAACGTTGTGTATCCCAAGGTTCCTACGGCCCCACGGGATTAGTAGTTAGATCACGATCGATGCCAGTGACCCTGATATGCAGTCTGAAAAATGTTTTGTCCTTTCTAGGCGGGCCACCGTTCACTCGGTGGTCAACTTGCGAAGTTCGAATCGTATCATCAAGAAATTCGAAAATTAAACCATTGAAACGTTTTGTCCGATACTCCAGCCCACTATTAACCTGACGCTAAAAAAAAAAAAAAACTCCCCTAAATCACCGCTTTTTAATCGCTACCTATGCATAGTCCCATACCGTTCATAACCCATCCATCACTCATCCCCCCTCAACTCCCAAATCCCACACTCATACACACGCCACGAACGACGACGTATGACTCTGCCACGGGGCATGACTGTGATGATGATGATGATGATGGTGATGAACCTTAGTCTTCGGTATCAGCGCCAACTCATCACCGCCGTTGCGCCCTGCTGGTACATGATCCGAGCAGCAATCAAAATGTTGTTGATCGTTACTCCTTCCACCACTGCTACTCTCCTCAAACCGGGTAGTAACCCCCACCCCAACCTCATGGGTGAACGAAGCGCTTACGTTCTCCATCAACCGCATGATTTCTTCTTTGCTTTCGGTGGGGTCGATGAATTCGATTTGATCCTCCTCATCTTCTTCTTCCTCCTCCTCCTCCTCTTCTACCCACCCACTGGTTGTTGATATTGTCGTTGCCGATGCCGTTGCCGTTGTCGAAGTAGAGGTAGTGGTAGTGGTTGTAGTAGTATTATCCAAAATCAAAAACGCCCTCTCCAACTTAAGAAAGCTCCTGATCAGACAAAACTTGCTATACGTCTCCCACGGCCTCCTGATCTCCGGTCTGACGTGATCGATGGCCAGATTCTTCACCAGCTCCGTGGTGTTGAGGACGTACCGACCGAAATCCCGCGCCGTCTCGCTGTAACCCATCGACATGATCCTCCTTGTCCTTTCCTTTTCTTGTTCTTCTTTGCTGCCCCCACGTCCTCCTCCTTTCTGGTGATGATGAAAATCCCCTTCCTCTTCGTAGTACCGTGGTATGTAGAGGATGTCTAGGTCCGGCGCAAAGTAGATGGATCCGGACGGGTGGGTGCGCGTGCCAAAGGCTTTGGCGTAGATGCGCGAGAGCGCTTCGTGGCGGGATTCCCGGCAGACGGAGAGGATCACGGGTGGTTTGGAGGGGGTGAAGCACCGGTCTTGGGAGGGACAGTAGTGGATTTCCAGGATGCGGGGGTGGCAGGAGGCTTGCCAGATGGCGAGGCGGAGCTCGGTGGGGAGGAGGGGGAAGAGGGTGAAGGTCCTTGGGGTGGTGGTAGTAGGTGTGGTGGTGATTTCGTCCATGGCGAGTTTTGTGAGTCAGGTTGGATGTGAGATTTGTTTGTCCGTCTGTGTCGAGCCTTATTGCATCACTGAGTAGTATGATGGTGAAGCTTGTGGTGATACTTGTGGTGATGATGTAGAACAGATGGTAGAGAAACGAGACGTGAAAGGAGAGAAATGGAAAAGGGAGACGGGAGGTTAAGTAGATCAGAACAGCGTCAACCCGAGCAAGAGTGACGAGCACGGGACTCGAAACCCAGACTTGACAACACACTATCGAAACAAAACCTTTTGCGTTCTAGAATAAGGTTTTGTGGGGATTGTATCCGCGTAGTGCTTGAGTCAATGGATATCGCCAAGGCTGGTCATGGACGCAGCCGAGGCCGGAGTGATGAAGGAGCGAGCGATGAGACGGGCAGTCCGAGCCTAGACAACAATGGGCGTTTGGCTATTATAGACCGTTCCATTGTCATCTCCCGTCGTTTGGCATGGCCACGACCAATTCGCTTGAACGAGCTGAGGCCCTGCGCTGTGACGCGTCGTCTGGACGGCCCAACAATGGACGGTCACTGACTGTCACTTTGTTCCTTCGATGACCTCGAGGTCCATGGGTAAACCAACAGAAACGGTAACGCGCCGCACTGATCAGCGATGAAGCACATCATCGCCGCCCATTGCTGGCCAGCTGGCCAACGTTGAATAGTTTGTCAGGGGCTTTCCCGAGTTTGGTCATCGATCCTCATATATCTTCGTCCAAACTGGTCTCTTCGAACAAAGTACTCTTCTCACTTATCTCGGTCATTCGGGATGATTGCAACCGTGACAGAGGAACAGAGAGGCCCGGCTGTGGATCGGAATTGCATCTTTGCGTCGAGTCTAGCGCACACACGGCAATGCGAGATGAAGCGCTTTGTTGTGCGTTGGAAAAATTCAGCAAAAGTCGGCATGTGCATGGCCAAAAGACTCCAAAGTCGTATGACAGTTAAGAATGCCAAGAAACCGCCGTTGTCTGATGCCCCTGTCGTAAACAAAAGACCAAGAGGGGCTCCAAATTCCACTTTGATTCCCGTCGCAAAATCGGAAAGTGGGGCGGGCAGGCCTGGACCCTGAACGTCATGCTTCACGTCGATCCATGCCCAAACTCTGCATTCACGGACCTCGTGAGGGACCTGAGCTGCTTGCCTTTTGTCCTCCTCCTCGCTGCGGAGAATGTCGGTTGTCCAAAGGATGACTTCAAACAAGGCTTCCTCGGCTGCGCTCACTTTTGAGCTGGTCGCCAAATGCTCCGTAAGTGGAAGTCCGTCTGTTGTTCTGGAACCCGAAGCCTGGGAATGAGGTCTCCATACGGCTGGAAATAAGTCCCGTCCGTATAAGTGGGATCTGGATCCGGCTCCGCACCCATCGCGAAGCTGTCGCAATCGCCAAACCGCAATGGATGTCTGTAACTAACGTTAACACACGCGTTGGACCTAGACAACAAGGGCTCGCGCTTCCATCCTGACTCTTCCCCATGGACCCGTCAACCTCCCCATCTTCATGCCCGTGGCTACTCAGGCTTCCCTCAAGGGCATCACCCCCGAGCAACTCGAGAGTACGGGATGCCGCCTTTGTCTCAACAACACTTACCATCTAGGATTGAAGCCTGGCCAAGAGGTCCTCGATGCCGTTGGCGGCGCTCACAAACTTCAGGGCTGGAAGCACAACCTGCTGACGGACAGTGGAGGGTATGCGCCTTGTTGTAACCAATGTATGAGTGCCGGCGCATTGCTAACTTGGCTTTCTCTTCCAGTTTCCAAATGGTATCTCTCCTCAAGCTCGCCAAGGTTACCGAAGAAGGAGTTCGCTTCCTCTCTCCCCACGATGGGTCACCCATGCTCCTCACCCCCGAACACTCGATGAGCCTTCAGAACTCGATCGGATCCGACATCATGATGCAGCTTGACGACGTCTTGGTGACCACTCACCCGGACAAGGCCCGTATGCGCGAGGCCATGGAGCGCAGTGTACGCTGGCTGGATCGCTGCATCAAGGCCCACAAGAACCCCGACCGCCAGAATCTGTTCTGTATCATTCAGGGTGGTTTGGATTTGGAGATGCGCAGGGAGTGCTGCCGCGAAATGGTGGCCCGGGACACCCCAGGCATCGCCATCGGAGGTCTTAGTGGTGGTGAGGCCAAGGACGACTTCTGCAAGGTCGTGGCTACATGCACAGAACTTCTCCCCGAGTTGAAGCCTCGCTATGTCATGGGTATTGGCTACCCAGAAGACTTGGTCGTCAGCGTTGCTTTGGGGGCCGATATGTTCGACTGCGTCTGGCCCACACGTACGGCGCGGTTCGGCAATGCCATCACGAAGCACGGTGTGCTCAACATGAAAAAGGAACAATATGCCAAGGACTTTGGACCCATCGAGGACGGTTGTGGGTGCCCATGCTGCAGGCCTGTCGACCAAGAGGGAGCCATTGGCGTCACAAGGGCGTTTGTGCATCACAATTCGGCCAAGGAAACGGTGGCAGCACACCTGTTGACCATTCACAACGTATGGTATCAGCTGCATCTCATGGGAGGTGCCAGGGACGCCATCATTGCCGACAAGTTCCCGGCCTTTGTTAAGGAGTTCTTTAACAACCTATACCCAGATAGAAAGAGCTACCCGTCGTGGACTGTAAACGCTCTGAAGACCGTAGGTATTGACTTGTTTGACAGCTGAGGCCGCTTGGAACTTGGGGTTCAAACTCTCATACTTTTTTCTGTTACTTGGCCGTATCATGAGTGATTGTCTATGAGCAAAGCTGCGTGTGTAGGTACCTGCTGGCTGAGCTTAGTTGTATCTACATTTGAAGATTCAGGGTTAGGGCTCGGGATGGTGGTTGCTTGGCGTTTATTTCACGGCCCCGCTCGTGTCGGCCCAGCAGCCCAGCAACCCGGCCCGTCTGGCCAATGCGCCAATATGCGCATATATGCGCATGCGACTGAGCAACAGAAACGTCCGAGCTTTGAATTTTCGCGGACTTGAGTCCTCCATCCCGGCGATCAACGTCCCCACGAGCCGCGCCGAACCTCGACGCCCGCCAACCGAAGCCACCGGCATCTCGACGGCACCTCGAATACACGATGGCTTCCTCCAGGAGTATGTCGCCCGGAGGCGCGCTCCTCCGTACCTCGCGCATGTTTTCGCTGCCTCCGGTGATCCCCCCTCCGCCCGCCAACAAGCTTCAGATGGTCGGCGACAAACCCTCGGCCACCGAAGCCTATCCGACTCACCAGGTCCTTACCACCTTTGAATCCTCCCGCTCTCGTGGGGATTGGGGTCTGAAGCGCCCGCTCCCCCTCAAGTCAACAACCGGCACCACGTATCCCATGGTCAAGGTCAAGCAGATGGACTCGCTCGAACAGATTACCGACTTCACCTCCGGCACCCAACACGGCCTTACGCTCAAGAAGTTCCAGGCCCTGAACATCCCGATCAGCACACCATCCGAAATTAGCGATCCTTCCCGACTTTTCCGCCCCGTCCAGCGGTCCGTCTTCGAGGCCGACACCGATGTGACTGCCTTCAGCCCAGACGAGCAAATCCAAGAAGCCGAAAAGAGGTGGAAGTTTAGCGGTCCTTGGCTGGCCGGCATGACCCCCGGCGAGTTCAAGGAATACCTCGCCAAGACCGTCAGACCCAAGCGCGCCGAGTTCCGCAAATTTATTCAGAAGAAGCTTGCGGCTCAGAAGACGGAGGCCGCGAACAGGGAACTTCAGGAGACGGCTGCTCTGAGGGGCGATGCGGTTGCGGAGACACAGAAGCCTTTCAAGCCGGAGTCCATTACGGATGAGGAGGTGACCGAGTACCTGCGCCGCCTGCGCAACGATAACCAGGTGCTCTACGATTTGGTCGGCCAGTTCTTGGATCTCGCACCACTCAAGCCTCCTCAGGCTGCTGAAGCGCGCCAACACTCCTTGATGGTCAACCTGCGCGCAACCGACAGCCCGTACGGTGGACGCGGTCCTCCCATCACCCACCCCTCGGCCGGTATCTCATATCTCCGTACCGCGGCCTACCTTAACAACCACCCGATTTACGGACCGCAGAAGAGCCACCCGCCCGTCCAGGCTAGAGTGCTCAAGCCGCGCAAGAATGGTCTTGGACAGGATGCCAAGATTGGTGTTGCTGGTTTTGTCGCCGATGGACCACTTGGCACAAGCCACAGCAACCTGAGGGGCAACACCGCTCTTGAGAAGTTTGATCCCACCATTGAGGGTGGTGCCAAGCTCTGGGTCAACGTTGAGAAGGCGACGGTCGACTCGGCTGGCCGGGTACAGCTGACTGTTCATGATGCCAAGCTCACGGATGTTCTCATCGCCAAAGAATTGATCGGCGAAACCCGTGAACCTATCTTCGGCTCTGCCCCCAAGCGCCAGGAGAAGGCCTTCAAGAAGATCCCTATGACTGCTGCCAGGCTGAGGGGCAGGTACGAGGACTCTGACTCGCCCTCATCCCCTACCATGTCGGGCTCGTCTGGATATGGTTTTCGGTAAATCGGCCGATAAGCAGAAGTGGGAACACGAATGCTTTTCGGCGAGCAGTCAATGAGATACCCACAATCTGGCATGAAGACTGAAAGGACGCGGTTGGGATCTTTGTAGGCCGTGTAGGTGCGGATAGCTGATGGGCATACGTACCACCCCTCGCAAATCAGTCATAAAACAGACAGTCCATTGTAACATTCTAAATCTGTAAAATAAAGACCGGTTCATGAAGACCTCCCACGATGAAATGCGTTGACATTGACGAAATCTAAGCGATCAAGAGCTGAGTTGTTGTCTAGGGGTATGTGAGCGTCACTGCCTGTGTAAGCATCTGATCGGTTCAGGGGCAACACTGGGTGTAAACAATGGGGGTCACGTGCCGAGCGGGCCAAGACCAGCCACGAACGTTCCTCAGCCACATGAGGCTAAGTACGTGCCCTAACGCCAAACCTGGGCGTGCACTGACCCCACAACCCGCCGACTCGGATATTGCCAGACCAAAAAAGTTCGACTTCAAGATTCCACGTCTTCTTGTCCTTGACAACGTAATCCGTCAACTCCCCTCCTTCAGCAGCAAAGCAGCAGCAAAGCCGGCAAAATGGGTCGCGTTCGTACCAAGACTGTCAAGAAGTCCGCCAAGGTCATCATTGAGCGGTACTACCCCAAGTTGACCCTCGACTTCGAGACCAACAAGCGCATCTGCGATGAGATCGCCATCATTGCCTCCAAGCGCCTCCGCAACAAGGTGCGTTTTTCCACAAACGGGAGGGAGAGTCCAGAGATGGGCCCGGCAGAAAAGACAGGCGGAAGGAGGATTGTGGGCGGCCATGCTAACATTGCTCGACAAAATAGATTGCCGGCTACACCACCCACTTGATGAAGCGTATCCAGCGTGGCCCCGTCCGCGGTATCTCCTTCAAGCTGCAGGAGGAGGAGCGTGAGCGCAAGGACCAGTACGTTCCCGAGGTCTCCGCTCTCGACTTCACCCAGAACTCCGAGAGCGGTCAGCTCGATGTCGACACCGAGACCAAGGACCTCCTCAAGCACCTCGGCGTAAGTTTTCACCACTGTCATCAGTACCAGTATCTGGCGTTTGCAAGCCATGGTAAGGATATCATTTGTCTAACTAATCCCCCCCTCGAACAGTTCGACTCCATCCCCGTCAACGTCATCCCCGTTACCCAGGCCCAGCCTGTCGAGCGCGGCCGCCGCTTCGGTGGCGACCGTCCCCGCCGCGACTAAATGTCGCCCGGTCGACGATAACCAAAATAATAATGGAAATCGGGCGTTGGATCACGCACAACGGTGGTGTCGGTCCTACCTGCTGGGTTGGTGTTCGGCGTCTATCTGGAACAGGGTAGCATGAGCATCATAGGTCACATCTGCGAAAACAAATGCGATCTGTTTGCCCACAAAAGGTGTCGCTGACTCTCTTGGTGTAATGCCGGGGACGATGCTTGATTGCCAATTCTCTTCCCGTCTTTGCATGGGATTGTGGTGCATTGCATGTTCTGTGGTCGATTTGTTGAACGGCTGGATATGGGGCTTTTTTGGACTGGTTCAGGACAGGTGCCAGGAGGGGAGTTTGCTTCCACTACTGGTTCTTGGATCAACGCCATCAAGCTGCTCTCAGCCTTGGTGATATGCTAACTGGCAGTGTTTCTACTCCCCGGGCTTTGGACGACTCTAAAACGCCCTTCCGAGTATTCTACATAGGCTTCACATTCTTGGTTGGCCTAATGAACAGTAGTAAAATCTAGGTGGGTATCTGTATAATCGTAGATCTGTAAATCCCATATCCGTCCAGGTTCTGCCCAAATTCTACATCCCAACGTAATGTCTTTCCTTGCCTGGACTACATCGATATTTGGAAGCGTCCCGACAGATAGTCATTGATATCATCATCATCATCGCTGCCTTCACTTTCGCTCTCGCTACCATCCTTTTTCGCAGCTTCCTGCTTCTTGGCATCGGTGCCAAACGTAGGCTTATGACCTTCAACCATATGATGGGCATCTTGCGAGCCCTTCTTCCGAGACGTAGAAGACGCCTTGGTGTGATCCGGTGCTTTTGCCGGACCTGTTGTTGGCTTCTCCCGGATCGTAACTTCAACACCTTGACCGGCTAGCAGCCTATCAAGCTTCCCGCCGCCCTGGCCTCTCTCAACCGCCAAAGCGTCGGCGTCCCTCTGCATCTGCGCAGCCTTGTCGGAAATCTCGGCCTTCCTGTTGAGATCCAGTCTCGCCAGATCAGCAGCCAGTTTCTCCTCCGCTGTCCCCTTTTCTTTCTCTCCCCCTCCAGCCTTCGCCGCCGTTGTTGTCTTCTGCTTCTTCTCCTCCCTCAACTCAACCTTGATCACCCTCCTCCCCGTCTCCAAATCCGTCACATAACTCGGATTATCCAACTGCACCTTCACATACAGCGCCCTAACCGCGCACTCATCCGAGCACCACTTATTCAAATCCTCCGTCCGCGCAATGTTGCCCGTCCGCATGATAATCTTGTACTCCCCCTCATAGTCCCTTCTCTGGCGGGGACAAAGCACGTACCCGCATGCACCCAGACAGTTGCGCTCCTCGATCAGCTCCAAATATTCCGTGGGCGTGAAGTCTTTGACTAGAGACAAAAAGCGGGTGACGTCGTGGGGGGCAGGGTTGGCGGCGCTTAGGGGCTGGTTGTTGATGGGATGCAAAGAAGGTGGGCTCCGGAGAGAGGGGAAAGAGGAGGAGAGGAGTTCGATGGTTTCGAGCGGGATGGCGGGCTTGAGCTCGGTTTGGGATAGGCGTTGGAGGAGGAGGGCTTGTTCGTGGGCGAGACGCTGTTCGGTGGGGAGGGAGGCGAGGTCGGGGAAGGAGACGGGGAGGAGGGCCGGGGGGGTGTAGTCCCGGTTCGGTTGCTGCTGCGCTGAGGTGGTGGGTGAGGGCAGTTGGGAGAAGCCGGATTGGTGGGTGGTTTTTTTGAGGATGGATTTGGGTGCCGGTTTTGAGGCTGGTGGTGGGGAAGAAGACATTTTGGCTCGTGTTTATGTGTTATTTGTTGAAGCGTGTGCGGGAGTTTGTGAACTGAGTCGGTTTGTGTTGGGTTGAAAGGTCGGTAGAGGTTTTATTGCTTCGGTCGCAAGCTGTTGCTGATATCCTGTGAGGCAACGTTCGTTTGTTTGAAACATCCCAAAGCTTCCATGCGATGATGGAATGGCCGATAAGATAATCAGTGATGTAGAAAATGGTCACGTCCCCCGCGGCAGGCAACACCATTGGCAAATGAGCCCCACGCGCAATCTTGGGCGGCATCCACAGAAGAGCTCAGAAAGGGAGCAACCCATGTCTCATACTGCCTCATCGTTGGAGAGGGCAGTGCTTTCTTTCCATGAAGGATACGGTTGCTTGATGAAGCTGGTTGTGGGGATGGGGAAGCTCAAGCCTTGGTTCCCATTGACAAGACGAGTGTCTGTTTGGGACTACATACCGTGAAGTGGAAACACATGAAGTGCGACAGCAGGGACGGCCCAGTCGATCTGTAGTTGGCTAGCGCTGTCCAATCCAGAGAGGTGCCCGCCTAGCGCCTGATGCACTCAATGCGCTGCCTGCGCTTGCGTCGGTATCAATAGGTAAGGTGTAGGTGCCTGTGCTGTCACTGCCGTGCTGCTTCCGCTGCCTGCTCGAGGTGTTTCTTCCCCCGCGTCATCCCGGGGCCTGATTCACTGCAACAAGCCATCGATCCTCTCTTCAACTTCCATTCAAGCTTCAGACATCAAAGTGGCGGGTCTTCGGCAACCGAATCTCCAATATATGGACTTCGCTGTCGCCATCCATCCGCGCTTCAACAAGACGACTTTAACAACAACTATCTACCGTTCTGCTTCCAGCAACTAACACTCGTGCTACCTGACGCTAGGACGACGTCTGTTTGCAGCTTACCTACCTTACTGCTGCTGCCTCCTGCGCAGGGCCCGCCCCGCACCCACTCACGCAACTCCCCCCCGATCTTACCTTGACCTCGATCAACGACTCCCCGACCGCTTGGGTTGATTTCCCAACTGCAGCATCATCATGTCGTCGTTCAAGGTCAAGGCCATCTTCGAGTACGCCTCGCCTCACGAGGACGATCTCAACTTCCCCGCCGGCCAGATCATTACCGTCACCGACGAGGAGGACGCCGATTGGTATGGCGGAGAATACGTCGACGAGGCCGGTGTCAAGCAAGAGGGCATCTTCCCTCGCAACTTCGTCGAACGCTACGAACCCCAAGCTCCGCCCCGCCCAACAAGACCAACCCGTGCTGCCAAGACGGAGCCTGAGCCTGCTCCTGAACCAGTGCGCTCGCCATCGCCTACTCCTGTTGCTTCCGCCGCTCCGCCTGTACCTGCACCAGCTGCCGAACCCCCGGCCCCCAAGCCCGCTCCGCCCGCGCAGGCATCCGCCCCTCCGCCGCCAGTTCCGCAGGCAGTTCCGCAGCCTGCCGAAGCTCCGAGAGTGACGTCTCCGCCTCCCAAGCCCGCCCCTACACAGCAGCAGCAGCAATCCAAGCCCAGCGGCCCTCCCCCCGTCGCAGAGAAGCCCTCGAGCTTCAAGGATCGCCTTGCTCTCTTCAACAAAGCTGCGGCCCCTCCCCCTGCTCCCTTTAAGCCTACCGGTTTGAGCTCGGGCGCCAACTTCATCAAGAAACCCTTTGTTGCGCCTCCTCCGAGCAGGAATGCTTACATTCCTCCTCCGCAGCAAGCTCCTGTTGCCAAGATCTACCGCCGCGATGAGGATCCGGAGATCAGGGAACAGGAGGCTCAAGCCCAGGAGAATGCTGCCAAGGCAGGTCTCGTCCCTGCCACTGCCTCTGCCTCGAACGAGGGAGAAGGTGAGGAGGATCAGCCGAAGCCGTTGAGCCTCAAGGAGCGTCTGGCCCTTCTGCAGAAGCAGCAGATGGAGACGGCTGCTCGACATGAGGCCAAGAAGGAAAAGCCCAAGAAGCCCGTCAAGAAGAAGGTTGAAACCCACGAAGCCGCCGAGGAGGGCGAACCTGCCGCGGTACCCCTCGAAAGACACGACACCGAAGAAACTGTAAGAAAGTCGGTGGATGAGGCTCACCAACCACGCGTGCCAGCACCCAGGCGCAAGTCAAACTTTGGTGTTGAGCCCAATGATGGCAACGAGGCCGACATGTCTGGCGCCGGTGAGACAACGGAAGGACAAGAGGATATGACCGAAAAGGAGGAGGTTGAAGAGCACAAGCATGTTGCTACCGCCGCTAAGCAGGAAGATCCCAAGCTTGATCAGGAAGAGGACGAAGCAGAAGAGGAGGAGGAGGAGGAGGAAGAAGAGGAAGAGATCGACCCTGAGGTCCGGCGTAGGGAGGAACTGCGTGCTAGAATGGCCAAGATGTCCGGCGGCATGGGTTTGCCCGGAATGCCTGGCATCTCCCTTTTCGGCGGCCCGCCTCCTATGCTGCCCAAGAAGAAGAAGCCGGTTCCTGAAAAGGTGGAGGAATCTGAAGAGCAGCCCACGTCCCCGGTTCAGCGTGCGCCTCCCATCCCGACCATGATGGCCCTCCCTGGTATGTCCCGGGCACCGGAACCTGTGCGTTCCCCTGAAGTCGAGGAGCCTCGTTCGCCCTTGCATGCGCCGCCGCCGCCCACTCGTCCTCCTCAGCAGGCCGAACCGGAGCAGCCAGTCTCCGAAGAGGAGGAGGAAGAGGAGGAGACTGAGGCCCCAACACCGTATCAGGCACCACCTCCTGTGCCCGGTGGAAGACCAGCTCCACCCCCTGTTCCTACCGAGGGTAAGCTTCTCCATCGATAATAGTTGTAAAATAACATGCTAAATTGGTGCAGCCCGTCCGCCTCCCCCGCCTCCGACTGCGTCGGCCACATTCTCGCCCAGTGAAGGCTCTGCATCAGATGACGAGCTCTCGGAAAGACCCCAGGAGGAGTCTGATACTCCGCGCGCTGCTGAGACGTCGCATACAGCTCGGGCTCCGCCGCCCCTTCCGGCTCTTGCTCCGCCGACACCGCAGATGCCTCCTCCGCCGGTATCACCCCCGACCTCGCCAGGCGTTTCACAGGGCAGACGCCAGTCGTACTACGAGGCATCGCCCCGATCCCCTCCCCTCCCTCCTGCTTCACCGTCAGCCAGGCGTGAAAGTCGCGTGCCTCCTCCGATTCCCGGTATGGTCCCGGTGAACCGGGCTCCTCCCCCGCCTCCTCCCGCCGCGCCACCAAGGACACCGACCACGGAATCTTTCCATCAACGCCAGGCTTTGTCTCCTGGAAGGGCCAATGACAATGAAGAAGTGGATGAAGAGATTACCGAGTACGAAGGCGACTATGATACGGATATTGCGTCCTCTGTTCCCCATAAGGATGCGTTGAAGTCTCACCAACGGGATGCGAGCTTTGACGGGCCCGTGTCGCCACGGTCACTCGTGAATCGCCCACCTCCTCTTCCCCCGACATCACCACCGAGAGCCGGCCCCCCTCCTGTCCCACTCATGTCTCCAGTAGAGAGCCGCAAGTCTGTCGACGTGCCTCGTGCGGCACCTCCACCTCCTCCGACGCAAGAGATGCCTAGATACGAGGAAGGAGACTTCGACCCTTACAACTACTCATCGCCGACTCACGGAACATCGTCGATACCGTCATTCCCTTTGCCTACTTCTCCCCCGGCGCCTCCCGGTAGTGGCCGCCCATCAACCCGGCAGTCCATGGATGCTGCGCGTTCCAATATCCGGCGGTCGGTAGATGTGACGCGGCCATCGATGGAATCAGGCTTCGTTGCTAACGACATCGACCTGACCAGCCAGTCGACTTGGTGGCTACAGCCCAACAGCCTTCCTCCACCGCTTCACGGACGCAAAGATATCCTCTTTGAGTCCGAGGAGTCTACCGCGTCCGATCCCCACTCCGGTAAGACTGTTGTCACCCGGGACATCTACGTCTTGTTCCAGGACTACTCCCAGACCGTGATCACCGTCCGCTTCAACCCTCATGACCCGTCCGACGTCGAGCTTGAGCAGCGGCACGAACCCCCTCCCCGCACCCTGCGTCAAGACCAGCTTGAACAGAGTTACGAGCGCTTTGGACGCGCCATCAGCGAGGCCGTGTCCGGCAAGAAGGACACCGTCGTCGGCGATGGCACTCCTCAAGCGCTGATCTACGAACTTCTCCGCCCCTTCAAGGACGCCCTCCTGCCCGTCGGCACGCGCGCTTACGGCGCCCTGGTGTACTCCAACCTGGCCAACGCGAGCACCACCCAGAACGACGAGATCCGCCCCGGCGACATCATCTCCATCAGAAACGCAAAGTTCCAGGGCAAGCACGGCGCCATGCATGCCAAGTATAGCATGGAGGTCGGCAAGCCGGACCACGTCGGTATCGTGGCCGAGTGGGATGGCACCAAGAAGAAGGTCAGGGCGTGGGAGCAAGGACGTGAGAGCAAGAAGGTCAAGGTCGAGAGCTTCAAGCTTGATGATTTGAGGAGTGGCGAGATCAAGATTTGGAGAGTCATGCCCAGGAGCTGGGTCGGCTGGGAGGGAGGAAACTAGGATTAGGATTCCTCATCGACCGGTGGGCCGCCATTGATAACGCTGAATTCTGACGAGAGTATCTCGTTTGGGGCGGAGGAGAGGAGAAGAGTTGAGCGATTCGTTGGAATTGGCAGTGTGCTTGGTGTTTTGGTGAGAGTTGTAGGTTCTGACCATTGGTGATGGCGAGCACAGAGAAAAACCCCAAGCTTTGAGGTTACAGCTGTTCTTGCGCCTGTTTCTTCTTTGTCCTTGAGTTTTCACTCTCACTTTTTTGCGTGTAAGTATTTGCGTGTTTTGTTTGGTTGTCGTAAGGGGGGAGCAGAGTTGGAAGGAGAAGTGCGATTGGGTGGATGGGAGAGAAAGAGGAGGTGGTGGGAGAATTAAAGTCTTTATTGCAAGTTATCACACACTACTAAACTCAAAGTCATAATAAGTTTTTCCCCATACATACAAACAGAACAAAACACACAGACATTGGTAGCTACAGCAACAGCAATTTTATTATCTACTTTGCGTATTTAGCTTTTCTGGCATAGTCACTGTCACTTTCCTCTCGTTGAATTAATTCTATGTTGTATTGGTATCACTTCCATGCGTATCGGCGGTGATACCCATTATATTGTGACACATGATCGGTCCATGAGACAATCGTCAAATCGAGCGACGAGAAACATGAAGACCTGTCGAGAAGTCTCGAAGAAAATTCAGACGAAACAATGTTGAATGAGAAACATCAAGTCGAATACCTAGAAGAAAACGACAGAAGGAAAAAAAAAGAAAGAAACGAAGAGAAGGAAGGAGTGGAGAAAGAAAAAGAAAGCAAGAAGGAAAGAACGACTGTCGCAGAAAAACAGGTATGGAAATGGAAGCTTGGTCAAAACCAGTCAATTACTCGTTTCAAATAACTACAATACCATTTTCCAAACGTTATCGGAAGTATCCCGTAACCAGTCGATAACCATGCGCGTTTCAAACATGTTCCCTTTAGTAAAGTGTTCTATAACCATCCGGTAATCTGGCTCGCGGTCAATACGAGTTATAAACACCTTCCGTACAGGTTTAATAGGGAACTGACGCAGATCATCCAGGTTGATAATGAACAAGACGTAATAGACTCATCATTACCAGCATATACCTAGGTACCCTTGTAGCGTTTGTCATCCACAAACAGGAGTAGAACCAGTTGGCATGGATGGGACGACACGTTCTGGTATTGGATATCACTCTTTTATTTATCCCATTTTCCCATCCATCATCCATCAAGAAAACCATGTAAATACTATCATATAGATCCGCTCATATCTTTCACAGCCCACTCACAAACAGCCATTATGCAAGCCGCCCAACAAGCCCTCCCCCTTCCCTTCCCCCTAGTTTACGTCCTAGGACTCCTCAAGAAACCCACCACACCACCACAGTAACCCACCAAATCATCCAACCGCTTCTTTTCCCTTTCCTGCTGCTCCTTCCACCTAGCCAACTCCTTCAGCAACGTCTCGCTCTGCTCCATGATCACGTCAAAGTGCAACCTCAGGAAAACCGTCATCCACGCTTGCGTGAGCTCGTAGTCGCGGCGTTGGGCGAGGCGTTGAGTCATGGCGCGGATGAAGTGTACGAGTTCGTTGTTGTCGTCGCCGTCGCCGTCGCCGTCCATGCCAGTGGATAGGGAGCGTAACTCGAGATCGGCGGTGGAGGGGGAGAGGGATTTTAGGTGGGTGATGAAGGGGGTGTCTGTTTTTTTGAAAGTTAGTGATTGTATAAAAGGGGAGGGAGGAGAATAAGGGGGGAAAGGGGGGGAGGGGTAAAAGGGGGGGGAGAGACAAAAAAAAAAAAAAAAACTTACAATCACCCGTCTCAGCACCCTCCAACAACTTGGCCGTAAACGCCTGATACGTCCTCGTCGTCTCGAGCTGCGTCAACCGCGAAATCCGGCTCTCCTCCTCATCCTTCTTCTCGCCCTCCGTCAACAGCAGCGGGTTCGTCGTCCCATCACGGAGCGAAGGCAAGAAGAAGGGCGCCTTCTCGGGCGCCTTGGGCGGCTCCTTGGGCTTGTTGCGCTGCTTGATCAGGTCGATGTGCAGCAGCGTCTGCCACCTGCTCTTGGGCACCAGACTGAGCGTCACCATGTCGGCGCTGAGCTGGTCGAGTACGGGCGCGGACACACCCTCATCTTCCTCGTCCTCCTCCTGTTCCTCCTCGAACGCCGCCTCGATCAGACCCTGACCGCCCTCGCCTGAGCTGGTAGGTCCGGCCGAGATTTCGGCAATGTCCTTCTCGGATATATGTCTGGTGGGCACGTGCTTGAACAGCGTCCTGTTGGTCCAGATGTGCACGCCCAGCTCGCCCTCGGTGGCGCCGGCGAGGTACTCGCCCGTGTTGGAGAAGGCGATGGCGGTGCAGGCCCTTTCGAGCCGGAAGGCGTCGATGAGGTGGGCCGTCGGCAGGTCCCAGACGCGGACGACGCGGTCCTGCGAGGCGGCCACGATCCACCGCCCATCGTTGGAGAAGGTGAAGTCGTTGATGGTGTCGCGGCAGCCCCAGAACTCTCTGATGGTCTGTTTGGTCTCGATGTCGACGACGCGGATCGAGTGGTCGTCGCACGCGAATGCGATCAGGTCGTTGCCGGCGTGGTAGCGGCAGCCCGTGATCTGCACCATGGGCGCCCAGTCGATCTCGTCCACCAGGTTGCCCGTGACGAAGTCCCAGAACTTGACGGTGCCGTCGAGAGAGCAGGAGATCACGAAGCGGTTTAGCGGGTCGACCACGATGCCTGTTACGGACTTGGTGTGCTTGCCACTGCCGGGGGCAAAGGAGGTCTTGGAGGAGGCGCGCTTTTCGAGCTGGCTCACCTTGTCGAGAGCCTTGAGTTGCTGCATCTTCAACTGGCGCATCTGGGCGGGAGTGAGTCGGGAGGGGAAGCGTTGCTTGTGGCGGCCGGACTGGAGGTTGAACATGTCCAAGCTACCACCAACGGAGCCGACAAGGGCGAAACTGCCACAGGGGCTGATAGCCACGGTAGAAACGTTCTCGCCATCACCGGTCTTGAACGCCCACCTACCGGCACGCTTGCGACCCCAGAACCAGGTGCGAGCCCAGGGGTCGTTCTTGTGAGCTGTTACTACGCTTTCCCAACCGGTCATAGCAGCAAGCTCGGACTTGGTCGGCTTGCTCTTGTCGTTGCCCTTGTCCCAGATGACTTGCCTGCCGGGCATAGCGCCCATACCACCATCGCGGTTGAGCGAGGAGGCGATGCATGTGATCTCGGGAGCCTTGAGGTCGTCCAAAGTCGTACTCGGGCCGTGGCTGCCGAGGGCGGTGTTGGCAAGAATACCGACCTTCTTGGCCTTCTTGCGAAGAGCACCCTGACTAAGTTCGGAGCTCTGGCCATCGCGGCGCAGACTCCAGCCCCACAGACTCCTGTCCTTGCCACCACTGAGAAGCCACTTGTTGCCGGCCTCGGCACCATCGAAGTCGGTTGGCAAGAATTGCAGGCAGTTGACGGGGGCAGCATGGCCGCTGCGCATGTGAAGGATACGAGGAACGGGCGAGAAGGGCGATTCGTCGAAGATCCAGGACTTGAGCGAGTTGTCCAAACCACTGGTCATGATAACGGGCTGTCCTGGGAGGAACTCGACCTTGCTGATACCTCCGCGCACGGCCTTGTCGGTGTGTGATGGCGGGTTATGGGCGCTCCGGAGCACACCCATCACTCTGCCGCCCTTGTTGAGATCCCAGAATGTGACATCTCCGCCGATGCTTGTCGCGGTAGCCATGACACCGTCTTTTGTGCCATCTTGACCAGCACCCCGACCGTCGGTTCGGAAGGAGATGCTTGTAACGGGGGCGTGTTCGAATCCGGCCATCAATTTGAGGGAGGACTTGTCGGTAAGGACATTGTGAATGACGAGAGGGCCGTTCGAGTATGCGATGGCGAGCAGCGAAAGGGCCGGGGTAGGCTCCATGCAGGTGACGGAGCCGGCATCGGGACTGGGTGGAAGGATGGTGTAGATGAGCTTGCCGGTGCTGACGTTCCAGATCTCTACCCACCCGTCCTTGCGACCGACGAAGATCTTGTTGAGGAAGGTAGGCATGTTGACAACGCCACCGGTGAGCTCGTTGTCGCCCTTCTTTGCGGCTACGGAAAAGATGGTCGTGTAGTGTTCGAGGGTGGCCGACTTCCATACTTCGAGGCGGGTTTGGGCGCATGCGACAATCCAGGAACCGAAGATGAGGATCTGCTTGATGGGCTGGTCGAGGTCGGCGGGCAGCTCGAGCTCGGCTACCTTCTTGCCGCGCTGGAATACCCAGATACCTTGGGGCTCGCCATTTTGGGGGTTACCCCAAGCGGCGTATACCTTCTCCTTCCAAGCATATGTGGCGGTGATGTCGGCGGGAGTCTGGGGGCGGGTAACGAAGACGAGGTTGAGACCTCTTTTTAAGTCGTAGGTCTGGAGGGAGCGGCCGACGGAGGTGGTAATCTGGAAGGTAGTCTTGCCGAGGGGGATGGACGTAAAGGGGACGCTTGTTGGAGAAACCAAGCCTACAGTCTGTGAGTGTTGAGGTCGTGGTTAGCTTTATGACTTTTTCCCTATGCGACATGGTTTACTTGTCAGGGACGTACTCTGAAGGGAGCAAAGATGGAGGAACCCTTCTTCTTCTGAGGCGCCTTAGACTTGACGACAGAGGCATTGAGCTTCTGCCGCTTGGTGGAGGCGATTTCGCGATCGGAATGCGGCATGATGTCGTCGAGTGGCATGTGCTGCCAACTACCACGATGTCTTGCTTGTTCAAAGCCTTGAAAGTGGCAGTCGAAGTTTTCGATGATAGCCTTGTCCGCGGTGGACCAGAATTTTTCAGCCACAGTTTGGGGTCAGTTGGGGCAGGCAAGCGTGAGCACTGTGTGATTGGTCTGCCTTGTGGTGTGGGGTAGCATGAAAGCTGGACGCATGTGGGGCAGTCGGATGCGTGAGACCCACATAGCTTAAATCCGGCACTGTGTACGATCCCGGCCGCATTTG